CAATTTAACTGCTATTCGATGCATGCAGGTGCTTTGGTGACACAGTGGCTGAAACGTTCCCTCACAACAATATTTCCCAAGCTGATTTTTTAGCTACATACTCCTGACCTAATGAAATATACCTCACCAACCTAATATTTAGGTGCCTGTGTATTCATACACACATTTGGCTCTTTTATCTTTCTCCACTATCAGGAGGAAAAAGGTCCAAGTGGAGAAGCAGTACAGCTGTGTGGATGACACACGAATCGATGCAGATGACATTGTGGAGAAGATTGTCCAGAGTCAAAACTTTTCTGACAGCAGCAACAATGAAGGTGATGCAGTACTGTTTGGACATAGACATTGCATTGAAACTTGGGTTTTAATTGGCCATTCTTCTCTGATTTCAGACAGCAACTTGAGATTATTTGTAAGTAAAGATGGAACCACTGCATTGAGTGGGACACAGCTCACAAACAGGTATGGTTAAAATATGTGTTTATTTCAAAATATATTTATCTTAGGTGATAATCTGTGTTTTGTCTTTTCCAGAGTGACTCCTGGTATATTCGAGCCAGTAGTGATTGAGACTCACTGACATACAGTTCACAGAGGCACCAAGACTACTGTATAATGTAGTCATTCACAGATCAGAGGGTGGTTTACAAGAATGATATTTTCAATATAACAGCCTTAATATTCAATCGCAAATTTGCAAAGAGCACTTTCTATAAGCAGCTGCATAACTGTCTGTATAGTACCAGGTAATTCATTCTCATTCATCTCAAAACAAAATATAGGAAGGAATAAAAAAATATAATATATATAAATCTTTATAATATATACATATTTAATATTTATAATATATAAATAAATATGATACTTACCATATTTCAGACTACTTGAAAAAAAAACATTTAAGACCCTACTACATTTAGAAACTATAGTTCAACACTGACGATTACATGTGTACATAAACTAATGTCACTGACACTGGTTTGTTGCTATGGCACATATCAGTGCTTTATTTTTAGAACCACTGTTTTCAGCTTGTACTACTTTGTATTGTTTTGCACAGAAAAATGGAAACCACTACAAATGCTTTGCTCTCAAAATTAGGCCATGCACATTATTTTATTTCTTTTCTATATTAATAGATTTTAATAGTTAAAGATTTAGCTTTCCTCATTGGGACATAGAAGTTACTCCAAAGAAATTGCAACAAAACCCAAGTTCATATGGCTGGCCATATGCATTTGTGCACTCTTACACATTTATTCTGTAGGTAATCAATTTACTATAATGAATGTAGATTTGAATACCTGATTGTCTAACATCAGGTTAATTTTCCAGTTTTTTAATGATTAGTGTACAAAACAAAACATGGTCACTCCGACCTCTGTGTTCTACAAAAATGTGCTGCTCACTCCTTTTCATGGGATCAAGGGAAAATTTAGTGTTTACTTGAATAAATTAGATATAAATAAAAAAGTTTATATATATAGAGAGAGAGAGCGAGAGAGAAAGATTTTTTTACTGTTATTGATGATATGTATCTGTAAAGGTTTTTGTAAAAATGATTTCAAGACTTTTTGAGACTGCACTTTCTGAGCTGAGGTGGTGCCCCAGTGGCTCTGGTCACTGGTGTCCTCTGTTGTTGTGGTTTGTGCTACTGAGTCCTGTCGCGAAGCTCTCACTGAACACCAGTGTGTTACACAGGGGTCAAAGCTGCAGCTGCAGTGGCTCAAAGCTTCTTTTGTACGGACAGTTTAGTGGGCAGCCTCCTCAGTCCTCACCCCAAATGATCCAGTACTCAATGTGTCTTTTGATTTTCAGTTTGTTTTGGACGTCCTTAGGAGCCATGCTGGACATGTCTAAACTGATATTGTGACTCCATGCGTTAACAGATTGTCAGTGTTTTCTTTAGTTGTTTTGGTATTGTGACTGTTATAACAGTTTATTTTTTCTCCTTTTAGACCAGCAGGCTGGTTGCAGATAGATTATATAAAATGTGGTGTTCAGCAACTGTGATTTGTACTATCTCTCATTGTACGTGACCGTGTTTATTAACTACATTTAATGAATTGCTTTGGCATGAGGTTTTAGGGTACTTTGTTTATGGACTGTGTTAAGAGAAATTACATTTTGGTGCTGTATCCAGAGAACTTACTGCCAGCTCAGTCCACGTTATCTTAGTCTGTGTCATCAGAGGTATAATACTCCCTACAACAGAGGGATAGCAAGACCGGACTGTACGAGACTGGAATGGACGACACTATCATAACGTGTCTTGAGGGCTGGGTTCTCTGGGTGCTGGGTCCCATACTGATGGTAAATAAACATCTCCTGCATTTGAACTCAAGCATCATGCCTCTTCTCTTGAACACTCGAGTTACTACAATTTTATTCTACAATAGGCTATAAAGTAAATAATTTAGGCCAACCCTGTTCAAATGCTTGGCCTATAATGTGCACTCTGTATCTAGGGTTTTGTGCAATTTATAATTACATCAAATTGACTAATTAAAAATAATAATTTAAAATATTGCTCAGTTTCTTCTATTTTATTCACGACCTTCCTTGCATGTCGTCGTAATGTAATACAATGTAATGTAATGTAATGTAATAAAGAGATCTGCCTAGGGAGGGCAGCAGACTCCCAAGGACACATGTAGTGAAGTGGATTTCACTCCATGAACAAGACTTTCAGGAAGTATTCGAATCCGGATTAGAATCAGCAGCGATGGTAAAATCTCTCATTAATTAATAATAATGTTCGTTAGTAATGACATTAATCAGATAGTACTATGTAAAGAAACCTGGCCCTGCTGATATTTATTTGTCAACTATACATATGGGAAGCACAGATCTAAAGTTCAAGCAAAGTAAATATGTGGTTATTGTAAATACTAAAATACTGGCTGGTGGTGTTCTGCCTGTGTACCTACCTGTTCAGCCTTTACCATTGTGCCACAATGCGCACATTAGCAGCAGCTACCAAGAATTTGTGTGGTCTTGTATGTGGGAATATGGTATTAATTTAATCTGCTCTGTTGCAAATATGGCTTATAGAATTGTTCTTTAATAATTGTTTGTAATGTAGTGAGAAGCTACAGTCCAGGAAGCTGACACTGACTGTGTATAGCACTAGTTATTCACTGTCCATCATATCAAAGTTTCAGGCAAAACACTTCACCCACCGCGCTGCCTATGTTTGGTAGCCAGAAAGCTAGACCTCAGACCCACTACCGCCACTGTGGGAAGTGAATGAATGTTGCTATTATTAAGGGAATGTAGGTGTGAACGCCATATGATCTCTGTTTTTTGCAACCCCACATATAACGCTAGTATAACTTTGTTCTAACTTTGTCTCTTCAGGCTACTGGAGTGGACCAGGCCGTTGGCATGAGCCTTGTTGTCTTCAGTCTTGTTCTATTCACATACTACTCTGTCTGGGTCATTGTTCTGGTATAGTTTGAGTTTATTTTGTTTTAGAGCACACTTTTTTTTACAACCATGCATTCGTTTAAACATGTTTCTCTTTTCAAAGCCGTTTGTGGCCCGTGATCACGTTCTACACAACTACTTCCTGCCTCGGGAGTATTCTGTCATTCTACCTGGTGTTGCAGCAATAATCGTCCTGATTTGCATAGGTGGGTATGATCAAAAGCACAGGATCTGCCAATAAGTCTTTGTTCAGTAACTCATTCACATATATGTTTGCCCTCATTACAAAAGGAGCTTTCGCTGCAATAGTCCTGTGGAAAAATCGCAAGCCAAAGAAAATGGACTGACAACAGAACATGAAGATGGCCATGCAGAATTGTAGCTCCATCATTCATCTCACAAAATGTTACACATTCATTTATTCAAATTGGAAGACTCAGATCTGTTTGTAATTGTTTCTAAATAGATATTGTTTTTCATTGTAATTACCTTTTATCATGAAGTTCAGCAAGTACTATAAGTCTATTACAATGGGAAGTCTACATTATGTAAATAGACAAATATTGTTGCATGTAAATAAAAGATAACTGTACTTGCTGTGTTTTAGAACAGTTGTTCAAATACAAAATATGTTATCTATATATTTATTTATTTATTTGTTTACAGAGTAAAGAGTTGGGTTTCAAAATGCAGTCAAAAAGTGCTACTGGGGCCTCATTTTGCCTGAAGATTTGCTGGAAAAATATATTAATGTAAATACATAGAACATATTTTTCTTTTTATTGTGACTTCTTATTGTTCTGGAGCTTCAAGGGCTGCAATTCTGGATATTGGGAATAGCTAGACAATTGGCACTGGAATCTTATCAAACTTTATCAAACTCCAAACTGCTTAGGAGCCACTGTCAAGACACCAGGACATTCAATTATAGTTGTATTTGGTTTTATGCATTAGCTTCTTATGCTAAGCCATCCCAAAACTGCACAGTAGTCTTTCACTCTTTGCATGCCAGCTGTCTTCATGGAGATGGATATATATATAATGTGTAATGTACTGTGGAACTTTTCAGGAAAAGTTAGAACCAGTAGGTGGCTGAAAAGTTATAAAGTGCCCCTTTAATTTGGGCTATATTAGGCCTATATATAGTTTATAGTCTGTATTTTTCACTCTTTATTGTTAGTGGTGTGAAGCCACATACTTGCAAGTGTCTTCCAGATCTATAGACTATAGTGTAAGCGTTACACATTTTTCTCAGTGCAACATGTTGCCCTCAATATTCCAACAAACAGACACAAAGCCTGCTTCTTGGTCAAATGTAAATGAAAGGGCTCTCAAAGATCATACTTGTTGCCATGGAACAATCTGATAATGCAAGGCTTTGAAGATGTTGCAGCAAGCAACCAAAACATACGAAGTGGGCCAGCTAGATGGTAATGATGGTTAAAAAAAAACAACAACAACAAAACAACAACAACAAAAAAAGCCATTGTTTCACATTGTGTCATTTTATTTTCACATTGGAAGTCTCAATTAGACAATTAGAAATAGGCATACATTGCATTTGCAAACAAAAGTTGTAGGTGCAGGAGCAGGTGCACACGTAGCCTGTAGATACTTCAGGATTATCATATCATAAAACGCAGTAAAGCAGCGCCACGCCACCTCCATAACTTCTTATAAATGAAAGTGAAGAACACACTTTTTTCTATGTAGATAGATAAGTTTAGTGCCACATTGTGGGACATTTTTTATTATTATTATTATTTTTTGTTGTTGTTGTATTTATTTGTTTGTTTGTTTTTTGTTGTTGTTTGTTTTTGGGTTTGTTCGTTTTTTTTTGTTTTTGTTTTTTTTGCTGGAATGTTACATAGTGTGGCTTTAAATAGAGCTTAGTGATTTTGCTTTTGTATTGGTTGCCATGGTGACTTTGTTAAAGACTCAGTGACAGTCATCTGACTATTGTGTTTGACATTGCCCTCTCTGGCCTCTCTCCACTCATGGGTTTGCTTTCGCTGCAGTCAAACCAGTTTCTGCTGCGCACAGAGCATCCCCGATGGAGACATCCGCCCGGAGCTCGAGGACACAGAAGCGGAGGAGATGGGGCGGTCTGCGGGAGCAGTGGCAGCTCCTGGGCCTGTTTCAGATAGACGAGCAGCATGAGTTTTACCACCTGACGTGTATGATGAAAGAGGGACTAGCCGCAGCCATACAAAGCATTAGTGACCACGTGCCAACTGTGAGTACTTTTCATTATTACTGTAGCCAATGTCAAAATGTCTATATAACTAACCAAAAGAATAAGTCCCTCTGGTAGTACACTCAATAACAATTGATTTGACTAATGTAAACTAAATATTTATTGTAAAATGACTGCGTCAGTGGAGTACGTCTGCCTTGAACCTGGCTCTAAATTGTGAATGAGTGATCACTGCAGTGCATGAATGCAATTCCTGCTGATGCAGCACCTCATGACTGAGGCCAGTGAGTCAAAAACAAACCCACAACATCGCCCCTGTCCCTGCGTTCCATTTTTTAACAAATGTGATGTAATTATTCATAGGCAGTTCACTAAAATGAAATGGTGAATTTTACATTCAACTGTCTGGTCCACAACTGGAGTTCAAATTTTGATAAACTGTGTCCCTTAAGTGACGCTCAGTGATTATGCTTGACTCAGCATAAAAAGGATAGTAACAAGTCATATAAACAAAGACATATGCAGAGCACATACACAGGAGTGTAACTCAGCAGAGTCACGTCTAAGTCTCTGCTTTTGTTTGTATCAACTATGGAGCTTAAGATAGTCATATGCATGTCTTATTATTTATATATTGTGTTGAGCAGGCTGAACTGTCAGAGAAAGACTTCAAATCAGAAGTTACTCACATTCACAAGGTAAACACATACTCTGAATGTGAACCTAATTGGATGAGCATAATAGCAACCCTTTAATGGTATTTGTCTGTGCAGGACTTTACCATGGAGACATTTGCAGGGCCTGTGTTTGCCAGTCTGCGTGGCTCCTTGGGCATAACTGAGCAGGAGTACCAACAGTCCCTTTGCTCTGAACACTGCTACCTCCAGTTCATCAGTAACTCCAAAAGCAGGGCTGATTTTTTTCTGACGTAAATGCTGTTTTTCTTATCCTTGTTACAAATCAACATTAAGAAAATGGTTATTGCATTCACACATAAATGTTGAAGGCACAATCTCCCGGACCTTGTTCTTTAGCTTTTTGTTTCTGAATTGACAGAAATGATAAAAGGTTATTTTTGAAGACTCAGAACAGAAGGGAAATTACATTTCTTCTTTCCAACCTGAAGATTTACATGGAGCATCTAAAGAAGTTTCCACATTCACTCCTTGTCAAGTTCTTAGGTATTTTTTATAATTTGTGACTAATTATGATGATGATTTGTTTGGGTGTGTGATTTGGTTGTTCAATGGCATTGATCTTTTTTTAGGAGTGCACAGAATCTTACTACCTCAGCAGCAAAAGGTGCTTATCCAATTTTAAGTTCTCAGTATGTTTCAGTTACAGGCTACAACGTTCTATCTTTGTGTTTTTTGTAGAAGTTCTTCATTGTAATGCAAAGTGTGTTTTATCCAGATGATAGGATCAATGCCAGGTCAGTGGATTTAATAGCTGAATCTACTTATGTCATAGCTTTTTAGTAAGTCTTATCTGAATTACAGGTACGATATCAAAGGCTGTGAGGTCAGTCGTTGGACAAACCCTGCTCCAGAGGAAAGCCACATTATTGTTGTGCTCAAAGACCTTAACTTTGAAGGGCAATTTATAACACTGGGTAAGGAGGATGTCTACACTTGTATTAATTATTGTTAAAGATGTACTCGGTAACTTTTCTGGTAGAGGGTATCACCTTTTTGTCTCCATGAAGAATGTTCTATAATAAATCCATAAATTTCCGTGGAAATAAACAGTAGACCCTACTAGGTCAAATTACAGGTAAATTTTTGAACAATAAAAACACCCATAATTAAACCAAGAATCATTCCTAACAAAACAATAACATCTCCATGGAGACGAGTAGAAAAGTTACACAATGCACATTTAAGTATTTTATATTGACCGGTAAACATGGAGTCAGCATGTGTTTTATGTGATTATGGACAGACCAGCAGAGATCCTGGCTGCTGCGCCAGGTGCAGATAGACACACAGTTTCTGAGGAGGTTAAACGTTTTGGACTACAGTTTGCTCCTCGCACATCAGCCCCTGCACTGGGACGAGCGCTACCAGGGACACTCCTTTGCCAACATTATCATAAGAACCAAGCGGTCAGTGCATTGTTTAAGTTTGCTCATGTAAATAAGAGTCCCAGTATTCTGCCTCATGCGGACTGAGTAATGACTATTGAAATATATAAGAAATTAAGCTTTTAGTGTGAAACTTCAGGAATTTCAAATTATAACCTTTCAACGTCAACCGGAAATGAGGAATTCACTTAATAATAATGAGTATACTTTAATTAGCCTTAGTGTGAACACATAATGAACACTTACTTTATGAACAGTGCTTCAGGCCGAGTAACTCACTAACACAAACCCCTTGTTAGCAAGCCTGAATAATTTATAATACTTTATAAACTACTTGTTCATTATGAATGAAATCTTTGTTCATGCTTTATTAGAGATAATTATGGTGTAGTTATTGCAAAATGTTACCATCCCATGTAGCTGTCCAAGTAAGAAAGACAAGAAAGAGTGATCATCTGTGATAATTATTTACTTATATTCCCCAAACATCAACTGCTTGCACTCAAGTCATTCATCTACCAGAACTCACAAATTAATAACTTGTGTTAATTAACTTTTATAGTGCCATTGATGTTTATTTAAGCCAACAGATTTAAGTAAACAAGTATATGATTGTACAATTATTTTTATGTATGATGCAAAATCAGTAATTTTTTTCCTCTACCATGAACACATTATAGAGAACATGAGTTTCAAATGTTTTGATTTCATAGGAACCTTCATGCTGCCTACATATTCTGTTTTGACACATTTTTATAGAAAATTTTGCATAATAATAGAAAAAAAAGTACATTTGGCAAGGAATTTAACATACATTTGTATGACAAATATCACTCAGTGATAAACACATATACAACACAATCCATCAATTAAACTTTGTTAGGATATTTAAACCATTTACCCCATCTTATGTAATAAACATCAGCTTGAATCCTTAGCATGTATGTCAAAAATTCCATTTCATGAGTTTCTTCAATAATTTTTAACCAATCCTCTTGCAAAAGTTGGTCTAGTTGAAGCGATTTATGTGTAATTGTCTTTTTAGCACAGGCACAGAGAATTATAAATAAATATCTGACGTTGTTTGGTAAATCAGATATATCACCCATGTAAAGTGTCATTGCATTTTGAGTGACAGTAACACAGATTATTTGTCCAATTGTTGATCCAACATGTGTCCAAAATATATTTAACTTTACACAGGACCAGAATATGTGGGTATGGTGAGCCTCATTATCACCACAACCCCTCTAACATGAAGAATTGTTTGGATTCCAACTCATTTGTTGTTTGGAGGTTATGAAAAAACAATGCTGCCTACATTTTCATTGTTGAGTCCTACTTGTCTCTTGCAGATCCGTCATTCCGAGTTACAGCCCAAAGCATCTCATTGTCTCAGTCCCAGGTGAGGTTTTAGAGGACAACTCAAGTATGATTATGTCTGAAAATGTAAAAACACTGACAGAAGCTGAATATGGAGCTGAAGTGGTTCATGCCTTACCAGAGAGCACCATGCTCTGCGGTGACACCACTGATCTGCTGGACTATCAGGCTCAAAACCGCCGCTTACTGCCCAACTTAAAGAACCCTCTTCATGTGATTGATGGACCGGAGCAGCGATACTTCATTGGCATAATTGACATTTTCACTGTGTACAGCTTCAGAAAGCGTCTGGAGCACTGGTGGAAAAGGCTGCGTCACCCTGGAAAGAGTTTTTCTACAGTGAGTCCAAACACTTACTGCCTCAGGCTACAGAGGTGGGTCCAAGACCACACCAACTAAGAGTTTTAGCCAAAGGCCACCAAGATGTATGAAAATAAGATCACATGCTTCACTTACAAACTATTCAAAAGACTCTTACTACTTCTACTTGACAAATATTTGTCAACATTAAACCTATTGTTCTTTTGCTTTGGGAAAAGATTTTTATGCTGCAGTACCATTTTTCATTTTGTCCTCTGATTGTAAATCATATAAAACATTCACAGTGAAACAGCATTACCACTGCATCTGTGTGTCATCACACAACTTCTAAATAAAGTTTTACATGTCTAAGCAAGCATACAGGTAACTTAATTCACAGGGTTTAAGTGAGAAACTACTGTCTAGATGAATAATGACAAGAGTGTCCAGCTCCCTCCCAAGATTGGGTAGGGGTCCGAGGGGTTTATGGTAGTAAATGTTGTACTTCCTCAAATAACTGAATGAAGAGATGCCATCAGGGACAACATCTTAACTGATTAATAAATGCTTTTGTAATTTTCTTTAACCAAACTTCTTCCAACTAATTACAAAATATTAGAAGCACACATTTAGTCATTGCATTTGTTGAGTGTAAATATGAATGTCCAGTGTAATGTTTGAAAGTGTCATAGGACAGGACTTTGAGGAGTGCATGGCCTCTGACCTATAGAGTCTGCCACAATGGCACAGAAACAATAAAAAGGGTGTGATGGGTTTTAATCAAAATACCACAGTGACTATTTCCATTTGGAAAAGCCCATCAGTTATCTCTACTGCGCTGTCAACCCCAGATTCTATATGTCAATACATTACGCTCCTTTTAGACAGCACAATTTTGCTTTGCCACACATGCATTTTATTACATATCAGAACAGTGAGGATGACAACACCAAAATAATTTCCACACGCATATAAAAAATAGGAGACATAAAAGTGACATGAACAAAAACCACTTCATTAAAAATATATAATCACACACATTCACACATAATTTAGTTTACACTCTACCAACATTATACTAAACTGTGAATATCACAAACTGCATGCGACAAATGTACGGTTCAGTTCCCCTTAATTTAAATGATACTTTGCCACAGGGCTCCAAACATCAAGGAGTTGAATGAGTGTATTATGGCTGGCTCTGGGTCACAAGCAACTTTTATAACTTCACACAATTTTTCAAATATGTCTCACACTTATTGCACAACTCAGTCACTTATTTCTCCTATTCTTAGTAAACTCATACAAGATAGGGTTCCTCCATGAGAACTCCTTCAGTAATGACCACACTATTTGCATATATCATCATGAGCAAACACACAAATACATATATCAGTCAGTGGATTTAACTCCTTGAAAACAATGACTTCAGATATTCAATACTTTGTGTAAATGAAATTAAGTAATAAGAAAGATGCATTAAATGGAATTTAACAATCTCAACTTTGTAAGCTTGGGGTGTGTTTTTGCAAAAGTTACCTGATGCAGAAGGATCTAGATTTGCATAAAATAGACAAAATTATTTAAATATAAATCAAATTATACTGTGTAGCCCACCTGTGGCCATGTCTATACAAAAATAGTTGAAAGCAGTATTGTATTAAGTGCAACCGCACCTTCAACAGTAGAAGTATGGTGGTCACAGATATGGTATAGCAGAAGTGAAAAAACACAAAAACTACTTGAAATTATAGTGGCTTCATATTGCCTTTGAGTTTAAATTTTCCATATTTGTGAAATTTACCATACTGTAAAACAATAGGAAGGAAAAGAAAATGTCTAAATGCAAACATGGCCTCTTTCTGGACCCGAGACCTGCTGGAGTAAATTATGTAGCTGTCCTGTTACATATATGGACTGCAGAGACAGTTATCTGAGTTCATCATCACAGGTATAGGGAGACCTATTTGTATGTGAAAGCTGGTCATTTGTATCAGTTGTGTCTCTTTGTGTTAAATTCATTAGCTTAGCAATTCTAAGTATGTGACAGGAACTTTGCCTTTGTCATTCCCACGTTCTCCGACTAACCAGTCCGGGTCCATACCAGGAACCGTGTAAACAGTGATTATCTGAAAAAGAGAGATTATGATGCAGTTACTTTAGTAAAATTTGGTTGACATTAGTGAAATCAAGCTGGTTAGACTCACACTTACCTCATCAGCCAATAGAGAGAGCTCACTTGTATCGTGAGCATCATAGTCGTATAAGACCTTAGCCTTCCGGGTGCCGGTGCCAGTGAGTTGCACTGGGCTGGGTTTTGGGGTCAGGCTGGACATGGACGATCCTGGAGCAGCAGAGGAGGATGGCGCAGAATCCAACATGAACGCAGAGGACACCGGGTTAGGGCATACTGCTGTCGAGTTTGGAGCAGCACCCGCACCCACTGAATTTGCACATCTGTCCAGGAGAAAGAGTACTTAAGTGCAGTTCATTTCAATATGGATGATATTTTTATTGAAACTAACTATTTTGTGTGTCTTTATGCTGGTACTGTGGTGCACCTTAAATGATTACCACATTGTTTCTTTGTTATTTTTTTGGTACTTTGGTCTTTCATTCACAAATGAATATGTTTTCATTTTTTGGGGTAAAGTAATGCTGAAACCTGTTCAATGTCATTAATACTAATAATATTACGTACTAACCTGTTTTATTAAGAAATTTAAAATTGATTATTAACCCGGAAACTTTGTGCCAGAGGGGTGCCCCAGGTTGGGTTCATGCGCAACTTCTGGTTCACCTTAAATGCAATCTGGACACAGAAGAGAATGCTCCGCGTCTTCCTTTTTTCATCATTATTATTATATTTCAGGCTAGTATGTGGTAGAAACCACCCACATAATTCAATGTAAGGCTATTATTGAGTGTTTTATCAATATGTGATATTGTTTTCATTGTAATTAATATGTTAATTGGCAATTTGCCATTAATAATTGTAAGTTAACGGTTAAAGGTTTAGGTTAGCGGTGGAGTTGCCATGGTTACCAACGTCAGAACACAGGCGGTCTATTTAGGTCTATTGTAATTTTAAAAACATTTGTATGCTTTTATTTTTGATAACGTTTAACATAGTAAGAGTTCAGTTTAGTGTCCAGTTCAGTAATCCTGCTATTAGTAATTTGTTAAACTGTGAAGGTTGTTTTATGTGTGTAGTGACTTATAGAATGTAGTGCACAAAGGTAACTGTCAATGGAATTGAACAAAGAATGTATACTGGGACACAACGCACTTTAATGGAACAGTGTTATATTTTTGGTAATGAACAAGTAAAAAAAACGCAATCTGGACACAGAAGAGAATGCTCTGCGTCTTCTTTTTTTCATTATTATTATTATATTTCAGATTGTGTCATCTCTGCTACGGCAGCCCCAGTGCTTGGGGCCCGTAACAGTACAAAATAGTTATCTAAACATTACGAATACGTGCAGAAGTAAAATACAAACTGATGCTAATTAATCCCTTCAGAAATGATTATTCTCTTTTTTTAATGATTACTTTTTTTATTTAAAGAAGGGTCTAAAAACTACCATAGTATGAACATGTCTCATTTCACCTGTTTAGTTCCCTCTGAAGCTCGTGCATATAGTGATGACACTGGGCATAGTATGTAGCCTGGGCCTCAGCAAAGTCCTTCAAACAGCGCAAGTGGTTCAACTGGAAAAAAAAAAGTCACTTAAATTGTAACAGAATGTATTTTATACATAAGGAGAGTAAAAAATGTTGAACTTACATGCGTGCTGCTGATTCCTTCAAGAAGCAGCCTGGTCACTTCTGCTTGACGATCAAACTCTGTTTGGGCCACACGAAGCTCATGCTCAGCCTGTAAACACACAAACAAAACTGTTCAGCCAAGACATGAGCCTTTACAGTTACAATACAATACAACTGTTACTTACTTTATCCACTTCCTCACTCAGCAGCTTAGAGAGTAAGAAAAACATCAGGAAGACAATTCCAAATTTAAATACAAAATATTCTAACTCACAAATAATATTACAGACAGACAACTGCTATTATTGGGTCTAATACTCAACTCAAGACACATTTCAGCTTCCATTAAGTGCCTTCACTACCTATAGGATATGGAGCTCAAATCTACAGAAGTGTGAAGTCAGATATCTCATTTCTATGAACAACACAGAACTACTAACAGGTGCAGGCCTGTTACAACCTTTAACTGCTCTGATTCACTTGGCTCGGCCTCATCCCAACCTCCAGGGGACGGGCCACTCAGCAGCTGGGTGAGTTAAACCCACAACATACAAGCACATGCAAATGATACAGCAGAGCAAAACATTTGATTAAAATGATTTTTTTTTACATTTTCATATTTCCCCCTAATGCAAGTAATCTGTCATAATAAAACACACACATGCAAGAACAAAGAAGTGAAGAACAGTGAATAATAATATTTATAATAATATAATATCACTATAGATTATCAGAAAATGTGAATAATAAGCAGAGACACAAAGCAGAGACAAAGGACAGTTCAATATTTCAACATATCATATCTATGTGTTGTTAAATTTTTGCCTTTTTTGTTTGACATTTTTTCATAAATATGAAAAAATGGATTTGTTACGCACTAAAGCTCATAGCTCAGTGCCGTATCATGTCTTACCGCTGATGCACTAGCAGAGAGGACATAATTTCGTGGCCTTGTCTCCTGAAAATCGGGTGCAGCCTACAGACAGAAGCAGGATGGGACAAACACATAGACTCATGCGATTACATTTACAAAAGTTAACAACACTTTCTCTCAAAGTTTCTCAGACCAGGACTGTGAGTTTTTTGGCCTTTTCACTATTATTAGTACAACTGATATATGACAAATAGTTTTGTAACATTTTATTAGGACTTGCTATGAATGTAAAAAGATGAACTGGCACTGACAATGTTGATGAAGCTATAACAGGGCAAACATGAGCAATTAAATTACATGCAACAGGCATCGCAAGCAGGGATACTGTGCAATAACATCACCTATGTTGTAGATTTGTGCATTTACATTTATCTGATGAAGGAATGGATTTATTTCTTAAAAAGTAAACTCTTTTGTATATGGTAAAAAAAAATCAGTAATATCCTTACGGCTGCTTTTGCTTCTGCCTTTGGCCTTTTTCAGTCGAGCTTTACAGATGTCCAGATCCAGTCGTCTATTCTCCAGAAGTCGCCTCTCTTTCTGCAAACACAACAAAGTGGTGTTGGGACGGAGCATTAATAATTACTGATCCCCCATCTCTCCATCACCCACAGATATGGTCCTCCAGTCTCCCTCCAAGAAGTTTCGCAGAGGAGTGAGGAACGAGGCTGATGATGTTTGGAGAAACTCTCGTTCAGCGGATCCCAGCTTCTTCTGATACTCTCCCACAGTGATCAGTGTGCTGCCTGTGAGTGGGCAGTATGTGAATAAGGCACCACATATTGATGTAATTACTACAACCATAAAATACTGATACTTTACCATAGGGAGAGTCAGCACCAAACTCCTGGGCAGCGTCAAGCATGAATTGGCCCAATATCTCTGCATTCGTGGTCCGCGATGGTATCTTCTTGTCCAACTTGTCATATATAAATTCTTCTATTCGAGCACCTGTACCAATTATAAATTCATTATGACTGCACTGGCATAAACATTCAAAAACATATTTGTCATATTGAAATTAGATCTTTTGCTTTAATAATAACTTCAAAAGAGACAATTAAGTGTTTTAATGGTTCACATCACTGTTATGTTCAAAACAAAACAAACACTTTTTCTACTCTCTTAATAACCCAACATAGAGAGATGTGTTGGTTACAGTCTAATAGAGCATTAGTAATTCTACACCAGGTCAAATCCAGCATGTGTTGGCTTGTTGAGGCACACTGACACACTTCAAGCTCAACACTGTACATTGAAATAATTTAGTATATTTCTTATCCTATATCTGCACTGTCAGTTCCACTAATGCAACAAGCTCAGAACTTACCAGTGTGATCAACTGAGGCATGCAAAACAAATGACAGATACCACTGTTAATAATATAATACAAATATATTAGTTTAGGATCAGTAAGATAGTCAACAAGATTTGTAAGGACTTGCTTGGATTTGGTTGAAGCAGGACTTCTGTTTGTCTCAAGATCTTCTCTGTCCAGTTTTTGGTACAATCCCCCCGAGCTATCAGGTTTTCCAGGTGAGCGTCTAACTCAGTCTTCTCAGCCTGACCAAGCTTCTCCTCTGTGAACTAAAAAAAATAAAAAACATTTCATTTAAATACGTTGTTTCTGATTGCCGTGTTGCCTATTGTTACACAATAATATAATATAAGCCTAACACCAAACCAATAATAAAATCATTACACTGAACTCAAACAGAATCTCCAATTGATTTTTTAAAATTTTCCTTTCCCCCCATTTTTCTGCAATGGGTTTAGGAAGTAATTACTTCTGAAATCATGTTTTAAATTGTGCTCAGAGTTTGCTGCATTAGCCTGAGTCACGTGGATGGTTCTTCTCGATCACATAGCCATCAATAATGGATCGAGGTTTGACATCACTTTATCGTCTTACATCCTGCAGAGCTGCTCCACACTCTGGATTACGGGGAGTCCACATAATAGTCAGATGGGCCTGTTTTTTGTCGTTGTATACAGTCGCCATCATTAAACAGTCCAGTGTGAATAACGCAAGCTCGATCTGCGTGGCCCGCGGCGGGTGTCCACTGGATGCAGCGACAGCGCGCATCAACCCATATAAACCCCTCTCTGTTTGTAGCATCACTCTAACCTTTCATCACTCACCTGCATAGCCCGATTAAAGAAATGCCCCGCATCAGAAGCCAACTTCTTCATGTTGAAATCCATTGCGCCGAGCTACTCCTTGCGTACACGCACGGCTTGTTTGTGTCCGTCCACCGGGGATCCTCGGATCAGCTGAGATGATGTAGCCGCAGATGCACAGCCCAGGAGCTAATCCGCTGAAACCACGATCGGAAATCTTCTCTACGCCCTGTTAAAGAGACACTACAGGGGTCTCTGTCAGAATACGCCGTCAAATATTTAGGACTGCTACCCTGAAAATGACCCCAGATCAGGACCCGGAGCGTCAGTGGGTCAGTTTATTCAATAGGGCTACTATCTGTGCAGTACAATATCATCACGAAGAAATCTACACACCCTCACACACCTGTGCAGGACAGAGGCTATGTAACCCCTTTATATTAGACGAAGCAAGAAGACCACAGGTTTTTACAATAGCCCCCTTGAGACCAGTTCCAGAATAAGTCAGGCAATCTGTATGCTTATGCCGTGTTATTGACAAGCTAATTGTCCCATTTCAATTTTGTTCAGTTGTCTCTTTAAATTAAAGCCCATTTTCTTGCACAAAAGGTATTTTATCACCAGAGAGGCAAACGTAAAGCCCACTGCATGATTCATTCACATCCGGACACACATGTTGGCTTTCCATGCTTTCTGGGGGTATTACACTAACGTACTTTCATTTCCTGTAGACCAGGCTCACCTCATCCCTATCAGTCTAAATCCTGGTCATAACCTATTTAACCCAAATCTGAACATTAAACCATGTTGCCCATCTAATCATAAAAGATTCATGGGGTCATGGAGACCAGATTATTTTAAGAAAGGCAAGATTCCCTGATGTGAATGAATCAACAGATTTTAATCCCCATAATGTGATATATATATAACCCAGCACACACGTACAAAACACCAATAACCTACTTCTTTACCACTCCATCTTTATTGCTTATGCTCAATAATGGTTTGGTACTTGTCAGAATATACAGTTTTATTCAAATGCTGCCGTCTTAGATTTGGTTAATAATCAATGATCCCAAAAAGCTGACAAGATTTTCCAAAGCAAAACATCAGTAGGCAAAACAAACTGACCAACTGAGCCAGGGTTGTGCAGGCTACAATTTCAGTTAGGCCTATATTTAACAGTCAACCCTTAACAGTAATTATTTAATAATTGCCAAAGATTTCAGTAAAAACCAAAAAAAAAAAAAAAGAAAAGAAAAAAGAAACAAAACTAGTAGGCTTTAATTTTAAATGCAAGCCTTCCTCTGCTTTTAATATTGACAATTAACCCAGGATTCAAGAAGCAAACTGACTATCTACACAAATCCTACAAATAAAACAAAAGCTTCTTTAATAAATTTTCCATATAACTCTCCTTAACTCAACGGATGGGCGAAATCACCCAAAGACATTTGAGAGAAACAGTTAACTCAGCTGATGATGCTTTTGATGAAGATGTGCTACATAGAGTTAGAGCTGTGTGCAGTACTTTGAGTTATTGGTTTTCATCTAAACACACACAGTTTAAAAGATAAAAGGAGCAGCTTCTGTGGACATCAGTGACTGCTTTTTACATGCATGTTTATACAGTATATGAAGTGAAACTCAGGTGGAAATGTTTAGTTATAACTGATGAATGCTTTACCAGAATGCACTAATCAAGAAAGACTTGTTCTGGTGGCATTGGCTCTATTGTTCATATGAATAGCTTTCTGTTGTTTGAATTACAGTTACACTTTTGTCCAGTTACACAGTTTTGCAGGAATAAATCTACAAAGCTTTGTGATGAGGAGTGCCAAAGTCTAATAAATACACTATGAGATCACATACTTACTTCAGTGATCGACCTTTAGTCTACCATGGCTTAGTTCTAATGGTAAACTAATGGTATGTAACATGAAATTTAATGCACCCATTGCTCCCCTTTTAGCTTTTAAAATAAATGTGTGTTAGCAATCAGTATAGCAGCATGTTGATCAGTGTCGGTCTTGACAGACGTATGGTCCTGTCTTGTATTTATTAAAATCTGGTTAGATGTATAAATTATGTAGTTTTTAAAACATAAAATAAAGCAAGGTGGTGATCTATTATAAAATAAGAAAAAATAAAGGAAAAAAAGCAATGCTCTCTGCCTACTTTGATCTGTGTCCATTTTTAGTTACTTTTTCAATCTGTGTGGTCTGTATTCTCTCATTACATATTTACAAAGATATTCACAAATGTACCTGTGCAAAATGTGGTCACTTTGTGCTGGTCCCAAGCCTGTAATAAATATGGTTGAGTCAGGAAGGGTACGGGCCACATCAGCACGCCTTAACATGCCATGGTGTGTTAGCGCCAGACCAAAATAATACAATCAAAATACCCATGATTAATTTATAAAAAACTGGACTGGAAGCCAACTACTCATTTGTGGGGTATAAATATGTAGCATTACTGCACAAGAAGGACTGGTATAACATCTATAGTTTACCAATGAGCTTTTGAAAAATCAGGTTTAAATATGGAGGTTGTTTACAGATATTATAAAACATACACACAATAAAACAATAAGACAAAGAATATTTACATAAATAACAAAGAAATCTGACATTGTGCCACATGGAGAGAACACCCCTCTCATCAGTGTTACCATTTCTACACACAAAGTGACTACACCTAACCACCTCCACAGCTCCACACCAACCCCCCGCTCTGATACAGTGGACGACTTGAGCGTCTTATTCTAAACATTATGTCAGTTTATGGTGAGCGAGGTGAGAACCCAGACATCGCTCAGACAATCTTTGAACCCCACAAAAAAAAAAAAAAAAAAAAAAAGATACTCCCCCTCACAAAAATCTGCCCTGCACAGATGCTCTTGAAAAGTAAGCACCCTCAAAAACACCATGCACCATGTTTTAAGTGTCATTTAACTGCTATGAGGAGGGCCAAATAGATATATATCTGATCTACAAAAAAAAAATATTACAAAGAAATCAAAAGAATAATGCACATAATTTGACCCTTCGGCTGATTACAGATGAAGTTTTTCTGGTTTCATGAAACTGTGCCTCCTACAGCTTCAGCCTCTTTGTTCATAGTTTACCTCCTGTCCATGATTTGTTTCCATAGGATCTTCTTTAAAGTTTTCACATTGCTCCATTACTTTTCTGATAAAAAGTACAAGAGAAATAAAAACCGGTACCTCTGAGGTAAAAGTGTAATTTACTTTAAAGAAAAGTCCACAAACCTGGCCATATCCTTGGTGTCTGGATGTGAGCTCTCCAGGTCCAAGACCTTCTCTAGAAGGCCTATTCCTCCCTCTTTGATTAGTAATGGACAGTATTTACTTGCTGTGTGTAAGAAAAAAGCATTTTATGTATAGACTGGATCTCAGTAGGCTATAATGGGGGATGGTTTGAAATTGGCCAAGCATTTGTGATACTCACGGTAAACTGACACCAAGTTGTAGAGAGCCCAAGTGGCCCAGTGCTGACTGACAGGCGAGATGGTCTGAGGCAGCAGTCGCAGGATGGGCTCGAATGACCTGACATATCAAACTCAGGGTAAATACGTAAAACATACAAGAATCCAGAGACATCTGTGCAGTGCAGTGCCTGTTGTTATGTGAAACCTACGATAGCTTATTTACACATAAAACTGTACTCAGTTATATAATTGATATAGGCTTAACATAATTGGAGGGAAAAAAACATTCATTACAGAGATGTGATTCCCTACACTTCAGGGAGTAAAAGTAACTGGATATAGGCTAAAAACACAATGAAAATCTATGGAGTGAATAAATAATGCTCTGTAAAGTGTTGTTGAGTGTCCAGAAAAGCACTATATAAAACTGATGAATTATTTTATTATTATTATAACCATAATGCCTATATAATCACAAAAACATATCCTGTGTCCTTTTTAACAGTTATTTTTATATTGAGTATACCAAAGTCCTTTAAAAGTGCATGATGAGGATAATAATACTCTTTTCAGACATTAAACATTTGACCTGCAAAAAAGACTAAAGATTACCACTTTTGTGACCTTTTCCTCCACATATTGCTACATTTTCAATGTGCTATTATAACTACTATAATTACAAATTACTGCTAATAATTTGATCTTACCTAGTATACTAACATAATAATATCTGACTTCAACTATTGAACTCTCTACTGAAAATGTTCTTATGGACCTGTGAATAATGCATAATGAAATATCAAATAATAAACTTGACATGAGTAAGTAAAAAATTAAACATGAACCTGTAGTTAATGTTGCGTCGTGAGCTGACGTCCCAACTCTGGATGGCCTCCCACATCTTGTCCATGACCGTCTCTCGCAGAGGCTCGTCCATAGACCAAACTTCTGGTCCATCAAACATAATGTGTGAAAGGACGCCACATGCATTATACGACACCTCTATCCCATCTGCTTTACTGTCCAAGAGGTTACTGCAAGGGAAATATAAAGTAAACAATATTCATGTGCTCATTATGTCAGAACTGTTACGTAATTCTTGCATTCATTATCTTTTAAAAGTCAGATATTGTATTTACCTAAACACTGTAATGAATTGTGGGGTGAGCAGTTGTGGCCTCAGTGCTTTGACCTCTGCAACATTTCCAAGCAGACCCAACATGTTACGGTGAAGCTCCTGTTTGTCTGGAAATTCCTTAATAATAATAATAAAAAAAAAACTCTTTGAATACTTATTGGTCATTCTTCAGATCATTCTCATAGATGTTTGTGCTGACCTGCAGACACTCAAGGAAGAGACTCATGCCTCGACAGTTAAGGAACATTTGACAGTTGTCTGGCGTCTCATCGGTGATGTTCCACAGCGCGCTCCATGAGAACTCCATCACCTGGTCACACTATTGACCACACGGAGCACATGTACAGTTTAGTCCCAAATATTAAGAAGCACAGTTCAAAGACTTTAAGACTCACCATTCTGTCATGCAGCTTCTTTTGAATTAAATTCAACATGGTCTAAAACACAAAGACACAATATTAAGCAACCTTCTCATAGAAAATACAAGAAAAATACAAGATCAAAACCAATCAATATTTACTATTTGTGTTTTGTTATCGACAGTCAGTGTTTTTATCCTCAATATTTTGCTTTTTGTTATAGGCTTAAACATTAGAGGTTGGAAAAAAATGAAATGTTTTTTGTATCTTTCAGAACAGGTTGTGTTTGTTAAATAATGTTAAATGTTAAATTAATTAAATAATAACTTGTGCAGTCATTTTCTAATAAAATGCTTTGCATCATCCATACCTTGACAAATCCCATTTTCCCAACAGCCTCTTTGTGGTGGTTGTCTACTTGACACACTAATGCATTGCAGAGATGTACAGCAATTCTCTGGATGGACTCATCCTGTCTGGCTGGCTCCAGAATTTTGAGCAACAGCTGGTTGACCCGACTGTACTGAAACTCCAGCTCCTCAGGAATACTGAAGTTACATAGCGTCAGGCAGCAGTTTCTTTGGACCTGAACAGAACAGAAACAAGATTTAGGCTTTACCTGGAAAGTCCAAACACTATTAATTTAGAAGACCTCACTTACAGTAACCTCCTGGTACTGCTCCATCCCATTCAGCACTACTTCAATGACCTCTCTGCGCAATCGCACACTTTGATCACTGCGATACTCTGTGTTCGTCAAGTAAAACAGGGCAGCACTGCCTGTCACTTGGATGCTTTTATCATATTTATGACACTTCAGTGCTGCAATAACAAGCTAAAAAAGAAAACAAAGAGTTCATTAGTCAGAGTGTAAAACATAAACATAAATTCAATCAAAACAATTAAATCTTACTTGCAAAGCTCTAAGGAGCTGGCTACAATGTTGTATCCTGGCTATGTCAAATAATTGATTGATAGCTCTGTGGGCCAACTCTGGACGAAATTCAGTGTAAGCTTCAATGGCATTCAAAACTTGGTCTTCATTTTTTGATCCAGTTACCTAAAAATACAATGCACAATACAATGAGTCCAAATCAAATAAGGATGTGTCGGTGACTGTTGATGTCTAGTATCTATTCTGGAGCATTTTTAAAAATTTATTACAGAAACAACAAACCTTGTAGGCAGGGATGTGTGTCACGTTGCACAAAGTGGTATCATATAAGCCCAAAAATTGCAGAGGTCGTTTCAGTTCTTGGAAGGGGTAAATGCTACTCTTACATGGCTCAATACTACAAAAACAAAATATATCAAGTTAAAAAACGATTTAGCAATAAATCATACAAATCATAAATACTGCAAAATTACGCTTTTACCTTGGTCGGCCCATAGCTTCTTCAAAGTGTGGAACTGTGCAGTTGTCTAGCATAATGTGTCCAGAGATGTCTAATGACACTAGATGGATCAGTCTCTACAATAGCTACAAGTATTTTTTTTGTCATTTTAAATCTGGAGGCTTTTCTGCTCTCACGAGAGATATCCAGATGCCTAAAAAATGTTGAGATCTATTAGAGATCTGTTATTTATTGTTCAGAAAGTATAATTGTAAAGGCAGCAAGGGAATCATTAAGTGTTTTGTAAGTGATTTCTTACCTGAGATTAACAAGTTCCAGTACAGTGTTTACCAACTCCTCTGAGAGGTCCACGTTATAGAGAACAAGAGAAGCTAGTCTGTCTTTCCATTGGATGAGAAAGGTTGTACCTTGCAGCTGTACATTAGATAAATCTAGTGATGTTATAGATTTGAGTGGTCTGAGGAGGGCCTCAACATCCACCTCTTCAGACAGACCTCCTAAGTTAAGCAAGCGAAGGCGGTTGAAGCCTTCAAAGTTAAAGTCCGTCTCTAGTGCTTGCCTAGAAGCAGGACTGTCCTCAGAGTCATCGTTACAAGCGAGTGGAGCACCACCCTTTTTGTAAAATAAGTTGCTGCAGTTGAAAAGACAAAGTGAAACTAAAGTCTCTCGAAAACATGTTAAAGTTTTCAAGCTGCGTGACGATAGATTGTTGCAGTAGATGAGATGAAGCTCAATAAGATCCTGCAAGAGAAAATGTAACATTTGATACTAAAATAACACAGTGACAATAATTTACAAGATAATGCAAGCAAGGAGGTCTCACCTGTTTTCTTATAGCTTCAAGGTCTCTGTCACGCACAAAGTCTTCTCTGAGCTGTACCCGGGTCAGTCTGGTGCTTCGGGGGTCTGAGAACAGTTGAAAGAAACTCTCCTCTGGATCAAAATTACTATTTGTATGAACCAACTCCATATATCTGTTGTAAAATAAATCCATCATAAAGATTTAAACAGTAAAAAAAAAGAATATTTGAAAATGGCATGTATAAGTTACATACGTGTTGACCAACTTGTCACAGATTTCACTTGGAAGAAAGATGTCAGATCGAAGACACAGCTTGTTTCTGAAACCCTGGTAACACATGGTATTCCTGAGATTTTTCAAGCAAAACACTGTTGCCAGCGTCATAAGGCTATCAGGGTTGTCTCCTGCTTTGGCTGCCATGTTCACCTCTTCTTTTCTAGCTCAGATCAATGACAAGGCAGTGCAGGTTGCCTGCAAAAACATCAGATACAGTATCAATTAAGATAAAGTATTAAAAATATCAAGTTGAAACCAAAACCATTACGGCCCAATTTTAGATACTGAAAAAGTTTTTCCAATGTTTATGTCTTAGGTAGCTCAGCAACAGTTTATAACTGCTATATAACATTTGTTATACAGGTCTAACAAAGACTATTAAAGAAATGCATAATTTAGATAGCCATTATGACTAGTCATGCACAGGCTGTAACTAACTTAGCAAGGTTGCTAGCTAAGAATAATTTACTTCACCAGCACCAATAATTCAGAGCTACTGCTAAAAACAACATAAGTGTTCCGTCAGTATATTCAAATGACACAACGCCACCAATTTGTAACTGTGAAACACGTCTTTTCTCACCAACACAATGTCATCGGTGCATTTCAGAATCTAAATTAGCTTAGCTACCGATGACTTTCTCTGCTGCTATGATGTTAGCTAACTTAGCTGGTGCAGAGCTAGCATTAGCACACAGGTTAGAGGGAAAATGCATACTACAAAATGTGGTCAGCGCTCTTCTAATGTTCGTGTCTGTAGGGGGTGGTCTACCTTAGCCTTCGCCAAGGCGAAGTGTCCTGATGTGGGCGCGAAAGGGTGTTATTACAGATAATCTTCACTCATATGATTCTGGTATTCGTCCGATGTCAACAAACAGACTCCTCCTACTACTTGTACTAGAACTCCTCTTGGCTGCCCGTCACCTTCTCTGTCGATTCTTTCCCTAATACATCCGTGACCTATTCAGTCCGAAGCCTCCACTCCCACCATCCTAATCAAAATTCGCCCTATGCAGATTTCCATAATGATAGGTTATGATATGGGTATGACACTCAACCACTTATCTTGAATACTTTTAAAGACACGTAGATAGATATACTAAGATATATTAAATACAATTTTCACAATGGTCATCACATTTTGCATCATATACCCATGATTCGGACTAATTAAGTGGCTCTTCTGTCTCCTGTCACCCAATGTTTATTATCTAGGGGTATTAGGTTGGATTCTGAACTTAACACCTTTGAGTATCCGTTATGTATGTCTAGTTATGATGATATTTTTTGGATTCCCCAAGACCTTCACACCTTCTCCATTCATACATGTTGTTGCCCTCTGCACTGATATTGTAATAGATCCATGGTGACTGCTCTGTGTGTCAGTCTGGCGTCAGTGTGCTCTGTGCTCTGTGGTAAAGGAGACGGAAGTGATAGAGGAGGACTTCCCTCCGGACAATAATTCAATCATTTTTAACAGAGCACAGCCGCTTTCACAGACATGTCTACAGCATATAAAAACAGGTAGGAAAACGGTAACATTTATTTTGCGCTTTATTCGTGTATATTTTAACAGCAAATAGTGCCAATATCGTCATTAATTTTGCAGCTTCCAATAAAACCACATAAGGGATGGGTTAGCATCACAGCTAGCTAAAGAACAATATACGCCAGGGCTTTAAAAACATAACTATACGCTTTACAAAACATTTTTATTTACCAAAATATTATTCTATTCAATGGTTACACGTTATGCCAATATTCCGTTTTTCGCTACAAGTTTTGCTTGATGTTAACTGCAGATAGCAGATGTTAGCACATCAGCTGACCCACACTTCCTCTCTGGCTAACAATTAGCCATCCCTCTGCTGGAGCTGCTGACAGTTTTTTTTTTTTAACACAGCCACGCTGAATGTGCATGTGCATTTTTTTTCTCATTTTCATTTTAGACATATATATATATATATATATATATATATATATATATAAGTCATGTCATGAGTCATGTCTTAATTTTGGATCATTTGGAATTATACCATTACCATATTACCATCTAGTGTTCAGTTGGTGTACCTGCATTCAAAGCGATTGTTTTTTGTTGGCACATTTTGTTCTATATCTTGCATTTGGTTCAGTTATAATGTACAGATATGTTAGAAATTTTGCTAAAACATTCACAATAAAGTGTATTCTGTATTTGTAGAATACAGGAATTTAAAGTGGCACTGAGTGAAGAAAACATCAATTTGAAGACCTTGCGAGAGTTATGCTTCAATGGTAATTTGTTTTTTACTTTTCTGCTGTAATCATTATTGTCATTAAAGAATTGTCTTCTATGCTACAGGTATCCCATTTGAAGGAGGTATACGAGCACTTTGTTGGAAAGTAAGTAGTAATAGTTGGTGTCAGTGAGTCTTACTTACTGTTGAAACTACTGTTGATAAAACAACCAGCTGTACATTAAGTAGTTGCTGCTGTCCATTGATCTGATGTAATTTTGTTCTATGTAATTTTTTTTTTTGTAGATTCTCCTCAATTACTTACCTCTTGATCAGACGGTATGGGAATCTTTCTTAAAAAAGCAAAGGTAAAAGTAATGTTTGTTTATATACATTTAATCTTTTCTCAACTGACAAGTTGGCAACAATAGCTTATGAAATGTTGTTTGGTCACCACATAAACACAGGCATCCACAGTCTCATGTTGTCTGTTATAACTTACTTTTGCTACGATGCTGAAAAAAATCTCTTCAACAGCTAACAATATATTTTGGTTTCCAGTGTATTTACTTTTCTAGCTTTTATATTCCTTGCCTCAGTAATAATAATAATGCAGTTATAATGTCCATCATAATTTAATATAATACAAATAATAAAATAAGTGTTGATAAAAATGTATGACATACTTTAAAATATCCATCCATTATTTGTGTATTTTTTTCCTTTGAAAGGGAGGTGTACTCACAATTTTTAAAAGAAATGATCATCCAACCCGGTATTGCTAAAGCAAATTTGGGCCTTTCTCGAGAGGATGTGACATTGGAGGATCATGTGAGTTGGTCAAACTATGTTCAAATGTAATTCACAGGTTTCTTTAGTTACACCTGTATTTTTGTGTCATACCTTGGCACTTCTGAGAAAGCAGAGTGCAGCTGATGACACACGTATGACACAAAAATAAAAATATTCCAACTATAAGAACCTGTAACGACTTGATGAGCCTAATTGGACCATGTTCAAATGTTTTATTGCACATAAACACCATGAATTTTAGTTTAGTTTCCTAACTATTGACTTTACTTTTAGCCTCTGAATCCAAACCCTGATAGTAGGTGGAATACCTACTTCAGAGATAATGAGATTCTTCTTCAGATTGACAAAGATGTGAGGTATGAACCCTTTTTAATCAAAGATGCTTGCTACAAAAACATAACTAAATGCAATGTATTCGCAGGCGGCTATATCCTGACATGGCATTTTTCCAGCGGCCGACTGACTACCCATGCCAGCTTATTTTAGATCCTCAAAATGATTATGAGACACTTAGGCGACGAGTGGAACAAACTACCTTGAAAGCACAAACTGTCAATCGCAACCGCAGTGGAGTCACAAATGTCAGTTGCCGTTGAGGGTATTGTGTATTTTGTTGCTTGATTTTTTTATTGTCTGTTTGATCATGTTTATAGGTTAGCTCTCCTGGAAAAGCTTTGAACCTGTATCCATCCAATGAATATGAAGTACTGCCCAATGGAAGTGAAGCACATTGGGAGGTTGTGGAGCGAATCCTGTTCATTTACGCCAAGCTGAACCCAGGCATAGCTTATGTACAGGGCATGAATGAAATTGTTGGCCCAATATATTATACCTTTGCAACAGATCCCAACAGCCAGTGGAAAGGTAAGAGAACAGGTCCATGTAATTGGAACACTGCAATAAAATGTTAAACCTTTTGCCTCTTTTTATTTGTCAGAGCATGCTGAAGCAGACACTTTCTTCTGTTTTACAAACCTGATGTCCGAAAACAGAGACAACTTCATTAAGAGCCTGGATGATTCGCAGTGTGGCATCACTTACAAGATGGAAAGTGTGTACTCAATGCTAAAAGAGAAAGATTTAGAACTCTATCTGAAATTGGTGAGTGTCAGCCTGTGTGCGCCAATTTCATCAGTTGCAGCCAATTGTGATTTGGTATAAAAAGGGCACAATGCATCAATGTCTTTTCCTCTGAATCAAAATTGGCTTTGAAATTTTAATCATGTGATAACACTGTGGCTCTACATTCACAGTGTAATTAATCTACATTTATATTTCTTTGTTATCTATTTTACAGGAGGAGCAGAACATCAAACCCCAGTATTTTACATTCCGCTGGCTGACCCTGTTGTTATCACAGGAGTTCCTTCTGCCAGATGTCATCCGGATTTGGGACACCCTGTTCTCAGATCTGGACCGTTTCCATTTCCTGATTGTCGTCTGCTGTGCAATGCTAATGTGGATTTTACATTTCGTTCATTATTTCTTTCTGTCAGTAATAATAATAACTTAAACTGTTTTTCTATCCGCAGACTCATCAGACAAAACTTGCTTGCAGGGGACTTTACTGTGAATATGAGGTTATTACAGGTAAAGGTGCTGAAATATTACCTCAGGATTTCAGGACGACTAATTGGTCCAATAGTTAATTAGTGTGTATTTTTGGCCAGTCCAATTAAATTAGATCTTATGGTTTCTTATTATCAAACCAGTATTTTGATCATACCTTGATCTTTTCAGTTGCACTTTGCTGCCTTACCCAGAAGTGTCATGTGATGTTGATGATATGGGTCCAGTCAGCTGATTTAGCATATGGCGCAGGGGAACAGGCAGAGCTTTGAATACATGAAAATGGGGCACAACACTGAGAAATTGCTTAAACATGCAAAACAAGCCCACCAGGAACATCTTAAATCTGCTAGGAGAATTTGGACTGTGCCAAGGTAAAAAAGAAAATAAGTCTTTAGTCATAGAAAAACCTCAGTAAACACCAGAGGCTATCGAGATCTAGAAATGCACCCACGTGACCCACAGGACTGTGTAGGGTGTACCTAAAAGATCAGATACACTTCTGAACACAGGAGAATTCAGAGGGCAGCAGAGTGCAGCTGAAATGGTCTATATTGAAATGTAGAACTGATAATAAGTGTTTAAGTGTTAATGATATTTTCACATGCTAATGGCCTTCATTAGCTTTCGCTTCCAAATGATTCTAGTTTGATAACTGCACTCAACATTGACGACACAGTAATTTATAGAGTTGTTCCACTGGACTATTGTTTTGGCTTATGCATCTCAATTGCTATTGGCTGTTTAAATGTTTGTTTTTTTAAACAAAGGATAACATTTTTTTCCCCCTTTCAGGATTATCCAATCTCAGATGTACAAACCATTTTGGCTAAAGCCAAAGACCTGCGGGATAACTCCTAACATCAGTAAAACCCCAAACTACTTTTGTATTTAGTAGTCTGCTGACTGCCATAGGAATAGGACGGAAAGCTGAAGTATTGTTTTGTGTGCGATGAGCTGATGGCCACAAGTTGAATGTGGTTATCCTCTTCAAGCCATTTCTCCCATGGAGATTTCTTATCCTCTAAGAATGATGTTTGCTACATTAATCTTACACTACCAATTTCAGTACATCAACATGCTGGAAATGTTCAGTAATGAAGCCAACAGCGATGCCACTTGTTTTGTGTATCAAATATTTATAGTTTAAGCAATAGTGCATGTTTGTTTTTAAACTTTTTTTTAAAGGATTTTTTAAATGTAACAAGTCAGCCTTATTTTGTAGTACTCATGTGAAATGAGAGACAGTATTTGTATTGCCTTGTATTGCCTTGTTGTGATATTACTGAAATGTCACAACCAGCTTGTATTTATTGAGCTTCAAGTCTCAAATCACAATGCATCTCATTTGCCGAAATATTCTACTACTCTGTGACTGAGCATGTTTACTTTCATTTACGAACAATGCCACATGTTTTAACCAGTTTTTGTTAAGCGTTTTAACAAATTTAAGACATCTTGAGGTATTATGTTAATTTCACCCATGCATGAATAGGTTTTTGAAGAAAAGTAAATGATCTACATCAAACATTTCATACATCTGAATGTAAATGTGATTGTCCAAGCGTATTCCCAACCTTTTTAATCTTCTGTTTTCTCAAAAACTACATATCCCTATGTTCTCAGTTATATATTTTGAAAAAAGCACCCAATGTTCCAATGTCTGAGTTTATTTTATTATTTTTAAAGCTTTATGTTCCTACGTTTACAAAGTTTCTTTTTTATTCTCACGTGCAGGAGATTAGTCATAGTAATAAGACCGTATACATAAAAGACTATGATGACAAATCTATTATTTTAACAGAGCCATGTGATAGCCCTCATCCTGACCATAGCCTTAACCCAGAATTTGATCTGATAAGTATTTGAGTTTTGAGCTAAAAACACACACTTCTGAATATGTGCTATGATCCCCAAAAGTGAAAATCTCTACATAACTTCATCATACCCAAGTTTACCATCTCCTAAACAGGTCGGGAACCCTTACCCTGCTTCTGTAAAGACCACCCGACCAGCCAGTGAGAACGCTTTGACAAAACTCAGAAGGAAATGGCTGGTCTGGCGACTGAAAAGATGCATTCCAGACACTATAACTTTATTTTCAAATATAAAACTTAAAATAATACACCAATATTGTACTGTTGTTTCGGGAGATCTTTTTTTTTTTGTGTGTGTGTGTGTGTGTAATGAATTTGTGCTTCAGGGTTACTGCATCTTGGGATATGGGGATAATGTCTATTCCACTGCATGAGTCAAAATTTCTGAGCACATTGTTCTAATGTATTAAACGACTTCTATTATTATTATTTTTTATTATTTTTATTATTATTATTTTGCATATGTACATTAAAATCAAGGTATAAAAGTCTGACAAACTGAGCGCTTGACGTCTACCCGCACTGAGAAACTATAAAACTCCTCCTCCGACTGACCCTCTCTGACCCGACTGCTTCATAATATTTCCCGCTATGGGTATCGTGGAAGGGGCGAGCACAATTATTGTTAGCTCTTATGGTTAGGGTGTTGCCTAACATGTCTTGATCATTGAATTTGCGTTTTTATGTTTTTTACGCAACCAAGTTTCTCCCTTGAGCTATTTTATTTTATTATGTTGGAGCTTGGAAGGCGCGTGTTTGGTCAGTGGCTAGTGGGTAAGCTTACAGCTAACGCAACATGTCATTACAGCTTTTGTCAACACTGACACTGTATTAGGCCTATCATCAAATATAACTTAGATCCCTCGATATAACAATCACCCATATCTTGAGTTAAACAAGTCCGTAATCTGTATGTATTTGTTCTTTATACAGTCTATGAACTGTGTTTCTCAAACTGTGGTAGAGTTACTTCAGATGGTACTTGGGCAATTCTTCAATACGTGGATTTGCCTAATTTAGAGGTCATTTTATCCACTTTTTGTCCTCCTTTGGATTATGTCTTGCTACAGTGGGAATGATGTAGCCCTAGATTAGATTTGGAATAGGCCTGATTTATTATATGTTATTATATTGTAGTGACCAGACGTCTCTATTTACCCGGGATAGTCCCAGTTTTACACAAGAAATGTCCCAGATGTCCCTATTTTTGACCAATCTGATACCTGCCAACAGTAAAGAGAGGCATAAATTGTCATTTGTTTAGGTAAAATAGAGAAAAGCTGCTTAAAAATGACAAAAACGCAAAGAAAATGTGACTATAATCACATTAGTTTGGGTTGGTTGGTAACAATAAAATTGTGAAACAAGTGCATAATTTGTTTCACAATTTTATTATTACCAACAACCCAAACCAGACTTGTCCCAGTTTTTTATTTTGAAAATCTGGTCACCCTATTATAGACCTGATTTATTTCAGAAAGCCAAATCTTTTTGTTGGCAGTACTTGGTGTTTGAGAGCCAGGCATTATAGACTATATGATGCTCAGACAGTCCCAGATAAGTGCTGCGCATGCACTAGATGTCAGTGGAGTCAAACTTTGTAATGAATTGCATAACATTTTATGACTTTGTACTTTACAAGTAGGTTACAGATGAGATTAATTGGTTTTAAGACATGTTCCAAAGTTCACTGATCCTTACATTTAGACATGAAGACAACTAAGTGCGAGGAACTTGTATCAACAGACTGAGAAAAATAAACAGGTGAGCAATTTCTTTTAGGGTTTTCCAAAAATGTATTTATTGTTACTTATTATGAACAATAGTAAAACTTGAGAGCTTTTACTCTTTCCTGAACATGTAAGTACTTAACCCACTCAGATTTAAGTGGTTTATAGTTTAATGCATCGCATGGTACACAGAGGTGGGTTATTCAGTTACATTTACTTGAATAACTGTTTAAAGAAATTTTACTTTTCAGAGTACCTTTTTAGCTGTATACTTTTACTCCTACTTGAGTAATACTTTTATTGAAGTAAGACTGTTACAACTTCAGTAAAATATTTTGGTTACTCTTCTCACTGTGAGTAAATGCACACGTGACAAAAGATTTATGTCAACAGATATATTATATATATATATATATATATATATATATATATATATATATATATATATATATATATATATTATATATATTATTTTTTTTTTTTGTCTATACATTGAAAATGTGTGCATTTGTGCAGATTTGTGCATTATTTTAAGTTTTGCCCTTCTAATTACATTTACTTCAAAGCATTAATCAGATGTTATGTCCCGACAGTTCCATTTACTTGACAATATTATTTTGAACTCTTACTTACTCTTACTTGAGTACAGTACAAATTTTGGCTACTTTACACACCTTGAATGGTACAGTCCTTGTTTGTGTATCTATTTTAACAGGTCAAGATGAGGTACTGCAGCACACGGGGTGAGGTCTGTGGCTGGGACTTCCGTGATGTCTTGTTCTCGGGTTTTGCTCCAGATGGGGGAATGTTCATGCCTGAAAATTTTCCGTTGCTGAGTCCAGATATCCTGAAGAGTTGGAGAAACCTCTCCTATCCCAAACTAGTTGTAGAAGTGGCCTCTCTGTTCATTCCCTCAGAACTTATACCCCGAGATGATCTAGCAGGTGTGTTAAAATCAGTGTGTGTGTGTGTATCCTCAATTCTTCTACACACATCAGGATGCTTTCACTTTGACAGATTTTTTCAACTTTATGGGCCACTACTTAAAAACTTTAAAGTTGCAAAAGGAATAATCCTGTGAACATTCAGATTTGAATGATGAAAATGCTAATGCATATAAAAATGTAGTTAATTTTATTTCTCTTCCAGCCTTGGTACATGATGCTCTCTCTGGTTTCTCTGTGCCTGAGGTGGTAAAGATGGTGCGATTGAAAGATGGTCTGTCTTTGTTGGAGCTCTTTCATGGGGATACGCTGGCCTTTAAGGATTTGGCCATGACTTGCACTGTACGTTTCATTGACTACTTTTTGCACAAGGAGAATCGCAGGGCCACTGTTCTTGTAGGTAAGGACTAAAGAAGGACATTATGTTAAGCCCAACAAAAATGATCAGTAAGCTACAGATATTAATTCTGTTTATATATAGTAACTTCAGTAAGTCTTCTCGCCCTCTTTTTAGTTCTTTCAATTTGATTACAGTGTATGTAGCCAGAGACTGCTGAGCGCTCACTAAGGCCATTTGTCTCTGATGGATCACTTTGGTTAGGGTTAATCAGCTTTTGGTCATTTTTGATTTGTTCCTTTTGATCAAATCAGGACCAATCATTGGAATTTACCTCCTGTGGACTCTGTAAAAAGTGCATAACCATCACAGCCATGATTGAGAGAAATCTGAAGGAGCTACTGTAATATATTTATTGAGTGAATGTGTGGGGTGTTACTAATTTTCTCACTAAAAAGACAGAATATAAACTTTCTTTTTCATATCTTATCTTCCTAAAATTCAGTTTTTATTTATCTAACATAGAGTAATCAGAGTAGAATTTGGGAATAATAAATAATTAAATTTGATTTAGTACACCATCATTAAAATGAATGAATTAAACAGGATGTGGAAACCTGCAGAAGCCATTAAAATATGGATGTTACAGTTGATCACATCAGATAAACCATCATTTAAAATGTAAATAGTATTTTTTTATTTAAATCAGGCACTTCAGGAGACACTGGAGGCTCTGCTGTCCAAAGTGCCAAGGGTTTGTCTGGGTTGGATGTGATGGTCATTTATCCAAGAGGACGCATAACTCCCGTCCAAGAGAAACATATGATAACAGCGCTCGAGGATAATATCCATGTTTTTGCAGGTATTTCAGTGAAAGTAGAAATGTTACACTCTTACGAAAGCATGTCTTGAAACTGTTGTACTGTAGCTTTATTACTGTTTGTATGCCCACAGCTGATGGTTGCTCTGATGACATTGATCAGCCTGTACGTCGCCTTTTTGCTGATCAAGACCTTGTTAAATCATATGGTCTCATGAGCCTGAACTCGGTAAACTGGTCCAGAATCATGGTCCAGCTGGTGCACTATATCTATGCATATGTTCAGCTTACTGACTTGGACCAAGTGACAGACCTCCAAACATCACCTGAACTGGAAGTTGTGGTTCCCACTGGAGGGGCAGGAAACATTGCAGGTCAAACAGAAACTTATGATCTTGCAATGTACTTTTACTGTGTAACTGCAGGAGCTATTGTTGATTAGGTCAGTTGTAATTGTTATCAAGTCATAGTAACTTCTAATAAGAAATTCTATCTGGTTTGTTTGTCTTAGCTGGTTACATTGTGAAGCAGATGGGTTTGCACCTGAGACTTGTCGCCATGGTGAACTCTAATGATATTGTGCACAGGACAGTCACCAAAGGGGACTTTTCAATGGCATCAGAAGTCTTCCAAACCTTGGCACCTGCAATAGACATTCAGGTACATTATCAGTGTTCTTAGCTTTGTAAAATAAGAGTGGATAATGGTGGTCAAGGTTAATAAATGTACAATGAGACTCTTAGCCATAACCTGTTTTAGTCTGGCCCCCTACACATTTTTAATAAAATCTATTATAGTGTATTAAGAGTACCCTATTGTTGTAAATTCCCTAGTAAAACATAGTTCAGTAAATTCAGGCAATCATAGGCAGCTCAGGAGTCCTTGTTAGCACCATGCCCTTGACCATGGTTGCTTCAGATTATTACCTTTAACCTATCTAAGTCTGCATTTATGAGAGTGGGTTTGTAAATATTTAATTACTTCCTTGATTGCTATGTAATGTTTTGATACTAATTAACTTCATTAACTTGTTTAATTTAATTGTTGATGTAAACTGTTACAAACAGTCATTCATATGCTGATAATATGTGCTAGCTATTACTACTCTCATATCACTAGCTTTCAGTTAGTGGTATGATTTTAAATGTTCTTATAGATTACCAGATGAAAGGATAGATAACCAGACAGACAGATAGAAGAAAGGGCATTAAAGCTCTTCAAATCCGTTCAAGTGTCCTCTGTCACTCTGGATGAAGTGTCCCAGTACAGTCTACAGTCCTAGACATGCCCAATACCTATATTTTACAGAAATGACAAACATATATTCAATGACAAATTATATTTTATTTGTTTATTTATATATCTCTTTCACAGACATTTTCACTCCCCAAAGGCGCTTTACAGAGCATTATTCAGCATTATTCATTCAGCGTTCATTCATTGTATTATTATTTATTTAGTTGACTTTTATTGCCACAGTTAGAAAACACAGTAGGCCTACAGTTCTTAAATGGTTTATTTATTTGTTATTTTTTGTGAGATTTATAGGATCCATACAACATGGAGAGGGTATTCTGGCTTCTTCTTGACAAAGATGGAGCTAGTGTAAAGAGACTGATGGAGGAATTTCAGAATTCACATAGACACACTTTGCCTGAAAACCACCGCAAATTGGTAAAATATCAACTTTTGCCTCACACTCATGTTGAGATCTTCTGCTAAATATTGCATTATCACCGTAGCTTTCTCAACTGCTGTCAACTGGAACAGTAAATGATGACGGTATTTTGGAGACAATGAGAAGGTGTTGGGAGGAAAACCAATACATACTCTGTCCACACACTGCTGTAGCAGTGTGGCATCATTACAACTGCCCCCACAAACATGGACTGCTCAGGTCAGACTTCTTTCAAAATCATTAAGAAGTGCTTGTGGACAGACTTTAACTGAATCAACTCTTATGTCCTTTTCAGGTGTTATATTGCTACAGCATCTCCAGCCAAGTTTCAGTCAGTGATTCAGAAGGCAGGCCTGACCTTTGACCTTCCAGAGAAAGTACAGGAGCTGGACAAGTTACCCACTAGATATGAAAACTTGGAAAGAGGGCCAAACTGGTGCAATGACTGGGAAGACAGACTCAGAGAAAAAATAAAGGTTGTATCCTCAGCCAGATCACGCAGTGTTTCCTACTACAGATAGCCTGTTTTAATCAAAGCTATGTCATCTAATAATGTTGTGTCTGAAAATTTAACAATAGAAGGCTATATTATTGTAACAGATGGTTTTAACCAATGGTGTCATTTGTACACATTCTTATTAAATATGTGTTATATTAATGCCTCTACTTATTATTGCCTTCCTTGCTATTTCCTGTCTGTAGGTGGCGCAGTGGTAAGCCATCTGGTACTTTTTACTAACTGTCGGTGCAGAGCAGCTTTAATTGGTTTTATTTTAGGAGATTAAGAGATTAGTTTATGCTTCAGTGAAAAGCGTATGTCTCTCTTACTGACAGACTTAAGATATTTTCTGTATACACCACAGGCTGTATAATAGGCTCAGACTGTATGGTGTTGTATTATTGTTTGACAGCTGTGTCCAATGTAAGGTTGATGGTGTGTATTCTTATATTGTTTTACCACTGGAAAAACTTACTCACAATAATATATAATACTATAAGGTTTTTGTTGAGAAAGTGAGGATTTTTTTCTACTCGTATAATCCATTGTTCGGCTATTACAGTGTTTGCTAAATTTCCGAGGAGCCCTGAATGTTACACGTAGTTTGACAGCTGGACAACCAAACATGGCGGCTGCTAACAGGAGCTACCAACACCTTCGATTATAGTCCGCGCCAGCTCTCTGTTTGTAGCTCACGACGAAAAAGATGCGCAGAAAACGAAATAGCCCAGTTTCCTGTTTATCTGTGTTGCTGTTGTTGTCGACGAGCTTTGTTATTGTTTTGAATCGGTATACAGACAGACAGTGCCGATAGGAGGTGGACTACCTGGACTGGTTGGCTATGCTCTTCTCTGGAGATGTTTAACAGGTAATCAAAAGCTTTGCGTATTGACAGCATACGATCATTTGTTTAATATGTCACTCAGATAACATACACAAGAAACAAATTGTAGACTTTTATAAAACAAAACGAGCGTTCTAAACCAACCCTCTGTACATGTCACTTGAGCTCACACTGTTCGTCTCTCTGGTTGGAGGATGAGTCCTGTTTAACACCTGGTGTGCTGTATGTAACAATGTGAGACTACATTCAAAATGGGTAGAAAGGTTTGTTTGTGGTAAATAGTTGGCCTCTGCCTGTGTAACTATCTAACTATGTAACACTATGTTTGTTCCTGCTCATGTGACTGTCACTTTCTCTTCAGATAACAGAGCTTCACTCAGTCCACCTTTAAACACTAACTCCAGGGATGATGTCATCACCATCAACAAAACCAAAGACCCCAGACTCTCTTTCAGTGTCCTCCCTGCTGTCTGCTGATTTGGACAGTGATGGCGATGGAACTAGGGGGGACGACAATGGGCTGCGAGACTTGGAAGTAAATCCTTACGATGGTTTGCCATTTTCTTCCCGATACTATGCTCTTTTGGAAGAACGAAAAAAATTGCCTGTTTGGGGGATCAGACAAAACTTCCTGGAGCAGCTAGAGAGCAACAGCATGTTACTTGTCAGTGCACCAAGTGGATCAGGAAAGAGCACCCAGGTAACCAGCATCTTACAGAAATACACAAATATACTCAAAGAGAAAATTACTGTCCAAATAAAAATTGTATTCATCTACCCGAAAGGTGTACTTTATGTACTTATGTACTAAAAGAGCCATTAAGTTTTTTTTTTGTTGTGACGTGTTTATACAGGCTGTTCATCTTACAATTCTTTCAAGTTAATGAATGACAACAATAAACTCTGACCAAATTACACTCCTGTTGTAATCTCTTCACTCTTGTAAATCTTTTGCTTCACCCAATCCATTTTTTACTAGCATATATTTTTTTCATCAGTGATCTGGAAGACTGCAGATAAAAAAACAATTTGAACATAAATCAATTTGGAACTATTTTAATTGTTTTAAATAAATGTATGATGTTTATATTTTAATCTCTGTAAAAAAAAAAAACATGTATATTTTGATTACTTTTGTGTGTAATAATCCATCTCAACAATATAAAAATTATATTTCTTCTCCCTCCTCCCTGTGTCTCTGCAGGTGCCTCAGTGGTGTCTGGAGTATGCTTTGTCCTTTGAGTTTTCTCATGGCCTGGTGTGCTGTTCTCAGCCGTATTCAGTGGCAGCAGTGAGTCTGGCTCTGCGAGTGGCTGATGAGATGGACCTGAGTTTGGGGATGGAGGTGGGGTACAGAGTGTCCCATGATGACAGCTGCACACCGGACACCCTCCTCAGGTCAGGCAACAGACATATACATGATAAAAGTGTTCAAATCACACATAGGCAGCAGTTATTAGATCTTCCAGGTAGATCTTAACCAGGCTTTAAATTTCAGACATGACACAATGTGTTGCATAATCATGCACAACTTGCCACACCTTTATACTTTCTTTAATCCCCTTTTGTACCTACACATGTATGCCAAACATTTTGGGTGTGTTTTTATTTTTAAAAATGATAATTATTTATTAAATTATAATACATTATTGTTATTTATTGTTCCTCTCTCACCTAAGGTTTGTCAGTGACACTTATCTACTGGAGGAAATGATGTCCGACCCACTCCTTCATCAGTATGGGATAGTGATGTTGGATGAACTTCAGGAGCGCACTGTCCACACTGACGTCCTGTTGGGACTGCTATGTGACGTTTGCCAGCAAAGACCAGACAACTTTCGTGTTGTGCTCCTGACACACCCCACGTTAGTTCCCCGCCTTGCCTCTTTTCTTGGACCAACTGTGCCCCACCTCTCACCAGATAGTCCCATTACAGATGGCCCCACAGATAGTCCTACAGAGGTGCCTAAGGAGGGGGGTTGTCAGCCTTTTGGAGGCAAACAAGTGGAAATATTATACAGAGAAGTGTTACCTGGGAAGGACCCCGTGGTAGCAGCTTGTCACATGGTGCTTGATTTGCACAGAAGGGGAGAGGAAGGTGACGTCATGGTGTTTTTGGCCAGTTCACAGGTACAAACAATAATCATATTAAAATGTAGGGACATGTAATGTCAGTTTTTGTTAACAATGAAACTATTTAGAGTTTGTGAGTTTCACCCCTTTGTCTGAAATGTGAAACGAGGACACCACACCTGAGACGCCTCTGGTGTCTGGTGTCTTGATACATTTGTAAAGGCAATGGAGGCTGCATCTTACACAACACAGTTACTGACCTGCATTTGCATTGTACAGCATTTAGCAGAATTTGTGTATTTCCATATCTGGACCTACACTACGAGCATTAGCAATTTCATTTCAGTAAAATAATAGTGGCTTTAGTGGTGTGTATAACATACATGGCTAATTATAGGAGTTTATTAAATCATTGTTACTGGTCAATTTCATTGATAGTTTTAGAATTTCTTGTATGTTGTATTAAATTAACTCTTGCCCTGCTGAACTGTACTGCCATTGTTTCAATAAAATTAACAATAACTTTCATCAATGTTTTACTGTGCAGAACATTGAGGAGTGTGGCGCACTTCTCGAGAAGGAGAGCATTGCCTTGAGTCCTCAGCTTGGAGTTCTACAGATCATCCCACTTCACTGTGGCCTGGGCCCTCAGACACAAAAGGTTTATGAGGGTGATCCTGAAGTAAGCTACTCCCTTGAAGAGTCAGCACTGACAACAGATGCCTCCACAATGAGAAGAAAAGTTATTCTCACAGACATGCTTGGAGAGGCATCATTTTCTGTGCCTGCAATACGCTATGTTATAGACACAGGACTGCACCTAAAAACTGTGAGTCTATTTAATTCAAACTCAGTTTCTTGTCTGTAACAGCAGACCATATTTTCACAGAATATCTGTTTAAACACATTTTTTTTTCAACAGGTTTACAATCCACAAATCAGAGCTAATTCCCAGATACTGAGAGCAGTCAGTAAACAGCAGGCAGATATACGTACTCAGAGAGTGAACAGTAACCTATCGGGTATATCTGCATTTGTACTGTATGCAATGATCAATTCGTCTTAATAGAGTTATAATAAGTATGAAACATTTTTTAGGGTTGTGTGTCCGTCTTTATCCAAAAACTCTTTATGAAGAGGGGATGGGGGAAGCTCACTGTCCTGGGGTGATGGATGAAGACCTCAGCCATTTAGTGCTTCTCTTAAAGAGGCTTGATATCGCTGATATGGGACAGTGCAAGTTTCTGGACAGACCAGGTACACCAATTACTCATCCCAAACTTACAGCACACTGTAACTCTCAGTATGTTGTCCCCAGCTCCTGAGGCGCTGATGCAGGCCCTGGAGGACTTGGACTATTTGGCAGCACTGGATGATGATGGAAACTTGTCTGAGGTTGGCATTATAATGTCAGAGCTGCCACTGGAGCCGCCTCTCGCCAAAGCCCTAATTGCAGCCTGCGAGTATGACTGTGTAGATGAGCTGCTCACCATTGCTGCTATGCTGACGGGTGAATAGATTTTACACACCACACTGTTACTTTGACTCCTTTAGATTCTAATGATTATTTCCACTCTGCCCTGTAGCACCTTCCTGTTTTGCAGCAGTTGATCCCAGCAAAGAGGAGGATGCAGTCACTCACTGGCGGCCTCTAATGCACACTGAGGGGGATCACATGACCCTGATCAACATTTATATTGCATTCATAGAACGTATGTTTTTCTTATATTCATATTTTTTACAATTCATTTTAATAATTTACCCTAAAACTATATGTGTTTGCAGATAATCAAGATGAGGCTTGGTGTATAACAAACTTCCTGAGCTATGCTGCTTTGCGGTTGGCTGCTGTGATACGGGCGGAGCTTTTGGAGGTGATGCAGAGAATAGAGCTTCCAGTATCTCCACCTACATTTGGCTGCCAAGACAACTGCACAAACATCAAGCGGGCTCTCATCTCAGGCTTCTTCCTCAAGGTAAATCAAATCAAGGTCATTTTGAACAAATATTTCTGTGTATTTTAAATGCAGATGTTATAAAAGTTCAGTTTTAATTATGGAAGTAAAATCTGTGTACATTTTTGGTGGCTTTCTAGGTGGCTCATGATGTGGATGGGTCTGGGAACTATCTTCTGCTGACTCACCGCCATGTGGCGCACCTCCATCCCTTTTCTTCTTACTTGTGTCGTCAACCCTGCCCCAAACCGCCCAACTGGGTACTGTACCACGAGTTCACTATTTCCCGGGATAACTGCATCCGGATTGCATCAGACGTCCACCCTCAGATGTGAGTCAACCAGGGGAAATCTATGTTTACATTTACCACTTTGTTATTATAAAATTATACATGACAAACTTTTTCTTGGCTCGTTGTTGGAAAAGTCTAAAATATTTTGAAAATTATCTCGAGGAATGGGGCATCAAATGTTATTCGCAACGTTTTCCCAAAATGAATTTTGAAATTTCCAGTTCTATCTTATGGGCCTATCTTATGCTAATCTTGTAAGTATGTCATAATATTGTATTCTCATCAAAATAGGCTGTGCTCCTGTCTTCAAACTGAAAACACTGTTCCATGTTGTATGTCATTAAGTGGCAATATTGTAAGTGCTTCACTATGTTTTTAAACTCCATACACTTTAATAGTATTTCTAAAAGGGGGGTACCTGAAGATGCTTGTACCTCACAGCCTTAACTAGGTTGCATGCTACAGTTTAACCACTCCTTGGGCTTGTGTACAGCTGTGTCTCATTTTTGTGCATGCACTACTGACTAAATACAGCAGGGGGCAAGTTTTTTGTTTTTTTTTTTGTATAAATTGTCTATTAAGCCAAGCTTTGAGGATGGAGCTATTGTTTTTCCTTTTTTGAACCATCTTTGCTTCTCTGTGCACAAACAGATATTGTAGACTTTCTGTGGCAGTCTCAATTGAACAAAAGGTAAAACAAATTTTGGTTATTCTAGGGTATTGCAATATTGCCAGCTCAATTAAAATTTTTACTTTAAAAGTACCACTTCACATGACATCACAAGGTGGAACAGAGCATTTTGATCTTTGGAGATGTAGACAGACTAATAATAAAGATTTACTCAAACTAGTGTGAATGAAACAAAACAACTCCAGGTATGTAACAACATTCCAGCATGGCTTAAAGCTCATAGGAGTCAATTTTGTGTAATATACCCCAACCCCACCATCCCCCCACCCCTAATATGGGGTATTTTTTTCAGACTTCTGATAACTCCATTGAATAAAACTGACAAAGACTTAGTTCTTTCTCTATAATAATAAAGGATGATATGAAGTTCAGTATAATAAGCTTTTTGGTTTGTGTGTGCTGCTGTAGGCTTGTGGAGTTGGCCCCTCAGTACTTCTTGGGAAACCTACCCTCAAGTGATGGAAAGGAGCTCCTGATGGCGCTAAAGCAGAGTGTGGACCCCCAGTCCCAGGAGGGACACAGAGACACAGAGACTCACAGCAAGTCCAGCACGGAGCTCTGTGTGCTCCAATAACAGGCACCGAGGTGGGAAGGCTTGTCACTTTATTGTTTATCTGCTGTTTTGAATTGGACACACAATCTCAAAAGGAGGAAAACGGTGTACAATAAGACATGATTAATATATAATGCTGTAAAATATTTTGTCCTGTTGTGACATCAATTCCACTGTTATTTAATTTAACATGTTTTTATTTTGAGGGATATATTTTAAAATTTACTGTATACAATGCTTTCACAAAATTTCTTTTTGAAAAGATGTGGAAAGCAATACACATTTTGGTATAGGGACTCTTATGTTCAGAGTCTAAACAAAATTATTTAAAGCAAAAACTGTAGCACACACCTCCTCAGGGCCAACTCTGATGATACTTTTTTAGTTGCATACTTTACAGATATCTGTCTTCATCATTTGCCTCTTCACTTTCTGGTATCATTATGATTGATTCCCCTTTATTATGCCAGACAGGGATTATGTTTAGTGTGTTTAAATTAAAGATGTTAGATTAACTTTTTTTTCATCACCACAAAATGCTGATTTATTGACATATTTGTACAGGCTGTGGTGGGTTTTAACAGACTGGGTGCAATTCTTTTGAGTTTGTCATTAAATCTTTTTGTCAGCTGCGCTGTTGTCTTTCAGCACTTGTTGCCTCATCGTGTGATACTCGTTTTCATTTTGTTTGAACATCTTCAGCTCGATCTCTGTCTGTGCACGCATCGACTGCAACCACAAATTCAAGAAAATAAGAAACCTGTGGAATAATATTAATTAAGAATATGCTCAGTAGGTTTAGTTGAACAAACCTCCAGGTCTCTGGTGATGGCATGATACGGCCCATGAGTGATCATAAGGATGGAATAGGCCTTGCATATGAACCCATGGCCCTGCTCAATCTGGCCTGCATGCCAGTGGGTCACACCTGCCTTCATGATAGCCAAGCCAAGCTGAGCACTGTTGGGATGGTACAACTTTCTGTAAAAGTACAACAAAACATAAATCAGGCAAATGAACACCTGAGAGGAGGTGGACAAAGAGACAGAGGAAAAGAGGCACATGAGTCCACTCTTCTCTAGGGTTGTTACTTTTTGGAAGAACTACTTTTATTATACTTTTATGAGATTATTAACACACTCATTATTGTTGGTTTGACCCTATTATTGTAGATTCTATTTTATTGACTTGAGTACACGTTTGAACAGGTTTGAAAATACTCACGTGTATCCCTCCACCATCTTGCGAGCATAGTCTGCAGCCTCCGAGTAGGCGCGCAGGTAAGAGAGGGCCTCACTGGCCATGCTGAGCACACGCAGCTTGTAGAGGTTAGTGTTGCCCAAAACATTTTCCTGCTTGTCCAGTGTGTCGCAGCAGATCCGGGCCACCTTACAAAAGATCATGAACACAGATGATGGACAGTCACGTTATGGAGGTGTACAAAGAATCAAACTTTACATACCTCATGGAAATTGCCCTGAGTGCGAGCTGCTTCGATCTTTTCTAAGCTTTCTTTACTAAAAGCAATCACCTCCTTGACCTTATCTTCTGAGGGCTAAGAAGAAACAGTATCAACATTTATCACTGTGATACTTGATGTTTTATTTTAAGCAGAATGTTCTTTCTCACTTTGCTCTCTGCAGCAGCCATCATCAGGTCATCTTTTATGTGCTGTGTGCAGTGCTCACAAGTGCAGTCAAAGAAGTGCAAGTCCTTCAACTTCTTTCTGCGGTCAGCGGACAGGTTCAGGAAGTCCACATAACTGACTGTCAACTCTTGTCCCTCAGAGATTTTACCCAGAGCTCGGAGTTCAATCCTTGGCAAAAAAGATCACCATGCAAAGTCAAGAGCAAACCTACAAGTGGAACAGTAACAATAATTATGTGCCAGGCTTTTTCTCAAATATTAAAGAATGAGAACAAAGGACTAGTTGAAAAGAAAATACTTTTTTGAGATGCTCCACTCTACTTATTTGGCCCTGACATTCTAATTCTCGAATGTGAAGATGTCATACTCTCTAGCCAAAATTCCCTATTGATTATATATTTCATTGCAAAGTACATTGTAAAGAAATATACAAAGGTAAATAAAAAAAAGTTAAACCTAGCAACTAGTTGGTAAAATTCACTATATTACAACAAAAAATCTGCATTCTAACAATACTAATTTTAGCTAAGATTACTGGCCTCATGTGGTCACTGTTGAGCTCCATTACAAGCGCTGAAAGCAAAAGAAAAAAAAATTCCTTAAAGTTAACTAATTAACTGTGATAAATTATTGCTTATATTCCCAAGTAACTGTAAAAGCATTAAATAAACAAAAGTGCATACATTATGAAACATAATTACTCATGGCATATGTTGAATTTCAAATCAAATCAATTTTTGTGTAAAAAGTGAATAGTTAGTACACCAGTGACTGTTCAATTACATATTTTTCTAGATTGAACCCATCATTACATCTAGACTAGAGAAACTAACTGATGTTTTGTTGTAACTGTATAGTTTATACACACCTCCTCTTAGAGTGGAGAGCGGAGTTAAGGGCTGACTGGCTGAAAAATAAAGTGTAAGATTGGTTAAACAGGGCATGACAATGTGTTTTACTGTTGTCTTTCATACAGTGATACATACTTGCCATTATTGAGAATGACTGTGCAGTTTGGCCAGCAGTCATGGTTGACAAGACACAGGTTTGGGAAGAGTCCCACACCAACCTTCTGCAGACCTCGTTGGTCGGTGAGCGCCAAACCATTACACTTGATCTACAATATGAGAATATAAAGGGAATTATATAGGAAACATTCACAGACTCTAATGATGAAGAAAATAAAAGCATGTGTCTGACTTACAATACCAAAGATGTGTGAGATGTAGTCTGCAGAATGCTGCTTGCTGCCATAGGACCAGTATTGAAAGAATTGTCCCACATTGTTCTTGAGCTGTTTTAGGACTTCTTCTCCGAGATCTGCCACGTGGTCCTCTAGTTTGTCCACAGCCACCAGCTGGGTGTCAGTGGCAATCCCTGCGTCTTTGTGGATGCGCCACATCACACGAGCAGCCAGACTGGACACGGGTGGCAGATTATCCCCAGTTATGCAATATTCACAATTTAAATGGTGTCATATAACATGTAAATCATATTGTCTAATGCGTGGGTCCACAGTTTTTACTCGTCTTACCGGACTTGCTCATTTGGTGCTGTGACTGTTTTCCTGATGGCTGCACACTCCAGCTTGTGTTCTTCCCAGCATGCAGTCTGGCATGTGCGATCACAGTAGTGGGCAAATCTGCACTGGGCACAGCGGTGCAGATTGGACTGGCGGCGGAAGCAGTTGTGGCACACCTTAGCAGCCATGCTGATAACAGATACAAATAAAGATATTTGGAAGAAATCATCAGGTTACAGATGTGACTTGAATTCAGGCCTAAAATAGGTTGTTCATGGGTTCCAGGCTTATGATTTCTTCCTGATGTAAAGGATTTCATGAGGAACATTCCACATTTAAAAATTGTTCTGTGGGCAGTGACCAAAAGTACAAGAACAAGATACAAGCGGTCAAAATTAGTTTCTTCCACAGGGTGCCTGGTCGCTCCCAAGGAGATAGGGTGAGGAGCTTGTGTCTGTGAAAAGGAAAGTCTGGGCCTTCCTGCTCAGACCTGTTATTCCTCTCTAGGACCAATGCCAAGCCATATCCTTCAATCACAAAGTAATATTATGCCTTAAACCTATGAATAGGCAATCTTTGTAATTGTCATCTGTATTCAAACTGAATTCTTTTCAGCTTCAAAAACACAGAAAATGTAAATTAAAAATATTAGAATGCAAACATTGTTTCTATTCCCCTGAAAATCATCAAAGGCATCTCAAGCATGTTCAAGTTTTTTTCTAGGTCTCGGAAACTGAATCCAACAACACGTCATACTGAAGTTCAAATGACAGCATGACAACTCTGTGTCTGCTGGTGTCATGAGACCTCATCAACCAGCATAGATGGGAGTATACAAATAGTTTAATAACCTTTTATAGTTATAACATGTTGGTCTAACCAGAACCACATACCTCTCATAGACCACAGCAGAAAAGCCAGGCTCCGAAAACACCACATCTCCAGCTTTGAGCTCTTTAGTGGCCCTCAAGCCACGACCCTTGTCCCCAGCATCAAACAGCTGAGCGTTCTCCATGCCTCCTCCTGGCATTGTCCCGGCAGACAACACACACACAAGTGGAGAAAGTGCTGAAGAATGGGACGGATCCGAGGGACTGAAGAAAGAGCAACCACAGAAGCCTTCCACACAAACCTGACCCCTCTGTCCTCAGCTAGACATGGGCTAGGCCAAAAATAAATTCGGCCCCTCTAAGGACTGTACCACCTCCTCTCAAGAGTACAGGGGCAGAAAGTAGGAGTGATCAGAGGCCAAGGGCAAGGAGGTAGAGGTGCTGAGTGGGTGTCAAGGTGGGTGATGTCCCCTTGTTTGGGTGGGTGCGCCTTGTGGTATTTTGGTTCAGGGCAGCTGTAGTGATCCGTCAGAGGCACATGACTGAAAGCATAACTGTTCCCACAGCTACAGTCAGTGTAATTTAATGGCACCAAAGACTTCCTGTCTCTTTAAAGAAGCAGGTAAGTTTACATCATGGTTACTGAATAAAAGACAATAAATTTGCTTTGAGCCTTATCAGTATAATACAAAATGATACACGCTAATGATCACTGTTGGTCAGATTACTATTGATTACTCTTTCTGAAGGTAATGTAATTACCACTCTGATTACTATAAGTTACTCTGAAAAAAAAATAAACATACACATTAGGAGTTTATAAAAAGCATGAATTCTTCACTCTAATGACACTTTGCTATAGAGCCTAAAGTCAAGCAGACAACCTGCACAGTCCTCCTTAAACCAATATTTGTGTTGTTTTAGTTCACATCTTATCTGCCTCTGACACCAGAAGAGCACATCCCATGCTAATGTTTATCTTTTTACTATTTAGAACATAGTTCGAGTGGATAACACTTGTTTTTGGTAGGTAAAAGTTACTACCCAAGTACTGTACCTTATAAATTTTTACATATTTTTTTAATTTTTTGTAACTAGTTACATTACTGCATTACTCAAAGTCTGATTAATTACAGTAATCCCCTACTTTGTAACTAGGTACTGCCCACAAAATGCTGCTTGTGAAACAGTCTTTGTCAAATCTCTTTTATTGGCAAAGGCTACATTGCATGTTTTATTTCTTTTAATTTCATTTTAGAACATACTCAGTTTTGCAACTTGTTTATTTTTGGTGTTATTGCGTGAAAATATTATAAATGTACATCTTTGGATTAACAAACTGTAATTGTTATAGTATATAGTATATATAGTACATTGTGAGATAAATGTGGCAAATAATTGGCACTTATGTTTTGGTCCACAACATCAGAATAAAGAGAATTCTTTAAATATGTCAAATGTACAAATGTTAAACCAGTAAACAATGTGTTACCTCAGTATTTAAGTCCAAGTATTATGTAGTGTATTTTAAAAAGGCACAGTCATGTGATTAGTGCCTTTTGAACTTAAATGTCATAAAAGTCTATGTGTGCTCCAGAAGTGTAGCTGTTCTCAATTAGGAGCTTCATCAGTTTGCCACAGGACTCCTCACATGAGAGCAGCTGGCCCTGACTGAACATCTCACTGAAGGACTTCCGTAGCAGCACATCACCGCTTTTCGACCTGGCTTCCAACTGCATGTCTGTGTCCAGGGGTCCTGTAAAAACACATAGGCAGGTTTTATTCCAAGAATGGCCTTTTCAAATATACTGCTGTAATTACCATACTGTATGGTTCTATTGTATTTTTAAAATAATAATAATAATAGTGACTAATATCATAGTCTATTTGCCCAGAGTTGTGTTTTTTTCATATTCTCACCGGGGGCATAGTTGAGCACCCGGAGGTCTGGCTCTTCTTCTGCCAACACCCTGAACATCATATCCCGGGCTGCTTTGCCAGAGCAGTACAGGACCCAAGAGGAGAAGGGCTTGAGGGCGCACAGAGAAGAAATGTTGATCACAGTGCGTCTCAGGCCAGAGCGCTGGGGAAAGGCCTGCAGAATCTGAGCAGTGAGGCAAAGAAAGGAGCTAACATTCAGAGACAAGTAGGAGTTCACCTCTGCCATGTCAGTAAAGGACTTTGTGAATCGAGATATGTCACCCAGAGACCCTGCAAGCACAAAAGAGTAGTAGAGCATATTAACAACTATACCAAAACCTTACACTATTATTTAAGTTATGAATGTGGTGTGTAAGTGGTGGTGGGAGGGGATGATTGCAGAGATTGGCAGGCTTGCTTTAATCAGTCCGAAGGGCAACTGTGGCTAATTTACAAGCACATTGTATGAACGTGTGAGTGAATGAATAAAGGTGATCTGGGTGTCTTGAAAGACGCAATATAAATCCATAGCATTATTATAATTATGATTATGATTATTATTATTTTAATGTTTCCGTTTCAAGTTCAGCAGATACCGCAGCAATATTATGAATGTTATGCATGCGTGAATGTTTTTAACACATGATGTTTCCAAGCCACTTTGTTCCACAGTATTCACAGATACATGTGCAAATTCCACATGTTTCATGGCTACAGTGCAGTTGCAGTAAATATCATGTGACTGGAGCTTAAATATGCAAATACCTACATTTAACCCTATAATTTTTTTTATTCAGTTTAAGTACTTCTGGTAGAAGTCTTCTGCAAGTTAAGTCAACTGTTTATCATTCATTACAATACAGGGTCACCACAGACTTTACCCTGAGGTTACCATCTGTAACAAATTAGGGCGATGGGGAGAAAAAGCATGTGTTGTGTAACTACTTCTGCACCCACATTTAGATTAAGTAGATGTAAAATACATTGTCAGGTCTATATCTTAAATTAATCTTGCCCATGAAAATATAGAATGCAATACATGATCACTTTGAAGCTTCCAAATGCATTGTCTTGTGATAAATTCTTAAAGTATTTATGCTAGATTTACCTGCGTTATTGAGCAACAAAACGTGCTCAATAAGATCTGTAGCCACTTCTTTAGCCGCTGTAGTGACTCTCTCCAGGCCCTCAGGCAGTCCCAGGTCAGCCTCTACATACTGAACCAGGAGGCCCGCTCTGCCTGCCTCTGAATCGGTCAGTTCTGCCTGCAGAGTCCGCAGATCATCCCCCGACCGCGCCACCAGGACAAACGCGGAGCCAGGCTTTACTTCGCGGGATAATTCTTTGGCTAAGGTCCGCCCAAAACCTCTGGACGCGCCGGTGATGATGCACAGCGCTCGGCCCAGGTCTGACATGGGAGGATGCATGGTGCTGGCTCTGCTCTGGCGCTGAACATAAGCTGGAATGAGGATGAGACGGCTGTGGTGCAGATGTACTCCCTGCGTAAAGCGCGTATGCCTCATCAGGTGCCTCTTCTTCCCGGATTAGTGGGATGCATCCTAATATGTGTCGCCATCTCGCGGATTCACGCTAATTTACAGCTCTAATTACTTTTTTTATGCTGCGCAAACTATTAGGCGTCAATTTGTTTCAAACGGTCATTTAAAAATCATCATTATATAAACTGTATCAGAAACTGTGAGAGGCCCTGTTCTATATATTGAAATATTGAAATGTACTTGAAATGACACGTGAAAGAGTGTGGTTGGTCTATCCACTGGGTTGCAGCTACATAAAACAACGCATCAAATTGATCTGGTTAGTCTTGTGTAAGCGGCACGGTAAATTTGGAAATTTCAATGTGTGAACTTCAGTGTGGTTAAATTTGCCTGTGGGGCTTTTATTTGATCTAGTACCAAATAACTAAAACTCCTTTGATAACTATTTTCAGTTAATTTAAGGTCAAAATAAAAATAGATGGGAACTTAGCAATTATATAATTACCCTCAAAACGACAACTAATGTTTATAAGAACATAGACAACAATACTTTTTATTTTCTTTTAAAAATGGTTAACAATGAAATTCAGTACTTTGACACCAGGTCTACCCAGTTTCACCATTCAGTATTTTAACATTGATTCTATTCTACTGAAAATGTACTATCATTCTAAACCTAAACAATCTAAAAGAAAGAGCATAATACAGGTTGAACAAACATGAAACATTATTCATTAGTCTTATCCCTTGTTTTGTCAGTGATTATAATGTTCACAACCACACATCAAACAGACTTGAAATCAGACTAAGTAAACTCTGTATTCCTTATCCCTCACTTGCATTCAAGACCTACACATTAGATTCACTGTGCCTGTGCTTGTCATTGTCCAGATCACAATCCTGGGAGATAAGTTTGTATGGTTTCTTCCTCTCCTTTTCCTCCAGCACAGAGTTGCCCATCTCCACATCTCTGCTGCGGAGCTCGTGCCGGGACAAAAACTCCACAATGCCCGCTCCAATGGAATCACCCAAAACATTAGTGGTGGTGCGCAGACGGTCACTGCACATTACAACATGTCAGTAAAAGGTGAATACTCTAAACATAAGACACTTTTTAGTTTCTGGCAGGTAAACCACAGTATAGAGCAGTACAAACCTTTATGTTGATTTAGGTATTTGTATTTCTTGTTTGTTATAGGCTCCCCCTATACACACTCCTATGCACACTTTACTTTGTCCACAGCAGGATATCTCCAATTACTCCACTTAATTTCAGGGAAGGGTATTCTAATTGAAATGATTAATTTGGGAAACCTAATTATGTTTCTATGTTAAAGCTCGTTTCTAAAATATTTCATACAAAACGGATAATGTGGAGCATGACTCTTGGGACAGTGGAGAAGTGTGTCACTAGGTGGTAGCTGATACAAGGCTGCTTGTGACCCCTTTTAACAATGATGATTCAGAAACAGTATCAGAATAGGAGATCTGTGTATCATGCGTTATGATCTGAAAATATAAAGAGAAATACTCACAGGAACCAATCAACTGCAATGATGAGGGTGATGTCGTCAGTAGGAAGTCCCACAGAGGTCAGAACAATCACCATGGTGACCAGGCCGGCCTGAGGGATCCCTGCAGCACCAATACTGGCTGCTGTCGCTGTGATACTGAACAGAGCCAAACAACAGCACAGCTTGGTACATTTTAGGGTTACAGATAAGAGTTTTTGGAAATGCATGTCTTACCTAATTGTAATTATCTGACCAAAGTTCATCTCCATATTGTTGACCTGAGCAATAAAGATGGCTGCCAGTGCCTCATACAGAGCTGTCCCATCCATGTTGATGGTTGCTCCAACTGGCAGCACAAAACGAGTGATTCGCTTGTCAATTCTGTTGTTTTCCTCCAAACATTTGAAGGTGACGGGCAGTGTCGCTGAGCTAAAATAAAATATTGTGATATTGCATCTTGGAACCTCCAGACCAACCAAACACTGATAACCAGCGTCACCTTATTTTCTCACCTGGATGAAGTTCCTAGAGCAGTTATCAGAGCCTGTAGAAGCCCAGCAATGAAGAGAAATGGGTTCTGTCTTGTGATTACAAAATAGAGAGTGGGGAGAATAAGGACAGCATGGATTAGGAGGCCAATAATGACCGTGATTGTGTACATGCCCAACTGTCCACCCATCTGTGTCAGGTCATCCATCTCAACAATCTTCCCTGCGATAAGAAAGAGTATCCCGACAGGAGCATACCTAGAGGCAAGACATTGTTGGTACCTCTGAATATTTATTACACTGTTTCTGCTGTATATTGATATATATATCTTACCACATAATTATAGCAACAAGCTGCATGATGGCTTCATTGAGACTGTCGAAAAAGTCCCTCAAGAGCTGACCTTGCTCCTTCATGTTTCCAATTATTAAACCAAAGCACATGGAGAACACCACCAGCCCCAGGGCATTGACACCACTTACTTGCCCTGGCACCGGGATCACCTCCTCCCGGGTGACCTCCATCAACTCCTGCGTGCCGTTGGTCGAGTTCAGTAGTGTGTCGTTCACTGTTACTGACACGTGAAATGTTCTCTTCCCATATTTGGTTTTGAACTAGAAGAAAAGAGACACAGAACCCATTGAAACCAACAGTAAATGTTGACCGTTCTGGTATGTAAAATTTGTATTCCATGATGAGATAATTTTTAAAAATTAATTTGAGGCACAGCTACTTGCAAAGTTGTAAATTGTAATTTTTTCCTTACTATCCCCTTGTTCACAGATTTTACATTTGGTGTTGTACAGAATTACCTCTTATCCTCTTATACTTAGATATAGTTATCCTATATAAACTCCACACACACACATATATGTGTGTGTGTGTGTGTGTGTGTGTGTGTGTATATATATATATATATATATATATATATATATATATATATATATATATATTTTTTTTTTTTTTTTAAATATATATTTTTATTTCTATATATTAAACTTTACTCACCTGCTGTGTGCATGCTTGAACTAAGTTTGGAGGAAACATGTTCCTGAAATAAATGTAAACAAATTTTCAGGTAGATAACAGGTCAATGTTTTTCATATAATATCCAGCCTATGGGATACCTGATCAAATCTAGGAAGGCATCTGCTGGACTAACTTGTTCTATTGTCTGCTGCTTTCCAAACTCATCCTTAGATCCTCTTCCCGGATGAATGATGAGGACCACCAAAATCCCAATAAAGACAGCGATGAAAGTTGTGGTCATATAGTAAATGACTGCTCGCATGCCCATTTTGCCTGAAGCTTTGCTGTCCAGAGCAGCCATTCCTAATATTAGGAGAAAATCAAAAGAGAACACTTTTCAATATTTCATTGCCTAAAAGCTGAAAGGAGATACATGCAAAAGCTGAAAGGAGACACATGCAATTTACAATCTGCTACCTGTGATTAGACTAGAGATGAGTAGAGGCAGCACCAGCATCTGAAGCATTCGCATCAACAGTTCTCCAGGAAACGAGAAGTACTTCACTTCCCTGTAGGACATTTTATAAGGCCGGAGGGCAAACCCCAAGATTATCCCTACAGAATATAAAAAGAAGGAAACCCTTTAAGAGCTCTGGTCAAATTTAGAATGAAAGAAAAAGATTACTTCTCCTGACCTACAACCACTGCTCCAACTGTGAAGAGTACAAATGCATTCTTCTTAAAGAAAGCCTGAATGTCCTCTTTGGAGATCTCCTCCACTTTCCTTTTGGCTTTCATAGTGCGAATGTGGATACCTTCTCTTATGCGTTGCATCTTGCTATAGTGGACAAATTTATCAGCAGCTGCTATTATATACTGTATTATAAGGAAGATATCAGATTACAACAAGCTCACTTTTACATTTACAATAAAAAAAACATCTCTTAAACAAGCAATCTGACGTACCTCCTAGTTTTGGCTCTCGAGTGTATTGAAAGTCTGTTGATGTTCTGTGTGATCAGAGCAGGCTCTTTGGCTGCTTGTTCTGTCTGAAGTATAGGGAAGGTGACATGAAGAGAGACAGAAAAGAGTTTGGGAGGGAGTCTAAGGATCCTCCCATCTCACTCTATAGCCCTGTGGCATACTTTCACAGCTGTACAGGTATTAAACTTTATGAACAAAACTAAAGAATCTATACTTCTTAAACATTTATTTTATTTTATTTTTTTTTTAAACTTCTTTACATTTGATGTTTCCAGATGATTTCACATATTCCCTTACTCCTCCAATTACTAAATGCTTTTACTGTATTATTCATTAGAACAACAATCTGAATATACTAGTATATCTAATAAAACAAAGATGAAACATAATATATATATATATGTATGAATACATATATTTTTAAAGATGAATATCACATCATCCAGACTTGTTAGTTTCCACAGAGTAAATTAGAACGCCACAATTAGCAGAAAAAGTAGAGCTTGTGCAGTAATAAGTGACCTCACACAGTATGGAAACATATTCCCCTGTGAGGTTCATTATAATTAGTCAAGAAGAATACCCCCAAAATAGGTCAAAGAGTTCTACAAATATAGTTTTAAGTAGCACTAATGAATGAAAATTTGATTTTGCGCGAGTACCACTACACACTAAATTAAACAAAATAAAATAAAAAAAATATATATGTACATTTGTACATTTCTCTGTTCAGAATTCATGTATTGATGTTTAAACAGGTCTAAACTATGGATATCTTCCAGTTGCTTTTCTTGATTTGTAAGAGCAGCAGCTCTGCTTCAAGCTCTCCCGTTAATTTGAAAAAGAGGGGCAGATGGCACAGACTGCCAGCCTCGCTTCGGTCAGTCTGCCTCAGGGCGCCACCACCAAGTACAGAGTGAGTGAATGAATAATGAATAATAGTGTGGCACTTTGAGGAAGCTTTGACAAGCCTGTAAAGTGCATTGCAATTTCTATTCTTAAATGTATTTATGTTTTTTAGATTATTGATAACCCACTGTCTTCACTTAGGTCCACCGTCAGACTTCCCTTTTAAAGTCATATTCCACGTTATGACATACATTCTGTTCATTTATATGTCGGTCAGATTGCTACCACAGCAAAGCATCATTGTGTGGAGTTTACAGTTTTTCTCTCTGTATTTCTTTTGGCCCCGTGGAAATCTGTCAGACCCGTGACCTGAGCTTAAGTGGAAGTCATGTGTCCCACAGTCAAAACAAAGGCTGTGTCCCAATTCGAGGGCTGCAGCTTCCGAAGGTTGGTTTTAAGGCCTCCGAAGGCTGGCGGCACGGTGGCTGAGGGGCTAGCACTCATGCCTCCCAGTGTGAGTGGTGTGTGTGTGTGAGTGATGGTGGTGGTCGAAGGGACCGATGGCGCCGAGTGGCATGGCAGCCGCGCCTCTGTCAGTGTGCCCCAGGGCAGCTGTGGCTACAATAGTAGCTTATCATCACCGGGGTATAGAGTGAATGAATAATGCTGTGTAAAGCGTCTTTGGGGACAGAAAATGTCTGTGAAAGCGCTATATAAATAAAGACTTACTTGCTTACTTACTTAAGGCCGCATACGTCACTTCCGGTGAAACAAGGCCTGTTCCATTTCATTTTTATGTCATGCAGCCTTAAAATGCAGCCTCGTTTCCATGGAGATGGAGGACACATCCGAGTATCCTTCGCAGCCTTCAGTATCCAAACATGCACCGCGCGTCGGTAGTCAGATGTTCGAAAACACGGAGCGAAAACACGCAGCAAAAAGCCCGTCCGGAGAGCGGAGAAAAACATGTGAGTAACACTTTTAACTTTAGGAAATCATTACTAACGCAACTGTAAACGTAAAATACGACCATAACTCCCACAAAACTGAAATAAGTTTGTTTTTAACTGCGTGAACCGCGGAGTTTTGAGCTAAAGTTTAAAAGTCCGCTCAAACTTTCATATTTGGACAGATTTCCATCAAACACTAATCATATTTTTATGTTAGGGGAAAAGAAGCCCACAGAGTGATTTAAAGAAGCTACGAGGAGAAAACTCCACAGTGTAAACATGTAAACAGTTGGTCAGTGTAGCTCGAAGTTAAGATGAAAACACTCATTATTTCATACATTTAACTGAAAAGACACAGTCTGACTCTATCAAAGCTCATATTTACTTATAAATCACATAATATAAGCCTCCAACGTGTGCATTTCATTCAGGGAATACATTATCTGCTTTTAACAATCCGTGCATGTTTGTAAAGTGAAGAGTAAATAATCCTGCCTGGACAGGTCAGATTTATGATGGACATGAGGCTCATTGAACAGATTTGTGCAGACACTGGTGCAGATACGACCTGACTGTGTCTGTTAGGTCTGTCACATCTAATGTTATAACAATGAGAAATCTGTTTTACATGAATTTTCTTTTCTCATCTGCAGCCTCCTGTATGAGGACACGGCACACTGCAGGGGCCACACAACTGTTGGCTGACAAGATGCTTGTGATTCATAAAATGGGTCAAATGCAGATGACAAAGTAAAGGCCACACTGAGCTGGAGGTGCTGACCCAGACTCCTGCCAACGATTAGGTATGGGGCATGTTACATTGAAAACTCTACTAATAATAAGAGCTGCAAATGAATCATGCTCATGTGGAAATTATGATTTAAATTGTGAAAATATGTATATCTCAGATGTGTGGGATTCCTCTATTCATTTAGCTGTTTCAGATATAAACTGCCTTTGAATCTGAATGTACATCAAAGTTTAAGTTCAACGTTAAAAAATGTTTATTGTGAGTTATTCATACGAAAAACATATAAAGAATTGTTTTTCTCACTCCCTTGCGTTTAAATAAATAATAATAAATGTAACTAGTGTGGAGGGAGTCCAGGTGTTCTTTGGGGCTGCATGCTCTGTGAAACTTATTTTCCTCTAATAGTTTTGTAGTTTTCTTAATGTGTGTGTCATTAGAGGTTTTCACTCTGCAGGACAGAACTTTGAATCAATCAGACGTAACGCCCGTTCTGTTCTTCCTCCTCCAGAAGACGAGAGATACATCAGACTAAGTGGTCCAAGTTCACTGTCCATGTCTCCTATGTCCATGTTCAGAGTCTCTGAGGAGGAGGTCCAGAGTCTTATATGATCTTAACAAGTGTGTGAGACAGAAATGAAAACATCTGCTCATAAGTTTTTCAGCCTGTACTGACATTTGATTTATGGTGAAATGTGCCGTTTATTTGGTGTCTCTTTTGATAGTAACTAATTACATGTACTATAAGAATGTACAATTGTACTGCAGATAAGCAGTGGTATTCTACATGATCATATTTGACAAAGATATTTTTTAAAATTTTTGATTGTGTTCCCTTTTTGCTGAAGCAAGTGACAATGAGATTTACTGACATACAGCTGTTTGTACTAACCTGTTAATGCAGAGTGTGTGTAATGGGTTTAATATTTGACTTCATATTATGATAAAGTATTTCCAGAAGTTCCTTGGATTGTTTAATAAACCAGCTTTTCTCAGGAGTGTCTTTCTTTCTTTGTTTTGCTAAAGTTAAACATACATTTTCGTTTTTGGCCCTAAGATTCGGATGCGAATTATTAAAATAATTTGGTCACAAAATCCGACAGTTTGATGACCTGTGCGTGTTCTTTTTACTGATCCGTGTGCGTAATCTGCGCGGAGCGTGTTAGCATTAGCGCTAGCAGCGTCCCTCGGTTGCTGGGCGACAGGGGAGCGGCTCCGAGGGCTATTATTATTATTATTATTTTAATAGATCCATGGGCTAGACCTGTCCCATTTCCGCAACGGCCTGGCAGTCCGCGGAGGCCAGTTCAAGGGTTGAAGCCTTCGCGGCCGACGAAGGACCCAGCCTTCGGCTGCAGCCCTTTGAATTGGGACACAGCCAAAGAGGGCAGGTTTTACGACGTACCCTATTGGAACGAAGTACGTCTTACGTCACTGGAGGAGTGTTGGACGTGGAGCTACGTGCCTGTTCGGCTGCATGGGGCGCATGGGGCACAGTGTAGTTGCTCTTTTAATTTCAGACGTTTATTGTTTACCTGTTATTGCTTTTGTTCTTGAATAGAGTCTGATTTTTATAAGGACTTGTTCACGGTGAGAAAAATCTAATTGGACCTTGTCGACCTGTGGAAACAGTTGGTGAATAGTTGGCGCAAGCTGCTAGCAACTTTAGCTATATGGCAACACTTAGACTTAACAAGACCAAATAACTTACTTGTTGAATTGTTGTGACATTACACCCTGCATCCCTGTCGTTTTATGTATGTCACAATGTAATAACCCGTGCTTATGACAAATTGTGGAAGACTTGGGCTTTCAGACTCCTTGACCTTCGACAGGCTATGAGTTTTTGTTTTGTTTTTTCGGATACTGTGTGGGATAGGATGACACGCGCAAGCTCGATTTAATCATAAAAATTGCAGACTGAGTAATTTATGTTTGCAATTTTGATGCCGAGAATGCCTCGGCGCTCTGTTGTTAACTTTATGTGCACCGGACACCGTGCTTTTGCCCAGCTGTACGCAGTCTCACGTCGTCAGCTTCACACTTCCCCATTCAAGCCTTCGTCCCAGCCTAGAACTGGATTTAAACCTGAAAAAGTGGCCGTGGTAACAAAGACAACACGCTATGAATTTGAGCAGCAGAGATACCGATACGCTGGACTATCAGAGGAGGATCTGAAACAGCTGGTAAGACATTTGAAAGCATGACATGTCATGGGTGCACCCCATGGTAAAGCAATTTTGAAAATCCTAAAATGTGGTTCTCTGTGTTGTAGCTTGCTTTGAAGGGTTCGAGCTACAGTGGCCTTCTGGAAAGACACAACATCCACACCAACAATGTTGAGCACATTGTCAAGAGTTTGAGGCAAGACTCGCCTTGCAGTCTATGATTTTGGTAAAGGTAAAACTACTTACAAAACTGATACTGTATTTGTACTCTATTTTTTAGGAGAGAGGGTATTGAAGTTAGAGTGGTAAAAAGAGGAGAATATAATGAAGAGGTAGTGCGATGGGCAGATGCAATCATATCAGCTGGAGGTAAGAATTTCATTCTGCTTTCCATTTAACCAGAATAAACTGAAATATCTTCACTTACAAATTAAAAGTAGAATAGTATACACATGAAGACAAAAAGGTTAAATAAACAATAGCTTAAGAAACAATAGTATTTGCACACAGTGCACCTAACTGCAGTTTGTTTTGTCAGGTGATGGGACAATGCTACTTGTTGCCAGTAAGGTTTTCAGCAAGGATAAACCGGTTGTTGGAGTTAACACAGACCCTGAGAGGTATTAATGCTATTTATCAAAATTTGGCCCCCTTCTGTCAACTATAGAACATTAGGAATTCATATGTCTGTTTATTTTACACCAATCTCTGCACCATATACTGCAGTGTTTTAACATTCTACTCATCCCTGTCTTTTCTGACTAAAGGTCAGAAGGTCACCTGTGTTTGCCCGTTCGCTACACTCATACCTTTCCTGAGGCTCTGCAGAAACTGTTTCGGGGAGATTTCAGGTATGTTTGTTAGACTGCGACTTCAGGTATGATTGTTAGGTGGATTTACCGGCCCTGAGCAGTCAAACTATTTTAACCATCTTGCTTCCAGTTTTATATCTTAAAGATCCACACAGAAAATATTATCCCAGATTTAAGCAACGCTAATTGCTTTTATGTAATATATCAGACCAACTACTAAAGTAAATATTTTATTTGAAAGCATCATATAAGTTTCATAGATGGATTTCAGTGTTACTTGTAAAATTGGACAGCAGCTTTATAGTTTTTGTTTGTTTAATTTGTTTTCTGTATTGCTGTTCTAGATGGCTGTGGCGCCAAAGAATTCGACTTCATCTTGAAGGCACAGGAATCAACCCAACACCTGTAGATCTCCATGAACAGCAGCTGAGCTTGGAGCAGCACAGCCAGGCTCACCGCAACACAACACCTGATGGCCAAAGTGGTACATCTTAACATTTGTCTTCTGTTTCATTGCTGGGAGTGTCTTGTTCCTTTTTGGTGTATGAATTATATTTTAATTCAGGCACAGGGGTGCTACCTGAGCGCTTCTCACAGCCATGCCTCCTTCCAGTCAGAAGCCTCAATGAAATCTTCATTGGAGAGTCTCTGTCCTCCAGGTATATTTCTTTCTAACATTGTTTTAGTGTTTGTAGTAAGTGTATCATTGTAAAATGTGCATGCATGGGCATATTAAAACCATCTATATGTCCCTTCACTAAAGCATGATCCCCTTATCCTTCTGCCGATCGCTCATCGCATGAATCTCTGTCCATCACAGGGTGAAGTTAAAACGTCATGTTAAACTCTTACTTCATAGGGCTTCCTACTATGAGATCTCTGTGGACGATGGGCCTTGGGAGAAGCAGAAGAGTTCTGGCCTCAGCGTCTGCACGGGCACTGGCTCCAAAGCATGGTAACTGCTTATTTTATACAGTACCAAAAATAAGCTCTCGCATATTGTTCTATACTGGTAGTGAACTCTGATTCTTAGGTCATACAACATTAACAAGTTGGCTGAACAAGCTGTGGAGGAAGTTTTGAAAATTGGTCAGCCATTTAATTTTAATTCTTAATAATTATTTATTTTCTACAAACAAGTTGACACAATGTGTGCTTTTACAGGGAAGGCACAGGCTCATCTGGAATTCCACCTAAATCATGAAATTATTGAAAAGGGTAAATTAAATAATTTTGTGTCCGCTAGTACACTAGTTAATGTTTGCAAATGTATTGACTGTGCTTATTTGGTTGTTCAAAGTTACTGAAGCCTACAATGAATCTCTGGTGTTCAGCCCTGAGGACAGGCAATTATTGTTCAGCATCAGAGAGCCCATTGTGAACAGAGTTTTCTCCAGTAGTCGGCAGAGGGGCTTTGCCAGCAAGTCAGTGACAAAGTTCTAAAGCCAACAAACCTAAATATAATGAAAATATTAAATTATTTTCTTTCCCTTTTAGAGTATGTGTTCGATCTCGTTGCTGGGATGCTTGCATGGTGGTTGATGGCGGGACTTCTTTTGAGTTTAACGATGGCGCCATTGCTACCATAAGTTTGAGTGATGAGGATCAGCTTCGGACTGTACTTTTGGAAAACTAATGCACTATAGAACTTTGAGGATGTGGACTAGTTTTAGCCTCATCTCGGATTTATCCATCACAAACACAAGGTTATTTTGCAATCATGTGGTTTAGTCGAACTTGCACAGTACAGAAAAAAACATGGTCTGGTGATTAAATGAGTAGATAGCAGCATTATGAAAGTTTTTTTCCTTTAGGTATTATTTTCCATGAAAGTATTTTGCCAAAAATTATTTAAAATTGGGATTGGTGGGAAAGTTTCAGAATTTTTTGTGTGCAAGTGGAATGTTTGTGAAAAAGGCATTAATATTAGATGGTGTCTATTTCTTAGTTGCCTATATTTTTGAAAGATATTTATACATATTGTTGGTGGTTGAAAATGCTAGAGAATGGAAGCAACTTCTCTTGCCATTTATGGATTAGGTCAAATTTGCACAACGGGCAACCTTTTTAAAATTGTGGCATGTTTTGACAGCTGGATGTTTAGCAACTTTGATGAAGCTAATAAAAATAAATGCAAATAGTCATGAGTCAGTTTCTGGAAATACATTTTTACCATCAACTTAAAAGGTTCAGTAATGTTAATGCAAGTTTGAACTTTATTTCAAAGACTTGGTAATCTTCCACAATTCATTTGATGGTTTGGAAAAAACTCATACAAATTTACACATTATGGGCATAGAAAAAAAAAACCTCCGGATAAAAATAATTACCCTAATACTGATTAAAATTGCAACTGTTGGTACAGATCTCACACTCACATTATGCACCAATGCCTTATAGAAAAGCACTGAATGAGCATTCACCATTGAATATTTGGCTCTCTGTAACTTAATTTTAAATATTTTTTATAACAAGTTGTAACACTCCTGGACAATGTAAAATTTACTCATTTCACTTAAGGACATTATTAGAACCCAACAGACTTTAAAAAAATTTTTCTAACATTCCAACTAGAACTGTAGTAAACACAAAAAAACCTTCCTATGTAAAAAGAAAAACTCTAAAGGCTGGAAATAGTCAGCACTTGCGAGTGTCACTCTGCCATTTAGTGCCGTTTTCCAAATTCATAATTAAACCAATAGCAGCAAGAACCACAGAAACACTGCTCCTCCACTGTGCACGGGCAATCTCATATTAAAAACACTAACTTTGATCACAGTCTAACCCTAAGTCGGCATTTCTGGTTCCACATGCTACAGTCACTATAGTGACCTACAGCTCTCCCAGCTGGAGTTGGTCGGGCGATTGTCGAGAACAGCCTGGAGTTGATGGAGATGTGTGGCATTTCTTTTTTTAGTGCAGGCAAGTGGCTATCATTGATGAGGCCAAAAACGTCAAGCTTAACAAGCGATGGGATTTTTTTGGCCAAATCACTGCAGACATAATACATGTGTAAACATTATATGATATGAGAAATATTAAAATCCATGAAATATGTTGTAACAATAGTTTCTTGGGATTACCTCAGAGCAGCTGGGTGGATGTGATAGCAGCGACTCAATGACAAATGCAGCAGGTGTTTGAGCTGAGCCAGTACTGGAAAACTGTCCACCATCAGAAGAGTGCTATCACTGCAACCCAGTTTAGGAAGGATCACTCAAGTCCGTCAAACATTGAAGGCGATATTTGGATATATTTTGTTTAAAAATGACCTTACCTTAAGTCTAAAATGTGAATCTTTTGGCATCTTGACACCAGCACTTTAATATCTAGAAAAATTAAATTTAATTAGCTTCATGTAATCATGTCTCTAAATGGAATTATTAATTATAAACAAACACGGGGTACCCACCATCAAGAGTCATATTCTCTCTGTAACCACTGAGGTTCAGGTGAGTAACACAGGCACTTACACTGTGAACCACACTTTTTACATGATCACTTGTGAAGTCGCACCATGATATATTCAATTGTAATATCCTGCAATATAAACGGTTTAAGAAAATAATGAGGACAAATCAAGAGTTATGTTAATCATTAAAAATAATGACAAAGACCTTTGGCATGTTTTGAGCATCTCCTCTAAGGCACCAGAAGAAAAACCAGAGCATCCACATATGTTCAGTTGTTCAAGGTTGTCATTTTTGGCCAATGAGCTGGAAAACACAAGGGCATGAGACAGAAAAGAATATATTTTTATATAACTGAGGTAGTGTGGTTGTTCTTACTGAATGATTGCATCAGACAGCTGTAGTCCCTCTAAACTCAAATTCTGTAGTTGTGTACAACTTGCAATGATACCCTCCAAAGCGGCTACCGGAATAATGGAACTAGACAGATCCATCTGAATCACTTGTAATGGTCTGGAGCAGCGAAAAAACAAACACAGAATTATCATTCTTCAGTAGAAATGTTTTTTACAGTTAAATGTCTACATATAACCACAAGCGTTTTAGCGCAAGTTATTGAGTTGATGTATCTCACCTACTGCTTGTGAATTGCAGCTCTTCTACAAAGGCACGTGGGCAGCGCAGTCTGCGGACTCCGGTCTTCAGGATGTGCTGCAGAGCAGGGCCCATGTGAGCAAGACCCTCCAAATCCACACTGTGCCACAGAGATTCATCAAACCTAGGAGGAGATCAGAGGTTCAGTCAATGCAGTAAAGTAGACTTCAGGGAGCTCAATCCTAAATACATACACCAAGCGGTGCCACCGTTTGCAGACAGAAGCCATCTTGAGAAGCTCCTGCAGAGGAAGGTAGAAGAAGATCTTCAGAAGAAGCTCATCGGGTAGGTGATCCCATGAAAGGCCTGTCAAAATGTCAGTGAATTGGTAGCAAGTATCAGGAAAGGAACATCTTATATATTAACATATATATTACATACTGCTCAAAACAATTAAAGGAACACTTTGAAAACACATCAGACCTCAGTGTGAAAAAATATGTTGGACCTCTACACAAATATGGACAGGGCAATGTCTTAGGAAAGCAAGGATACCACATCTTTTAATGGAAATTAACAACAGGTGCACTAGAGTGGCAGCAATGAGACAGCCCCTAAAACAGGACTGATTTTGCATGTGGAGGTCATTTCAAATTTCTCCCTCTTCGGTCTTTTTTGGCTGGTTTTCCCCTAGTGCTGCTTTGGCTAAAGTGATTATCACTACTGGGAGCATGAGGTCTTTTCTTAACCCACCAGAAGTTCCACAGACTGTCCAGCTTCTCCAGGATAGCATATCCGGACATGCTGTTGCAAGAAAATTTAAATGTGTCTCCCAGCACAAATCTCGAGAACATGAAGATTTCAGGAGACAGGCAGTGGGCTCTAGGAGAGCTGGACAGGGCCGTAGAAGGTCTTCAAACCATCAGCATTACCCATATCTGCTCCTTTGAGCAAGGGGGAACAGGTTGAGCACTGCCCATGCCCTACAGAATGACCTCCAGCAGGGTGCTGGTGTGAATGTCTCTGCCTAAACAATCAAACAGTGCTTTTCACAGATGAGAGCAGGTTCACCTTGAGCACCTGTGATAGACATGAAAGAGTCTGGAGAAGACAAGGAGAACGCTATGCTGAGTGCATGAGCGATTTGGTGGTGGGTCAGTGATGGTCTGCGGAGGCATATCCATGAAGGGATACACAGACGTCTTCAGGATAGAAAACAGCAGTTTGACTAGGTATCGAGATGAAATACTTGATCCCATTATCAGACCCTACGTTGGTGCAGTAAGTCCTGGGTTCCTCCTGATGCAGGACAATGCCCAGCCTGATCTGGCAAGAGTATGCAAGCAGTACCTGAAGGATGAAGGGATTGATACAACTGAATGGCCCTGACGATCACTGACTCAAACCCGATAGAACACCTCTGGGACATTATGTTTGGAACAGCCCACAAGGCACTATCGACTGTCTCAGAAGGAGCATGCCACAACGTTGTCAAATGGTAATGGTCACATTTTTCTATAGCGCTTTTCCACCTTCAAGGCACTCAAAGTGCTTTACAACAAGGAACCACTAACCCATTCACACACACATTCACATACCAGTGTACGCAAACACTGTGGGCAAGGTGGGTTAAGCGTCTTGCCCAAGGACACAACGGCAGCATTCATCTGTGGGAGCTGGAATCACACCAGCCAACCTGTGGGTCAGTGGGTCTGACTGCTCAACCTGTGATGTTTATGTTGAGAGCTGGATTCGAACCTCCAACCTTCAGATCAGTGGGCAAAATGCTCTACCAACTGAGCTAATGCCGCCCCAAACATGCATACAAGCACGTGGGGGCTACACAAGATATTGAGAAGCATTTTCAGTTGCAGAATTAATTTTTGTCCAGCCATATAATTATTTCACTTTGATTTTCAGGGTGTCTATAAAATGTGTGTGATGTGTTTTCAAACTGCTCCTTTAATTGTTTTGAGCAGTATACTTACTGTCATTTTCATGCAATTACCAGATAAAATCTCCCTATTCCTTCTGGGTCTCCTTGCGATGACAAACTGGTTGTCTTCATTCTCCTTGCCCCTGGTGAGCAGCCGCTGGTGTTTGCGGAGGGGGGAGCAGTGCTGGATGCAGTCTGTGGGGGTACACTCCACCTCCAGGCCGTCGCTGTTGCAGCCCATGGACTTTCGTTTATTGCCCCTCTTAGTCAGATGTAACAAAGATCCCTGAACGCTTAAAAGGGGCATATCCCGCAGTGGCATACTGTAAAGAAACACAACTTTTTTTCTCAGTAAAATTATAGCTTGGATGCAAAGAGTGCAACCGTGTGCCCGCCATATTGAACAGTCCTCCACATGTTAGGTGGCGGCGCAAACTGCCTAAAATCGAACCAAAATTATCACAAACCCCGTAATTTAAGAGTACATCTGCAAAAAGCAAACAGTGGACAATAATTTCTAATCACACAGACTGATAGAGTCCTAATTTCCAAGATACACAAACATCCGAAACGTAGCCACAAAACGCTAGCTGATAGAAAGCGCGCTTATGATCTACATAAGAAATCCTGCTTTTTTACGAATGGATCAGCCAGAATACAATAATGGAGAATGGTTCCATATAATACGATCAGTTTTGTTTGCTTCATCTATTATAGTAAGTATTTTTGTATAGGAACAAGCGAATAAAAGGAAGTCGTGGGTGCAGAACCCAGAATACTAAAAAAGCAAGCAGTCTACCACACTAAGAAGCATGCATAACATACCTATTCCTCGACATGTTCACGGATTTAGTTTTTTTTACACTCATGTTTAGTTTCCCACACAGGACACCCGCTGCTTTCACAAACCATCCAAACGTTAGGCTCCACCAGACTCTTTAAACTGAGCGCCAGGCCGCCAGCGCCTAACCACACGTCACATCCGAGTCTGCGTCAGAATCTCTTCCTCTTAGCTCTTGAACATGGACACTGTATAATCCACATACACCCATGGTATAATGACATGCGGTCTATGGTGGACTGGATCACTACTGTCCATCCCATGGTCCATCCACGCTACGCTGCTGTCCCCGAGTGTCCATAAATAATGTACTTAAGTATAATATTCAAGTTAACTTCATCCTTTAACTAAAACACAGTATTTGCAAACGCTCAATAAAACACTCCCATACCTTTACACAGTCTTTAATGTGGAAAATATGCAATTGTGAAAACAAGTACTGTAAAGGCCACATGTACAATACTTTAGATAAAATATATTTCAATTTTTGTTTAAAAAATTACACAGTTGTAAGAATTTTCCACATTCATCACAATATACCCATCTTAAAAATGACAAATCCATGACCATTCCTTTGAATGAACAGTTAACACACACGTACAATTTATGTAGGACTGTCATTTAAGCTTAAATATCTGATAGAAGTTACCCCAAAATAATAACCTTGAATCAACATGATCTTGTGTACAGCAACAATGAGGGCATTGATTTAGTATATTAGTGTATTTAGTTTAGTACATGTGTATAACAATGTAAATTACAAAGAGACCATCTGTGTTCAAATGAAAAAAAAAAAAAAAAAATCCCAGTTGAGCCCCATATGCTCACATTATTCAATGTGACTTATCCAATAATGGTTAATGTAAACTTTTAAATTTCAAGTAAGACTAAAAATTATTTAGAGACTAGAGTGTAAGGCTCTGGGTGAAGCAGGGTGAAGCTGCCTTGGATTAAGAGTCCTCATTTAACTGGCAAAACTATCAGATTCCTCTAAAAACATTAACCCAAACACAAGGCCTCATTATTTAGACATGGCAGGGTCTAGGTGTTTGAGAGCACCACCTACTAAATGTAAGCTACCTGTGATGAGCACATGGATTTCATTTATTTCACGAAGCAGTGCAGCTTTGGCCATAACACTGGTTTTCATTGGTAACTGTGGTTTGCCTGAGTCCACAAGCACAGGATCTCTGCCCTGAGCAATCCATTGGAGACTACTGAGTATACAGGGGAAAACCTGCGTCTCTGCCTTTTTCTCGTTGACCATACGAAGGGTGTCTCCAATCAGAATCTGAGGACCAGTGAGGCCCGGGGGGCTGCTGTTATGCAGACGCCAACTGCTCTGGTTGTCCAGGCAACGAGTCAGCATGTTCTCAACAGAGACATTGAAGTTCTGTTGATCTGAATGCAACAAAGCAGACAAGGCATTAACAAAAGGACATCCAATCAAACACTGCAATTGCCAAGTAAGTTTGATGGCTCAAAAGGTAGTGTCTCACCAGCACTGCATGATGCAATGGTCTCTGTGATGTTAGGGCAAAACACTGCAAAGTCAAACTGACATGGCTGCAAGAAAAGGAACATACAAAAAATGCCATTTAAATAAATAGATAAGAATTATAAGTAGATAATAATTATGCTCAGTTTACCACTAGCAGTTTTAACATGGCTGCAGAGTCTCTCTCTCCAGTGGAGTTGAACAGCAACACTCTAGCCACAGGACCACTATGAAACAAGCAGTTACTGTAGTGAAGTGTGAAGAATCCCTCACTGAAGAAGCAGTTTGGATGAGCTGCGAAATGTCTTCAACCAAACCAGCTTTTGTCCAGTCGACAAACTGAATTTTCTCCTCATCCAGTTACTGTAGTGTTATTGTAGTATAAAATGCTAATAAAAATCATCTGAATTGGTTTTTACCTTGCAGTCAGTTCGTGGTGGGATGCAGTTTCTTTGAACCATTGCACACAAGCAAGCATACTGCGCATGGTGTGAGCTCCATCCAAAAAGTATGTGATTTGACCATGCTTAAGAGTTTGATTTCTTCCCGGCCACTCAGTCTCTGCCAGCCCTAAATCACAGCACATAGGTGTTGACCAGCGTTTTGGCAAAATAAGTACTTCAAAGAACAATGCTGTTGTTCTAGATGTAGTTCTAGACAGAATTGTCAAGCACGTCATAATGTGAATTCTTTTCACCCCTAAATTTGAACATACAAAATTACAGTTGCTGGACAGAAGAATGGATTTTAATATGTCATTGTGTTTAGTAGTAAAGAAAATTTGAGCACTGAAATCAGAATGACTCTGGTCAGATGATGGTGAATGAACAATAAATATCAAAAAGGAGCACCACCAGATGGCGCCAAGAAGTAGGGACAAGAAGAAACACAACAAAACAAACTTTTACAAGCATGAAAGATCAAACCTTTCACCATGATTGGGCTAAGTTTGAAGGTAGTGGCTTGACATCCAGCAGAATTCCAATCATGAGTCTGAAAAGCTCTTTTACCTGTTGAAAAATAAAATAACATGATAAACTTAAGTGGATGTAATATGGTCATATACTTGTATAACCCAAGGATTTCTTACCCGGAAGACACCTTCTTTGCATCCACGTATGACTGAGCTGGAGGGCGAGGGAAGCATTTGGCTGCTGGTGTTGTCCAGCGAGCCCCAGCCTTAGAGGGCCACTGTCTGTGTCATAGTCCATGAGACTTGGACACACTTGCAGTGAACACTAGAAAAGTAGGCGTGTGGTTACATCTCCTCCATAAGAAATGATTAAGAAAAACAAATCCTTAAACTCACACCAATGTCTTTTGCTCTGTCTTTTAGCACCGCCATGGCCTCTTCAGGTTGTTTCACTGTGAATGCTGGAACTCCTGGCTATGAATATAAGATAATTTTAAGTAATTTAAGAAATGCAAGTATAGCATGTTATTCCTTTTTTTCTTCTACAATTTGACTTTCTAATGTGGCTAATATAACTCATCTACTAATTGTTATTATCTGGGCTCAGACTCCAAATATGCCAAATGCTAAAACAAGCAGTTTTATGACAGCAGCAATAACTAAAATGATACAGGCATCAATTGTGTCAATGTACTCTATGAAAATGTCCTAAAGTTGCATCACCTTAGCTACATCTTGCCTAAATTGAGTAAATTCATATATTCCTGGCCCTTTTATCATGTAATTAGTAATTGATTACTTGAGAAAATTTATTAATTGATCATTAAAATTATTCTTAGTTGCAGCCCTTTATGTACTTTTTCCATCTCAGCAATAGCCTCAAAATATGTTTAACAAAACAAACAAACAAACAAAACTCACTAAACACACACCTTAAAGATCCCTCCCTTCTGCCAGGCAATCTTTTCCAGAGAGTCTCCCAAAATCTGAGTGTGGTCTATTCCAAGAGAGGAGATGCCACAGACCCATGGTCGCCTGGCAACAGAAACAAAGACACACTGTGAGGTAATGAGTGACAATTCAGTATGTGCATGAATGAACAACAGTACAAATATTATATTTGACATAAACATTATGTACATCAAACAGGAGTCTTGTAAGCAGAATACTGAATTCTGATATCCCTCACTTCATTCTGCTCAAAGTGAACTTTGGACCCAGTCCAAAAGGCACAGCCACATTCGTCAAGGCCTTACAAAAGAGTTGATTAGAGGACTACAGAATACCACTAACCTAATAATGTTAGTGCAATCATACGCCCCTCCTATTCCAACTTCAATGATAGCCAAATCTACCTGAAAAATCAAAACAAAGTCAGAAAAGTTTAAACTAACAATGATAAACAATGTGCTAAACACAGTAGCACATACCTTTTCCTGGAGAAACACATGAAATGCCAAAATTGTGAGAAAACGAAAATATGCTGGCATTGTTCCCCCATTCACCTCCTAAAATAAAAACATTATTCTTGAAGCTCAGTTAACCATTAATATTTTTTGTCAAATAAAATCATTCATTCAAGGACAAAGAGAAGCAGTAAAATGTGATTACCTTCACAACAAGCCACAATTGATCTTTTTATATTTCATACCGACATATTCTAGACGAAAAATTATACTGAAACTGACTGTGGCAATTTAAAATGCCAGACTCCATATAACATTACACGTTTTGCCTAATATGAGAAATGTGACCAAACCTGCAGTCAGATGATGTTGTCATGCAGTTGACACTGTGGTGCTCATTTATCCATTGACTTAATTTAGACCCTCCTTGAGAATATTTGTGTGTACTCAAATTTACATTGTAATCATAGAAAATGGAAAAAATAAATACTGATATGCTTATTGTGGATTCAATAGGAATTGTTGTTAGAATTTTTTGAATAACCAAAAAAAAATCTATCTATATACAGAGAAGTTAGGTGCCCCACGTAACTTTTCAGCTGAAGGATTCCTGACACGACCATAGAGATGTTATTTTTTACTTGAAATGCTCCACAGACTGGCATTAAAGTATACATGTTGCAAGAATGTATCTTGCAGGTATCCAATTCCCAGTGTTTTTATTCTTACTATGAGTGGGCTCACCTCTCAATAGATCTAACATGGGACTTGTCCTGGTGAGTCTTCCGCTTGTGTCCATGGAGATAGAGAAGTTTAATACCATACAATGTAACATTCTAGGCAAAACCATAACATCTCTATGGAACAAACAGGTAACAAAGCCTTCACCAAAAGTTACATTGTTCACTTTTAATGTTTGACATAAAGCTTAAGTTCACCTGACATACCTTAGTTTCATACAGCCGCCCATACACCTGCCAAAAGTATTTAGCAAAGAGTTCTTTTCCAATAGGTTGTCCATTTATACGTATCCTCTCCCTGACTTGGACCAAGTGTGGAGAGCTGGGAACGAAAAAAAAGTAAGCAAATAAAATATAAAAACTAAATATATTATAAAAAATATTTTACCTGTAAAATCCAGTACGGAAACCATAACTTCTCAGAATGTGCTCGGTGAAGGCACATGTTGATCCCTGAAGAACAAAACACAAAACTATTTAAACATCACTGCATTCTGACACAGGTTCAAAAACCATGACTATTGACATAGAGCTTATGCAAAGAAATCTTACACTGGCAGAGTGAAAGACATATACCATAACCAATACAATAACTTAATAATAAAAATAAGCTTTTCAAGATACCCAAAGGAGCTTTACATTAGAAGAAAGACAATCATATATTTTAAAATATATTTATTAATATAAGGTTTAGTAAAAGGATGTATGTGAATTCAAGTATTTAAATATTGCAAAGAGAGTGAATTATTCCTAGCTAAAAAGTTTAACTAGATTCCAATAGGATTTTAAGAAGATAGTTCTTATTTGATTTTGGAACAAATCCTTATAGGATAAAATTACATTGGATTTTAGGACCAAAGTCGAATCTTACCTCATCTCCTCATTACCGGAATTAAACTCACCTTGCCCTTTGTGCCAGTCACATGAATGATATTGAGATGATCAAGCTTATCCACCTAATTAACAGTTATATGAGATGAAAACAAAGAGACCAAATGAAACAATGATCAGTTGCAGTGTAAATGATTAAACACTGTACTCTAGTCTGGACTCCTCAAAATCCTAACTCACCGTGAGACCGGACCGTTCAAGGAAGCCGACCATGGCCTGGAGCTGTAGTTGCGGATGGCCACGCTCCTGTCGCACTTGTTCCAGAGCACTGGCATTGGTCTGCAACGTGTTCAGAGTGCATACAGCATCCTAAACCAAAACCATCGGCACATTTATAAAATAGCATGTTAACATGTCAAATTAGAGCGCCACCTAGAGATGCCATATTCAAAAGCTGTGTGCTTGCTTCAGAACCAAGAGTTGGTTGTACTTTGAGACCTCCTCTGAAAGATAAACACTCAGCCCTATCTGCCAATAGAGCAACTTTTCTCTGGATATACACTTGAAAAAGCTCATAAATGTAACTCGTATTCTTTACCAGTTCGGAGTTGGAGTTAATGTAACCTTTCCACTGTTCCGTCAGCCATGTTTCCTCTGAAAATAATTCAAACTAAGTGTACGATCATAAACTTGTCACCCTAGCGCCATCAGCTAACTACCAGGCTAACAGCTGATCTAAAGGTAGTGGACAATATCAGGCCTCACCTGATATTCCATCCTCGTTGTGTGAGGTGCTGCTTTAGTGCTGAAGGACCTGAATGAAACACCCGCCAACTCGTGTGGCCTGTCCGTATTTCGGAGCCGCGCTGCGAGCACGCAGTGCCGCTGCCACACGCGCCACATGCACGCCATCACAGGCGCCGTGAGAACAGGAAGCCTCTCCAAATATGGGCGTGTCGGTGTGACGACACCCCACGCCCCTTTAGCGAGACAAAGCAGACCATTAGTTAAACCGTTAGTTAAACCGTGTAACAATGCAATAATAAATATTCACGGTGTTCTGTCTTGATGTTATCCTCGACGTAGCCCAACGCCAAATGACTGAAAAGGAAAAGGCACAAGGAAAAGATCGATATTTAGATTAATGTTTTTGCAGTTGTTCCTTCAAGCCGCTGGGGGCAGTAGTGTTTCCACTGTTGCTGCTCAGTCACGGACGGACTGTGAAGATGCAGCGAGACAAAACAAGTAACGCCAGTGCGGCGGAAAAGTAAGTAAATACATCTTTATAGGCTTTATTTTTCAGATACATATGTTCTTTGGCAATATTACCTTATAACCACTTAAAGTAGAATTGTCATGCCATTGAAAATGTCTCAAATTTCCTTTTTTATAGGCCAGACCGGGAGGCAGCCATCATGTCCAAATACTACGATGGCGTTGAGTTTCCTTTTTGTGATGAATTCTCAAAGTACGAGAAAATGGCCAAGATTGGCCAAGGGACATTTGGGTGAGTGGTTATATGTTGTACTTTATAAGCTGTATTTTTGGTGTGACTTTATGTGACAATGAGATGAACGTTCACTTTAGCTCTAGGCTACGTTAGCTAAAGCTAACAGCCCGTTCTTTCCCAGCGTAGCGTTAGTTTTTTAATGAGCGTGGGCTTCCTACTCCCCATTGAGTTTGGGTTGTGATCTGTATTGCAGTTATTGTATCTAGTTACATGCATAAGGATAAAATGCAGTTAACCCAAACCTGAAGTGTACAGACTAATTTCAATACTGTGAGCAGATAAACATTATATTTACGGCGTTCTTAACAGGGAGGTGTTCAAAGCAAAACACAGACAAACTGGGAAGAAGGTGGCCTTGAAAAAAGTTTTAATGGAAAATGAAAAAGAAGGGGTAAGAGATTAATTTTATTTGTTGCATTTTTACGTGGAATTACTTTTACTACATTTTAAAACTCACAATAATTCACCCATTTCACCTTGTAAATCTACCTGCATTACAAAAAAATAGATCTAATTTTGCTAACAAAGACTAGTCTAACTAGACTAATCACTAAATGCAACTTTCCTTCTATATTGTTCTGTGGATAATTTTCTTAAATGTCTTGTTTCAGTTTCCTATAACAGCTTTGAGGGAAATAAAGATTCTGCAGCTGCTTAAACATGAAAACGTTGTCAATCTAATTGAGATCTGCAGAACCAAAGGTGTGTATTTTTCAGATTTCTTTTTTAGTCATTCAAGCCTTTGTGTCAATAAGAAAGTAACCTTTTTGAAACTTGTGTTTATTTCGAGGCATGCATTTTCTTATTTCATGCACTCTCATGTTTTTTCAGCCACTCAGTTCAATAGATACAAAGGCAGTATCTACCTTGTTTTTGACTTCTGTGAGCATGATTTGGCTGGTTTGTTGAGCAACTCTAATGTAAAGTTCACTTTAGCTGAGATAAAGAAGGTTATGCAAATGCTTCTTAATGGACTCTACTACATCCACAGAAACAAGGTGATTATTTTACTTTTGACTTAAGTTGTAAGTGATCAAAATATTGTGGATTTTAATTAGTTTTTTCTCCATATTATTCTGTTAGATCCTCCACAGAGATATGAAAGCAGCAAACGTCCTCATCACTAGAGACGGTGTCCTCAAACTTGCAGATTTTGGTTTAGCGCGAGCTTTCAGTTTGGCCAAAAACAATCAAGGGAATCGCTACACTAATCGAGTCGTCACCTTGTGGTACAGACCGCCAGAACTACTGCTAGGTATGAAATTATCTTCCCTTGATCTGATATTGGTGACCTTACATGAAATGCTGATCAATCAGACATGTTTGCTCTTCTCAAAATTAGAGCCCGACCGATATGGATTTTGCTGTGGCCGATATGAAACCGATATAATGGAAGTTGGCGCTGCCGATAGTCGATATAATCGCCGATATATTTAGTGATGTAAAAATTCACTGTAAATGTTGAATTGTTTAAAAAACTTAGGTTTGGCTCTGATGGATTTTAAATTGGGTTTATTTAGGCAACATTTATTGTTATTCTGCCTATTTACATCATATTTACAGACAGTAGGTTGGCTTAATGGCATTTTTGCATCACATTCTAGACACTAGTGATGGGTATTCCAGTTCTTTTTAGAGAACCAGCTCTTTTGACTCGGCTTACTAAAAGCTGCTGATTCTTTTGGCTCCCAAGCGGCTCTTCAGATTGTTTTGTTGCAAGCAGGTCTAAAGCACGTCTAAAGCAGGACTGAATCAGGACTGAACCAGGTCTAAACCAGGACTGAAAAAGGTCTAAACCAGGACTTATTTATTTTATGCTAAACTACAGCCAAATATGCTCGTTTTTTGTTTTTTTTTGGTTTTTTTTTTATCCTATGTACACGCAAATTTCTCAAAGTTTCGTTTTCAGCCGCTGCCGCTGTCAAACCACGAGTCTGCACGCGGCGTGAACAGAAAAAAAGTGAGAGAAAGAGAAAACACGGCTCCCAATATGGATCAGGCTCCCGTCGTTCGCTTCAAAGAGCCGGCTCGAAGAGTCATTTCGTTCGCGACGGACCCATAACTAGTAAAGAAACTAGCGCTGTTAGCCTTTAGCCGTAAATGCTGCGCGCCGCGGTAATTAATGATAAGCGCAAATGTCATAATTCACACCTCTATTCACAGCTCATTTACATATCAGTGCAGGTCCAGTAACAAATATACGGCCAATGTAGTCACTTTACATTAGACCAATAGAAAACAGCCTGTTTATGTGCGGGAGCTACAGCAGCTAACCCATAACGAATGACTAAAACTAGCTTCAAAGTCGACATAATTCCAACACTCACCGCTCATACAGGCTCCTCCTCACATCACAAGTTTGCACTAGTAAATGTCCTTTTAATTCAGACTCAAACCGATTGTCGTAAAAAGAATACAATCTCAATGTTTGGATCTGTGTCTGCGGATGTAAACAAACGCACGTGAGTGACGCGACTCTATGGTGTGTTCAGGGACAATACGGACACACGCACGGATAAATGACTCCGTAGATAAATACTGATGTGGAGCCACATATTAGGACATTTATCTGTCTGTAAATTGGATTAAATGAACATAATGTAGAGAGTCTAAGATTTTTAACGACGTATCACATGCCCACGTGAAATATCGGCCCCTATCAGCAAGCATATCGGCCGATAGCGATATTCCTCGAGGTGCCCATATCAGCCGATAATATCGGCCAACCGATATATCGGTCGGGCTCTACTCAAAATGCTGCTGTTGATGACCATCCACTGTCATTTGGGTAGATTTTCGAACCAGATGCTAAGTGAGTGCAAACTGAGAAATGGCATGTTCAGTGCACACATTACAGTACCCAGAGAGCGACGTTGACCAAATGAAAATGACAAGGAGCTACTTCTGTTAAATTTAGCTGATTTAACAGTGGCAGCAGGCCTCAGAAGTTTTATTCCTTTTAACCTTTATCAATTTCTTAGTATAAAAAGTTATGCAATTATGTATGTATTATGGATAGGTATGTGATTAATCAAATTTGAATTATTCATCACATTATGTATAATTCCTATGTCCTTTGGGGAGCTACTTGAAAGTAGAGAGCCACTGGTAGCTCCTGAGATACAGGTTGGAGACCCCTTGGCTTATTTTTTTATTATTATTATTTTTTTAATCTGAATAGCTAATAGTAAAATAAGTGTGTAAAATCAGATAATGAGAGGCTTGTATTGCTCTTGGGACTGAAGACAACTATTTGGGGGTTGGCCCCCTGTGATTGACTGATTAAGACTGCAAAATTACTGCTGTTAATTCCTGCAAATCTATTATATGCCTGAGGGATTGGTGCATGTGGATCTCTCTGTTGCACCCAAAAGAAATGTGGTTGAGTTCGACCATGTGTATGAAAGTTATGAAAATTATTAAATGATTGAATAATATCCTCCTTTCAAAAGAGATAGCCTTTCCATCTTCATTCTATCCAGTAATCCTTCATTATGAAATCCATATTTAAGTTAGTTTTATACAGTAGTGAGCAACGTCATTCATCTCATGCAGACCGTTGCTGCAATAAGTGGAGATGCGATTCTTAACTACTGTTCCTGGTTTCCTCTAGGCCATATGTGCAAACTGTAGTGCTTGATAATGATACCCACTGTGCTAAACATATCCAAATGTACTGTATGGTATCATCTTTGAGTCTATTTTGGGAGTTGTATGTAACTAGCGCTGCACTGGTTCTTGGCTTCAATGAGTCTTTCCTTTTCAAGACTGTGTCTGAAAAGTTGTATTTAGTCTTCTTTTATAAATTACATTTTGCTTTCAGGTGAGCGTGACTATGGCCCCCCTATCGATCTGTGGGGTGCAGGTTGTATCATGGCTGAGATGTGGACGAGGAGCCCCATCATGCAGGGCAACACAGAGCAACATCAACTCACTCTCATCAGCCAACTGTGTGGATCCATCACAGCCGAGGTAAAAGCATTATTATTTTGTAACTGCTGTTCCTTGTGTCTGGATTCATATCTGGCTTAGAAGGGTTGAAATATTAAACTGCTTAATTTTTCTATGTAGGTGTGGCCAGGTGTGGATAAAAAGTATGAACTCTACCAGAAAATGGAGCTTCCCAAAGGCCAAAAGAGGAAAGTAAAAGATCGTTTAAAAGCTTATGTTAAGGACCCCTACGCTCTGGATCTCATTGACAAACTGCTGGTTTTAGACCCTGCACAACGCATAGACAGTGATGATGCACTCAACCACGACTTCTTCTGGTCTGACCCCATGCCCTCCGACCTCAAGAACATGCTGTCTACACACAACACTTCCATGTTTGAGTATTTGGCTCCGCCCAGGCGGAGAGGACACATTCCTCAGCAACAACCAAATCAGAACAGAAACCCTGCCACCACCAGCCAGACAGAGTTCGACCGAGTCTTTTAAGAAATATTTGAAAATTGCTGGAAGGCACCCATTGTTTTATGTTTTACTGAAAGATGCGAAGTCTTAACATTTTAAAAACAACGGTGCAAAAGCCAGCCTGTTTTCAGGCTTTTTTGCTTCGGTTGTTAACCTCTATAAATAGTGCTTGAAACTTGAACAAAACTGACTGTATAGGTTCCTACAGACTGCTGTTTCAACGTTTTGCCTATGTTTAGGTGCTCATAATTGTTTTATTACAATTTGTATAAAAATAGAATATTATGTGTGATATTATTATTACAGGTTACTTTTTATTACTTTCTTTTTTGCAATTATTATTTCTCTGTCAGTTGCATACTGAAATTAAAAACAGTTTTATACAAATGATTAAGTGAATTGCATTATTATTATGAATTACTGTAGTTAAATCAAAGTGTTTAATGTTTTTGGGATGGAAGTAACATTGCGTACTGTAGGAACAATGTTTGTTGTCTTGAACATTGTGCCAATCAGTACAGCAATCACATATACGGCTGCAACAATTCAAATCAGAATAATTGACAAGTTGATTATTACACAAATTGTAATCACATATTAATTGCAATTGTTATCCGGACTATACAGACTCTAAAACACATTGCCAACAGTAATTTAAAATAAAGGCAGACGAATTATTAAATCAAAATTAATTTTTAATCTCAGTTTATACTACAAATAATTTATATAGTAAATTAAGAAAAAAATAATTGACTAATTACTACTAGCGTAATCGTTAGCTGCAGCCTATTCACCTAACATGCTGTGTGTTTGTCCTAATATCATCAAAAACGGTTTACAAGTTTTGGTGATATTAATGTTCGCCACAGGCTTGTGGGGGCTTGTCCTGAGTCTGTTGCCAGTCTGCTGTCACACTGTGCCTCTTTTATGACAGATTGCGCTTCTTGTTTCAGGACCTCTCCACTGTCATTTCCACTGAAGAGAACAGTGTGTGTTTGTGTGTATGTAGGAGTGGGGACAACATCTCACATAAATCAGACAGATGGTCGCTGGACTTCTGTGTCTGGATGAAAAAAAAAAAATGTAAATGTGTGGCTGTGCCAGGTTTTGACCCTTGCTGTGATAGGGATTAGAACTCTTATACAGTTGTTCCATGAGATGCTTTTGCTTTGTTAGTTTGTAGTGGAAAGGTCAAAATGAAAGAATGGTGATCTCAAGATTTATGAGGGCTATTTTCGTAGGTCACACAAAAACATAATTTGATATTTCTGTGACATTTACACCGACAATTAAGTTTGACAGGTAAGATAATTATTTCAATAAACACATAACCAAAATCAGAATCATAACCCTATTCAAAGATCAGTGCTCTTAATTTTACAAACCCGCTATGTGATGTTTGAAAACGCATTGATTTTGCATACTTGAAAGATATTGTTCACGTTTACCATTGCATTTATTTATTTATTTATTTTGGGAATTCTGCCCAATCATGGCCGTCTTCATCCTCATTCTTCGCACTAGTCGCCAGCGGCGGCTGGATGCGGCTGATGGCATCCAGCGTGCGCGGGCACCGCTTCTGAAAAGGTCCCGTCATTCACCGGGGGTTACCATATGTGCGCCTGCACGAGCCCGGTGCCAGCGGCGGCTCGCGCTGCCAGAAAACATTAGGGAAGCAGCAGGGTGTCACTAAGGCGCTGCGATGATTGATTAACCGTAAATAGTGAATGTGAGACTGCACATCTCTACCTACTTTCAGACCGCACTCACACACCGCTCCACCTACACTCCGGAGGTGGAGCCCCCTGTAGATGCAATGGTGTAATTGCATTAGCTGCCCAGTAGGAAGAGGATGAGCTTGGGTTGCCTTGAGATGAACCCAGTGAGGGGTCGCATCGAACCATTAGTGGCTCGCCAGCGCGCGCCTCGCTCCTGAGGCGGAGCTCATGTGCTGCTTCTCTGAGCGGTGGGGAGTCAATGGCATATCCCAGTGGCTTATTCAGACATGTGTATGTTATTTAGCCTGCCAGTTTTTATCATTATATTTAGTTGGATTAGTGTTATATTATATGCTTATTATGTTGTGCGTCTTATAAAATAGTTTGGCATGCTTTTAGAAATGACGACAAAAATACAATAAATACAAATTATATGTTTTTGTCGAACTTTTATGACTTTCACATTAGAAAGAGTTGCTCTTTCTAATGTGAGAGTTACTCTAAACTAATAAGATGTCATAAGTCTTCCCTCAGTTTTGTTTTATCTCCCTTAGCTACTGACCCCAAACAGACACAATGGCATTTTTCATAAAAGTTATGGAAGTCCCATAGCAGCATGTATTAAATTACCATAGCCTAATGGTGCTACTGATCCATTTCCCCTGTGTCCTGGAGTCATGTGGCTTCTGGGGAGAGGGAGATAATGTTTTGTTTGATATTAGCATACACAAGGCACTTAAACTCCCACTGATCTGGATTGGAAAACATTTGGGATAAGGCTCATCAATCAAAGGGCACACATGCCAGTGCTGTCACATCCTGGGGCGCTCTCCACATGTCTATGTCTCACATCCCTAGGTTGTCTGAACAGTATGCAGCACAAACACTGGATTCTTTCAAATCAGATCATATGGTCCTGAATCAGAACCACCCTTATGTGGTGGCTGCTGATGAGCATTACTCATATCAAAAATATGTTCTAGAGACATTTTGTTAAATTTTTAAAGAGGTTAGTTTTAGTTAAAGCTTAGTTACCTCTGAGGTCTCCTGGAATAATTTGAATAAAATTTTTTTTTTTTGTTTGAGGCGTTTCTGTAGCCTACTCTTTGGAGTATAAACAGATGGCTGGGTTCTCTAAGAAGCTGACACTCTCTATAGTTTTCACTTCTGATGGATTTGCTCTTAAGTGTAACTGGTAATTAGCTTTTACAGTAAATATTTGGTAAATATAAAGCGAGTAAAGCTGAAGTTGGCCTATGGACTGACAGCATATTGAGCATTGACAATTACAATCAAACCTACTAGTATTTGTTACTACCCAGCTCTGCTAGGGACAGGGAAGTAACAAAAATAAAGCCAAGATGTAAAATGGAATAAATTAAATAATGTTTACTTAACAGGGGTGTAAAAGGTAAATTAACAAAAGACTAAAATATACATAAAATAACATAAACTGTCATTAACAAAGGGAAACACACAAAACCAAAACACAAGTTCCCCAAATTAAACCACATAAGCCCACAAACAGAATGGAGTGACCAAATCAAAAAAGACACAAAACAGAACTACACACATGAACACAAAATGGCAGACTGGCCACCAAGGCCAGCAGCCCTGCTCAGGTGCAGATAATCTTCTTAAATAGGGGGAAGTGGCTGCAGGTGAGCTGGGCATAGACATGACCCACCAATCACAAACCAGGGCTCCCACGGCAGGAATCAAGGTGTGTCAGAAGAATAATTTAGAACACACAAAACAAATTACAATCTAAGGCCTGGGGCCATAACATATTCCAAAAATGAAAGCAGAATTTTTATCAAATTCATCAATTTATCAAAGTTAATTTCAAATTCAAGACTTGACCAAATTAAATATTTTCTGACTTGATTTGACAATGCATTTGAGGGTTACAGTTGTCAAATTTTTACACACTAAGGATCTTAAAAAGGAGTTAATTTTTATCAGATGGCTGGTAAAAGGGAATGTAATTAAAAACCATTCATCCCTTTGAATCTTAAGGGGTTTAAGGGCCAGAAAATATACCAACATGTGACAGTTAGTAAAGATCCTATATCACACAAAACTGACACTTGTGAACTTTAAGTCTTGTTATAATACTGGTACCTCCTCAAAAACATACCTGGAGTTGTGCTTTGTTTCATTCACACATGTTTTGAGTAATGCTTCGTTATTTGGCTGTTTGCAACCCCAAAGCTCAAGACGTTCCCTTCCACCTTGTGATGTCATGGAGTGGTAATTTTTAAATTATGACCTTTGACCTTTTGTTCAGTATGATATGATGAGGACACAACATTATGACATAAATCAGAAAATACCGTAATATTGAGACCTTTATATTTCGTAATCAGTGCATACAACAATCTGCTCCTTTAAAAAACAAATCACTCCAGTGTTCTGCAATGTTTTGCTTTATTAAAGAATATTAGTATGTGGCCCGATGACTAACATTTTTACCAGCAGGGAGCAGTGTGGAGCAACTTGAGTCAAACGAGTCCTTTGTCGAGTAAATCTTGTGACTACACCGTGCAGCAACAAACAAAACAAACAAAAATAAAACAAAAATAAGCAGAAACACTAATCTGAGAAGATGTTTTGTATAAACCTGTTTTCTAACCTTTCGTCTCATGGTAACCCTGTTAAATTATGTAGGCATGGGACTGGAATCTTGTGACCTCTGCAGGCTGTTAAATGAAGCCATATTCTTAAAAATACAAACTGATTTTGGCATTATAATGTTTTTAGGAGAGTTTATAATTTGGGGGAAAGAGTAAGATGCGGTACAAAAAAGTTATGTTTGGATTGTGTGCATGAATTTCTTATGTTTTTGTAGATTCGCTGCACCCAGGTCTACTTTGTCCCAAAGCATATACTTTTTGTCATCTTTTATATCATTTTCCCAAACCGCAGGCCTCTTGAGATCTGGCTTGAATCACAATCGAAAAGAGCAATTTGACTTGGGCCTTTGAAATGTTTGCTGTAATGTCTGCACTGGGCTCTTTCAGATAGAAGAGTATGAAATGTCATCACAGATTTATATCAGCTGTCGCTAAAGAGTGGCCTCCTGGCACCCTGCTGGGCCTGCCACCAGGACAACTGCCCTTTACCCGCACTGCTGGGAATCTGAATTCTGGTGTATTTTAGGAACAATTCTGAACGCAGTGACCACACAAGAAGAAAAACAGCACCAAATGCTGATTCATTCATGAGAAAAGTTTCCATCAACTCTGTTAGACACTTAAATAGACCTCATCAAATCAGGTTCGTTTGACAGTTTTACTACATAAAATGGACCAGGAAATACATTATTATGTTCTCTCACCATATGAAATGTATTCGATGTTCTTGTTACTAGTATTTTGTGCTCTACTACTTGAGGTCTCAAACATTTTGAAAGCTCCAAAGGCTTACAAAGAGGGATGAAGAATGAAGAAAGAAACACAAAAGAGAAGGTGAAAAGTTGGAGCAGGACAGGCACTCAAGAGTTCATAAAATACTTTGATGCTACAAACATTGAATTTAAAAATATTTCTCAATTACAGCTAATTTTATAAAATATTTGAATGATGTAATATTTTAGAGAGCACTTACATCCTTACATGTCTTTCAGATGTTTCAATTCAAATGTTCCCAATTAATACATGTATTATTTCAGAGTGGTGAGGAGCAAAAAGGAATACGTATGGATCACCACTGTGCCCACTCTTCCTCAGACTGCATGTAAATTGATTGGACGGGCTGACAGGTAACATGATAGGAGGTGAGTAGTGTTGCTGAGTCCAGGCTCATCTGTTCATCCAGCTGCTTTGTCTCATAATGCCTCGATGGTGTTTGATGCTCACAAGCAATTTCCTACAGACGACGATCACATTACATCAAATTAAACGACATTACCTCACACCAAATAAAGAGCTTTATTTACTCAGCAGATGGTGGCTTTATCATGGGGGAAATTCAAGGAGCCCCCATGGATCGTGCTGGTTTAATCATTCCTGATAGCATAAAACAACATTACTGATCAGGTCAGGGTAAGAGGCTCTGAGTTATTACAATTAGTTTGAAGTATGAACTGATTGTTGCCAGTATGACAGTCATATTGCACTGGGGTTAATATCATTACACTAAAGGTGCACTATGGAAGTTTTCTGGTGGAGGGTCTGATACTTGCTCATCTCCATGGACATTTTATTGCTTTACTTAGATTGTTCCACACTATAGTATTGAACTAAAACCAAGCAGTAACAACCAAAGCAAAGTGACCAAGTATACTTTTAAAACAACACTATTCATTCTGAAGTACACCATGATTAAAGGTTACAGTATTACAATAATATTATCATGTGGTCTTATAGTTCTGGTATAGATCAAAATCATTTTAGAACTGTACAAGGAAAGGTCAAATTAGGTCCTATTAATGTATTTTTTTCAGTATAGACACTTGTTTGTTGAGAATAGTTTTATTATCAGTTGGTATCTGGATATTGATACTGGCTACACAGCTCCCTTCCAAAATCCATTTTAAAGAGATACCTTTCTCCTGAGAGAGCTTATAAATCATAACAAAAAAAAAAAAACAAAAACAAAAAAACATTGCAACATGGTCTTTTAGCATATCCTTCAAATGGCCCCTTTCATCTCCATCTTCATTTGGTCAACGCACACTATGATTATAAGTCACAAGTTAGAGATGAAGTGAGCAGTTTTGATAATAAAACACAATAAACTTGATTACATTCCTGTTTTGTGTGGTTTAAAATATCAGGACTGTTGGGCGTCTGATAGCTCCTGCATCAACAACTTAGTCTAAAGTTATTCTCAGCACCATGTCCTCATTAAAACATTCCCCAAAGTGCCCTCCATAAAACGCCCTTGGCTTCATGTTTAGGTGTCTAATTAGGGCCCCAGCCTCTGCTTTGGTTGTTGGCTTGTGTGTCAATTTAACAAGGTAGTTAGGCACATTAGTGATATTGTAACTGGGATATCGATTTAAGGGGGAACTATGGGAGATGTAGTGCTAGCTGTGGGGCCAATGATAGAACAGAGGGGTAGGGTTGCAGCACACAGAAATGACCAGCTGTGAGGGAAAATAAATATTGTTATAGTTAAAGTGATTAGGTGGGGAACACAAGACAGTCCAGGTGGTGCTATGGATGGAGTAAGAGTAGCCCTGCAAATGAGCCTGTAAAATAAATTGTTCATCAGTGGCTGTTAAATATAAAAAAAAAAAAAAAAAAAGAGGCACAAACTTAGAAAAAACTTTATTGATCCACAATTAAAATGTAGACACAGTAGCTCACACATAACAATATATTATAATAACAAAAACAATAAGAGAGGTAGGCATAATTATATAAAAGTTTATGTACAAGTAAAAATAAAACAAATAAAAACAAAAACACTCACTTTTGCAATACGTATGAAAAAAATCACCACGTTAAGTTGTCTCCTATTAATATATTGTCCCCATACTAGTTTTGATTTAGGCCACAATTCATTGAGTTGTACCCAGTCTCCTCTGTGAGCAACCAATAGGCCACTCAGCAACCTTGATTTCAACCCTAAAGAAAAAGCTTGCTTGATGCTCAGTAATAATTTCAATATCATGGGGGACAATATAACACTTGAATGAAACTACAGTTGTAATATGTGGGTAATTACACTTTATTGTCTAATTATCAACACAAAGCAACTAGTTTCCATAATCTTATAATATGGATTTATACTAATTCTGATATAGATTAAGATCATTTAAAGGGATCTATATGCTGTTTATGCGATTATCATGTTGTTTCCTCATCACAAACATACCCAGAGTTGTGTTTTGTTTCACTCACACACACACAAACACACAAACCCTGCATATTTTTCACAAACCGAAAACACTCTGTTCCACCTTGGGTTGTCATGTGGCAATATAGGAAGAGCTCCACTGTTTTTGAACCCCATACACCTTCACTAGAATTATTTGGATAATTTCACCCTTGCCAATAGAGTTGCCAATCTCTACTGATCTAAAGGTAAAAGATAGCTGTTAACTTGAAAACTACCACTTCATGACATCATGAAGTGAAACAGAGCTTTTTACGCTTCAGAGATGTAGACAGATTACGGTAATAATAAAGGATGAAAGTGTATGAATAAATAAAACACAGCTCCAAGTATAAAAATGGTGAAAATGGATCAAAACGTATGCATACAGGTGCTCATCAGACCAGAGGGCTTGAATTCTTGTTGAGTTGAAAAAAGATGTCACTCTGATTTGTGATGCATTTTTCAGGTATGGTTTTGAGGAGGTAATAGTATTATAATACAGTTTAAAGCCCTGTTAGATAAGCCCTAGTGACTTATCTTTTTTCAGTATAGACACTTGTTTGTTGATAGTAGTTTTAATATCCATTTCTTTTCTGGGTATTGATACTGACAACCCAAAGCTCCCTTCCAAAATCCACTGTAAAGACAAAACTTTCTACTAAGAGAGCTTATAAAATGACAAGTGAAAAAGCATTGCAGCATGGTCAGTTAGCATGTCCTTCAAATGGCCCCTTTCACCTCCATATTCATTTGGCCAAAGAGTGTGTTTTATTTTGTTTATGGCTCTGGCCTCTCATGTGTGACATAGTGGAGGTGCCGAGGCGATCCTCAGTAGACCCACCAGGAGTACAGGCTTTCATTAGCACTCTGTAATTAGGAACAGATGCAATTTGCAGCCCTGCACAGTGCACTCACAAGGAGACATGCTGGAGCTGAGACATATGACTTAAGCACAAGAGTAAGGTGCAGTAAAAATTCATTCATATTTATTTTGTTTTCAGTTTAATCAAATTCTTGTTTGTGACATTGTTAAAAAAATATTTATTTGATTAAATTGATTATATATTGTCCCTAATTTTTTTTTTCTAATCCTCTTAGAAAGATAAACATGAGAACTTCACTAAAACCACAATACTTTTAAAACTGGGCATCAAAAATAGAAATATTTTCATTTTCATACTTTCATTTCTTTTGGAGGATCTGCCTGTTATGTCGTGTTACATCCAACCAGTACTTTCTCTGGTTGTGTCATTTGTTTCCATGAAGATGGGTTTTATACTGTGGAAAATTATAATAACATCTCTTTCTATGGTATCAGTCCTTCAATAAGTACACCCAAAGAGTCTCCTCATTTGCTAACAGCTGCATGAACTATGGCCATTTGCCTGACCGATGCATCATATAACATAAATTGCTCTGTGTTGTACTTGTAATGGCCCTTGAGTCTCTTGATTTGCAATTGACTGAAAGGAAATGGTGTGTTTGCATAAGAGCCATCCCTTTAATTATCATGTACAATATTTTTATTACAGAATTATAGAAACGATCTGGAGGACTGCAGCGGGAGGCAGGGTGTGACCCTGGATGTTGCTAATTCATTTACAGGTTTAATTAGATGGATGGAGCCCTTGCCGTTATTAAAACAGGGAAGCAGTGAATGTTGCCAGCGCTACAGGACTTTTTAATTACAACTTCACATCCCCACTTGCTGACGTCTGGGGAACCAGTTAATTAAAATCCTCATTATTTTACTTTTAATTAGTTCCCCCCTTTTTTGTTTCCTTGCACCATATGGCAGTGTTCCGTGGTCAAATCAGCCTAATTGAGATAATTAACTTGATCAGTTTAATTATTCAAAGTACTCTGATTGGAGGAAATTACTACCCATCCCCCCATCGCCTCATCAACAACCCTCTTTTTAAAGGCAGCACCCCGTCCTTATATGTTCAAATTTTAAATAAATGTCGCAAATTTGAGGCTATTACACTTCAGAAGTATATGTCTTAACAAAAACCAAAAACCAAGTCATGAAGTAGTTTAATAAGTAACCAGAAAACTATTGCTATTAAGGGCCCTGCGACTAAGGACATGCTGATAATTTTGCACTCAGCAAAATTAAATGAGTTAACATAAGAAAGTTTGATGAAACTAACTAACTACATATAGGTTTAGTCTGGAGACTTACCAAACTGTGGTAGACCAAATGTATGTCTGACACTGCCTGCCAGGGGTTTCAGGAGGGTGGACCTATGGGCCTTAGTGAGGTACAACATGAATAATAAGCTGTATTTACAAAGAAATTGATCTACCGACATCTGAAAGGGACTCACATGAGTCACTTCTTTGGGTTGCCAGCAACCAAAGTTTTGATGTGATTGTGATTTTTCTAAAAGTGCTTGTTACATGCCCTAGCTTTAAAGTGAGCTCCTATAATATATATTTAAAGACAGCTCCTCTTTTAACTTTAGCAAGGAGGCAAAGTCTTGGTCTTCTTTTCCTCTCCCATGTTTCTCATATGTGTTCATGTGTTTATCAATATTTAGATCTGATTGTTATTTGTTGTCCACTCTTTGGTAGATACTCAGTCTTTATAGTGACAGGAAATCAATTATTTACTCTTTGCCTGTGATCTTGAAAAGCATAAGACAAATTCATTAACACATGCAAATGACTTTAACTGCAATTATCCTCGGATCTTGATAAGGAGAGGGGGGTCTTCCACTCTCCCGCCATGGGGCACATCTCATGCCACACTCAAACCAGCACAGCCCCATCTGCATATCACTAATTAGCTTGATGTATTCAAGGGCCAATTAGCAGGAGTAGCTGAGAAGTTTTTAATGTTTGACTTGCAATTGGCCTTATATTTGTTCTTCACTGCGTCACAGATGACTCATCCTGGGAAATTATCAAAAATTTTTGATGACCAGAAAAATATGTATTAATCTCAATGGATATTGATCCAATTAAAAAAAAGAGAAAGTTGTGAAAGATTGCACCTCATTAGCTGCGTGAGAATAAAGATCGTTGCTACAGTGCAAAAGTAATGAGTTTATGAACAAACATATGCTGCATGTTGAATAAATCTGCATTCTTACTATTGCCGCTAATGATGTGTTATCACCAACAGACTTTTGTGAACTGACAAAAAGGAAGTTTTCTCTCAACCAGCCCTCCAGCACTGAATGTTTAATAGTAGCTCTGGGATCATTAAAAACTCCCTGTACTCAGTGCATTCAATCACTTCAGTAACACCTCCAGTACTGTTGTAATGACATGCCTCACAAAAATACTACACCAGCCCACACATAATACAAGTTAATTTTTTTTTTCTGGTATGATGGACTTGCAATACAGCCGTCTTCAGTATTAAATACATATAATTTAAAATTATATTTCAGTATAGGTTAACATTGGCAATCAGTAATGGGCTAATAGTTTACATTTCACTTAATAACTTTCCACTCCATTCTTAATGGTCTATTCGCAGCCACAGCTGCCGAAGCAGGGGTGCCAATCTGCATCATCGCTCCCTCCAAACTCTACTAATTCTTTCACACACATTCATACATGGTGGTCTTGCCCAAGGACACAGCAGCATGCACCCCAGCACAGAAATGCTGACCTTTGTGAATCATAATATATTTATCCCAAGTCTGGATAAATTATATTACATTACATGTTCACTTTAATGCAATATTGTATAAACCAAACACAAAGAGATTAATCTAATAATATGTGTTAAAATGTCAACGACAACACAGATGCCATGTGCTAAATTAATGTAAGCCTTTGAGTTTTGGTTTTATTCATCTCAATTTCAAATATTACAAACCCAAAAAGAACAGAGCTCCACCCATATATAATGAACTCATTTATCACTGTAGTGTAAAAACATACATTTAAAAGAAAGTGCAGCATATCAGGGTGAAGCAGGCCTCATTACTGTGGATAACAATTAGAAAACACAATACTGATCTCACAGGGCTTGTTTCTGTCTGTGCCGTGCTCTGAGTCGGTGAAGACTGAAAAACCAAAGGAATGTGCTCACCCGGCATCATTATGAAAGAGCACTTTGAAACATTACCATTAAAAGCCTCATTGTTGCTGTGAATGTGCGGCTAATTGGACTTACCCCGCGTGAGGAGCTGCTGAGTGCTCCAGCTCTCTGTTAATTTGAAAAGTCACAGCTGGCTACTCATGTGTGCCTCCTCTGCTCTCTCTGCCTGTGTGGTTACTTACTACTCATTTCTCCTCTCTGGAAAAAGCCACACAAACAATATGACCTCAAAGTCATGCTAAAATTAGCCCTGGTCAAAATATGTGCCAAATGGGCACATAAAAAAAGCTAATTTGAAGATGATTTTTGTGCCAGAAAGCAATCACGATGCAAACAGTGGAAAGTTTGCTTTAATTTGAACAGACAGAAGAAAGGAACAATGCTGACTTTCGCTGTACTTTCCTATGACACACGCTGCCTGCTCAGTCAGTGCCCACAGGAACAGACTCCCTCCTCCTTAATTAGACCAGCTCACCAGATTAGGGCTCATTAGTCTGCAGCGCTGGAGAGCAGGGCCTCCAGCGCATCCCTCTTTAATTGCTTCTGTAATGGTCTCGACTCAGGCCTTTGAAATCCCATTCCTGTGGGTAATCAGCCATGTTTGTCTGGGAACCGCAAGTGTTTCTTATATATCCACTCCTTCTTCTGGAGGAGTGCCTATCAAACTCACTGTAGCTTTAACCAAGTGACCCCCGTAATCACATGAGCAAATGATTACGAGTTCAGCTGACTTGCCCCTCCACACGCAGTTCAAAGACAAGGAATTCCACTACAACTATTTCATATTCAAATTAGAAATCTATAATGTGTGTGAAACTGCTTTGCATGTCATCTTTCAAAACTGTCCATAGCCTACTTAAGGTCCCGTATTACTCAAAATTAACTCTTGTGAGCTTTTAATCACGTTAGAATATTACCTCATCAAAGCATACCTTGAGTTGTGTTTTGCTTCATTCACACATTTGAGTAACACTTTATTATTAGTCTGTCTACATCTCCTAAGCTCAAAATGCTTTGTTTCACCTTGTGATGTCATGAAGTGGTAGTTAACAGCTACACCTTTTACCTTTTGTTCAGTACAGAATGGCAATTCCAGAACCAAAATATCCAAATGATTCTAATGAAGGTGTGTGGAGTTTAAAAAAACAAAGTGGAGTCCTTCCTGTATTACAACATGACATCACAAGGTGGAACAGAGTGTTTTCTGTTTGAGAGAAGGTTTGTTTGTTTGTTAAATGAAAGAAACAAAACTACTCCAGGTATGTTTGTGCTTGTGATGAGGAAACACAGTAACATGATCAAGATTGACAATTGAAATACATTCATGAAATCAAGCCATTATTGCATTTTGATTACATTCAGAATCTATGGTCTCAACATTCTGGACTGTTTAAGACAGCCATACACAGTTTACTTGTAATTCTGGTTATATACTCCAGTTCTGTGCATGTGCAAATAACTTTGTGTAATATTTGGTTTTGTAGTGAGCCAATGAGCCTGCACCCTGATCAAAAATACATGGCATTACCTAGTGCCTTTAACTTAGTTATAGAACTTCCAGGACATTTGGATTTTTAACTCTTATTGTGGAAATGTTGTGTACATTAATACCCAAAGTAGTGTCCAAATTGTGATTCAATTTATTTGAGAGGACAGACGGATGCTACCCACATGTGAAGTGATAGTTCTTTTTGCTTGCTTTGCCTGCAATATTAATAACATTATGGGTCTGAGACATGATCTAGCTGATAACCAATTATTTGTTTTGACTAGGGCTGCACAATACATAATGCAAAACTATTGATAATCACAATACTGGTAACACAATAATCATTATAATTAAAGAAAATAAATATAATAGTTCTTCATATGAAATTATTTATATTTTTTCTTTACAAGTCCCACTAGTCTTGTTTGGGCTTTTTCAATGTCAGTTTTTATTGCAAAACATAGGCTGGTTGTTGTATATCGCATATTTATCGTGCATCCCTAGTTTGACAAAATATTAACAACAGACCCATGCAAATGAAAACAGTATTACATTGACACTATATGATACATGTTTGAAATTTTAACCAAAACCCACCTCAGAAAAACAGTCTTTTCTGTTGTGTTGTAGATCCATTTTAGGCAATATTGCCATTTTAACATGAGTCCTTTAGAAGAATGACAACAGTCTCAGTTTCTGCATCAATAGTTCATCCTTCACATTTCTATTTCCCTCGAACACATCTCAGTTACCTCAGTCTTTAGATATTTCTTGAGGGAGCACAGATTTACAACAATGTCCAATGTCCAGGCTAAAGGCACATTTGGTTTTTGATCCACAACTTCAGCATACCTGCAACAGAAGGAGAGGTGGACAACGTTAACATAAATAACTTGATATTTACTTATTATTTAGCATCATTTTGACAATGCTCTTCAGCCCACAGTTAAAACAATGCACCAGGATGGTGCTAAAATGTGCCTGTAAATGCTTTGGTTGATGAAGTCTAGCACATAAACGTGAAAAGATCATAAAATGAACCACAGCACTGCAGAAATAAATTTCACTTTATACCCTTTTACCTGAGATGTTTGTTTTTGACATAATTTTGTAATAAGTTTATATTATAGATGATATACTCTATATTCTAATTTTGCATATCACCAAAACATTTTAGGGTTATCATTTGATATATCACCCACCTCTAAACTGAAGAAAAATATATTCTGAAGTGTAATCTTGAAATTAGTGTAGTCCGCTTAGATACATCCAACTAGGTCTAATGAAACATGGAATATAAATAAATTATGAATATATTACTGTTATTATGGGCACACCTTCTGGTCAGGCATCATGCTGTTTGGCTGGATTGGAGTAGCGTGTCCACTCAGTAGACCTCCTCCAGGCCGGTCGTGTTCACAAAATATTGTGCCGTTTATGTAGTGAAAGCGGTCTCCTGGGACCAGGCGGTTCCTACAGGTTGCACAAGTGAAGCACTGAAAGAAACAGGAACATTTAAAACCAAACTAACTGCAGTCTGATTGTTGTGAGTTATAGTTGTCTTACTTTAAGGTGGTAGACATTGCCTTGTGCTCTCATCACCATCTCACTGGCGGGAATAGACTGACCACAAGCACTGCAGGCTCCACTGTGTCCATACAGTCTGAGGAATATTTAAAATATATTATAAAAACTACATATATTAGGTTCCAACATCCATAAATATGCCAACAATAAAATATCATATGACATATGTAAATAAGTTGTAAATGACAAATGTTTTTTTCCCAACAATTTACAGAAACAATTAATATTTTTCAGTTATGCAGAAACAATATTTTATGTTTGTCAGAAGTACATTAAAAACATTCAGAACAAACCTTATTTGAGCAGATTAGCATTGGCCTAGTGTCTCAAGGTTGTGTGCATTATTTACATGGGGTTAGTCTGACTGCTGGAGCAAAGTGATACGATGCTTTAACAATTAGATGTAATGACCAGCACATTACTTAGCCTCCTCACAGCAGCAGTGAGTCCACATTAATTAGAGTGTGCACATGTCTGTACCTGACCTGGAGCAGCTTTAAGTTTTAATAGAAAGCCTCTGTCATCATTACAGGCTCTTGTGCAACTGATGCTGTGTGACACTTAACTCAGACAGAGTGCTCTCCTGCTCTCCCTGCGTCTCTCAATGACTGCACACACTAATGAATTTTTTATCTTAATCCAAACAGTCATTTAATGAGCACGCCTGAGAGGATCCCTGTTCTCTTTAATTAACCCACACACTCTCCTCCCCAGGCTCTCTTACATCTCATCCTGCTGCTGAGGCAAAAAGGGTGACAACCCAAGGCCTTGAACTGTGGCTATGAGTGCCCTGCGGAGGGCTCTTCCCGTCAGGCCAAACACTAGGCAACTTTAAATATGTATATGGTATAAACTAGGATTTTGAAAACATCTCTATGTGGCAATACTTCAGTGATCAATGCTCATGTTCAGTGATTAATGTTGTTAATTGTGAATGAGAATAGTCAGCATATCAACAGTAAGTATACCTGATTATTTATGTTTTTAAGTTTGTTTTGGTCGATGTGCCATTTTCAAACCTGGGCGGTGCATTGAGTGTCACCTGATGTAGTCGTTCTTGCAGAGGATCATGCCTCCTTTGCTGTAGCAGGTGCTGCTGTACTCTCCCAGCTGGGCCTGGCAGCAGGAGCACTTGAGACAGCGTGTGTGCCAGTATCGCTCCATCGAAAAGAGCAGAAACCTGTCCGAGATGCGACCTCCACATCCAGCACATGACCTGCAGGCTGCCCCACTGCCACTGCCCATCATCGCCACTGTGGGCACCTCCACACGGCTGTTCACCATAGCAACCTGCAAACATAGAAATCATGATAAAATAACTACAATTTTAACAACAGTATAGTGTGTCCTGTAATACTAGAGAATATTGTCCTTTGAAATCTTTCTAACCACTCCTGGAAAAATCATGAATTACACAGACAAGATTATCTTGTAAGAATTATAGGTACAGTGGCATTCAACTGCACTATGGGAGAAGTGTAGCTCTATAGCCCCATTACACCATGCATGTTTTCAGTTTCCTGTTATATGCAACATTTTTCCTGTTCAAAAGATAAAATATTTAGTTTTAAATTGTGACACTGGTTCTTAATTTATTTACCATTCTGAAACTCATTGAGATGTATGGTGAATGATGAGTCTTTTCCAAGGACACAATGACAGTATGCATTTAGAGCCACTGCTTCCTCACTGTGGCCCTTGATATTCCCTTGGTACTCTCTGATCCTAGTACTAACCAAGACTAACACTGCTTAGCTACCAACATTACCAAGATTTAGCATTCTCAAGGTTCTATGAGAGTATGCATAACAAGTCTAAAAAGCTTAAAACTTAAAACAGAAAGGGTTTTTGAATAATAAAGCAACTTCAGCCTTGATGTACTGTTATAGCATGTATATTATTTCTGAGTAGGAGCCACACAGCAAGAATGACGTAATCACTGAAAACATTCTAAATATTTATGTTGATGTTAAATATGGCCCATCTTTTTCAAATACGTAATGCAACATGTAAATGCACAGCCATGTTGTCATTGTTGCTGTCCGAACCAATGGATTAGCTCTGGTCTGAGGCAGAACACTGTTCACTTTCAAAACATGAATACCTCCGGAGGAAATCAAATGTGCATAATATTAAGCCACACTCATAAGAGAACTGCCGTTTTACACCCAAAAGCTTTAAACTTGGTCCAAATCAAACAAAACCACACACAGACTCTTTCAAGTCCATGTCCTAACTCGATAACATGTCCCATGAGGATGCTCTCTGAAGCCATTTACTCCACCAAACACATAAAGACTCATCTGTTTCTGAAGCCCACACAATATAATGGATTCAGATGGAACCAAAACACAAATGTGAAGCCAGTTAAAGTTATACATTTGACATCTCTTATAATAGTGGAAACTGCTTCTCCTGTACAACTTTCAGTGTGTATCTCCCCTTCACAAAAGTGAACTTATTTTGTGCACAGCTGGAAAGAGTATTGCATTTGAGTGTTTTGTGTGTGTGTGTGCGCTGTGAGTCAGCAGCACAGCCTCTTCAGCCTCTCACATGATTTATAATTAGCGCCAACAACAACATAAAATAATTGCAGGGGTAGATTTCATTTTCTAAATGAGCAACAGCAGCACAATTTGTCCTCCAGAGCGTCTCATTTCAGCAAGGGCATGTTGGGCTTTACGACTACCCTTCCCACAAGATTATTTGAGATTGCAGCAGCTGGTCCTCTGCAGTGAGGCAGGCTGCCCTCAATACCCTCATTTTGTGGAGTAGACACCTGGCTCTAATCAGCCACAGGAACACCATGTTAAGAAGCTCTAGGCTACATTAAACCAGCAGCAGCCACATGCACTGGGACCCACTGAGCCCATTAGCACAGGCCTATTCAGCCACGCAATGGTCTTTCACACACACTATTTACCAAACTCACTAACGCATTTTGTTGTTGGCCTAAAAGCAGTAGCACTTTAAGGAACTTTTCAATGACAACTTTATGAATGGGGTCCTAGCTGGTTATATGCCATTTAAAGGATATATGCATTAAAAACAGTAGTTTACAACCTTTTTTCCCCTCAAAGACTTAACAGTTGCGATCCCAAAATCCCTGTCCTAACTTGACAAACTTAAGTCTTATATTTTCAAGTTTCATGTCTATCATGTTCTAATAACAGATTTACTGACACCACATAAAACCAATACTTAAATAAATGCTTTGACGGTTTTGCATAGCAGACACCATTTCAAATATACCAGTCTATAGGTTGACTGAAACTCTGACTTCCCTCTGCCATGACCAACACATGCAAGATCAGTAGCTTTTGTCTCTGAACACAGACGTCTTGTGTGAACTCATATCTCAAAGGACGGGTGTTCCACGTCCTTTTCCTTCATTCGATGCCAGATTCCTTTGGGCAGCACATCACCAGCCGTGAAATCAATTAGTGGGCACCGCTGCATAATACAGCAGCTTAGACTCCTGTATTCAGAACATTTTTTAACATTTAGGAATGTCACCTTGTATCTGTGCCTTTTTCTATTATAATGAATCCCTTATAATAATAATATTATAATAATCTTATTATATTCTGTGCCTAATGCATTTTATTTTTCATTATTTAAATTTTCATTTTAAACAAGTGTGGTTTCTTTATATCAGGGCCTGAGACAAATGTATATAGTGTATATTTTCTGTCAAAAGTTCTTAAAAAATTAAACTTGAATTATCCCCCATACCTGACACCAGTCTAAATTACCTCTGACACAACTGAACAGATTTAATTAAATTCCTCATCTTAATTATATTCAGCTTCAGCTATTGAAGCCCAAACTGCAACCCCAAATAAAACTTCTAAAAAGGTGCAAATTTGAGACTAAAATGTATTCTAGTGTTTTACCTGTCCAAACAAGTCCCCCCTTACTTAATGTATAAATCTCTGAACAATAGTCAATAAAAAGAACACACTTCAGTACAAAACACTACTCAGAGGCTGAAAGAGCCAATAATAACTCATTTGCTATAATACTGTCATACAAGAGACCACATTAACGGTGTACAACTGCACCTGTTCATCCTTTAACAAAAAGGCAGCAGCTTCACATAGGGACAGCTAGTGGGGTCGCATCAGGCCATAACACTCAAACTTACAAAGTAGACAGGGTCATCTTAGTACAAAAACAATAATATGAATAAAGTGTGATTTGTAGGCCTATATGATGCGTGAAAAAACGAGAAACTCCCTGTAAAGAAAGTAAACTTAGTAAAGCCTGTAGTAGAAAATAATGGTTTCATGATGTAAGGAAAAGTTATAATACAACATGAACAACTCCTGGAGCTTATCAAAAACACACGGTGGTTGGTCCTTGGGAGTGAGTAATCTATTACCATGAGTGGGATTGAACTCACCTTTTACAGGAGAGAACGAAGTTAACACGTTGCGTTCACGTGCTTCTTTTATCCTCGAAAAACACCCAAAAAAGTGTCTGACCAGGAGATCGAAAGTTTTGTGTCACTGCGTCTTTGCCCTCGGACCTGTTCTTGTCTTCCATTTACGTTTCCGCTTCGACCACTTGCTCACTTTTATCGGCGAGAGCGAAACACTACTCCTCTGTGTCCCTCTGATCTCCCTCTGCCGCCTTCAAGAGCGCTCTCTGAGTTTGAGTGAAACATTTATGCAAACGTACGTCCCGCCCTCACCGTGAAGGCGTGGCCTGATTTAATCCATTCAGTCCTCCTGCAATCATGGAAGTATAAGAAGATCATATTATCCCACAGATCCATGCAATTCCAACATCTCATTGATGCAAAAAATAAACAAATAAACAAAATAAAATAATAAATAATAATAATAATATATAAGATCAGGAAAATATGATTTTCTTATGTTAGGATTGTATCATTTGTTTGTTTTGTCAGAAAAAAACAAAATAAATACATAAATGAAATAAAAAAATAAATTTAATTAAAAAAAGTTTACAATAGGCAATTACTATTTTAGACTTTTTAAACATCTAGCTGATATTCAGACGCAACAAGGAAAGAATGACATCACATCTTTTGGCCAATAAAAGTGCAGATTTTTGTTGTAATACAGTAAGATCTTGGGTTTAGTCACTAACAGAAACGATCAAGTTCAACATTTGTTAATTTGTCTTGTGGATATTTCATGGCAAAATACAATGTAATCAATAGGAAAACTGTCTCTTGCCCCCATCTGGAAGTATGACATCATCATTTGAATACTATAAACTATGAGTGCTGACACCAAGGATCACCGGGGTTGGCACTTCTGAAATATTTTTAACAGATGTTATTGATAAGAGTACAACGACCTCTGGTGTACAACCATGCACACTACATTGCATTAGGTTATAAACATAATAAAATATTGTTTTTTATAGACTCTTCCTGACGCCATTTAATTTAACTGTTTTTGTGAAGTGAAGCCTGGTTTTAGGGGTTTATTATTTAATTATTATTGATAATAAACAATAACTACAATGTGACAAATTAAAACAAATTTTATTCGGGGGGGGGGGGGGGGGGGGGGGGGGGGGGGTTTAAAACAGTCTGAAAACTCAGGGGCCAAATGCGGCCCTCAGACAAGTTTTTCTTGGCCCTAAGACTTCCAGGTGAATTGGCCCAAATTACCTCGCATCAATTAAAAAATTATATTTTACTGCAAGTTTTTTGAAAATCTACCTTGATAAAGCTAATATTTAATATTTAGTGTGTGGTTTTAAGGATCTTAGCATGAATAAAGACTGATGACTCATTCTAATGTGTTAAACATGCACACATGTCTACAGTCTACAGCCCTCAATCGGCCCTCTGCTTCGTCTGTGTTTATATATGTGGCCCTTGATAAAAAAAAGGTTTGGACACCCCTGCTGTAGGTGTTTGATTTTTAACACAAAGGTGAGAGTACCTGAAAAACTACTTGCTAATGCTTGCTATGTTGTGACTGTAATGTAGAGGGACTTATTTAACAGCATAAATCAGCTCACCTGTGGTAGTTCAGATAATTTCTTTCTGGTCTTAAAATAAAGGACAGATTAAAGTTTAATAAAGCTTCAGACAGAGCGGAACCAAGAGATAACATCACACCCCCAGGGAATGTTGATGACATTAGCTGGAGAATAGTAATTAACATATGAAAACTAAATATATCTTCAAAATCACCTTTAAGAGCACATCTAGAGACGCTCTGTGAGGCTGTGCCATCTTTGTCCAGTAGAGAGCAACAGTGAGTATTTATGTGTAAATGTACTGCTAAAAATGAGAACATGAGTGAGAATAAGAGGCGCAATTGTTATGATTTTAGACATGATCATAAAAGAGGAGTGACCAGTGAAAAGGGACACAACTTTGGTGATCTTTACGATAAATTTTAACTTCGTCTCTTCCTACTCAGACTGTCAAGTGGCTGTCTAGGTAAATAGTCTGTTTTTATCGTATTGTGTTTTTAACAAATACATATGTTTGAGCAAAGTTAACAGTCGTACAGTATAAACATTTTATATTATGTTTAGTGTGGGTTTGTTGGACGGTATCAGTATTAGCAGTGTTGAGGTCCCGTAAGACTTAAGTTTGTGCCATTGGTCGTGCCTCAACAAAACAAGCTAACGTCAACATAGCATTGTGGTTTAACTCAGAGGTAAGCTACATGTTTTCTCTTAATTACTTATGTGTAAGTCCAGAGGGAGTATGCAGTTTAACCATTTAACACAAATAGTGTAGTAGCTAGTTAATAAATTGTTATTGTTGTATTTGTAAAGCATCTCTGGTGGTGTTTCATCCTAGCACTCTAAGCTATCTGCTTTGTCATTTACGGGAACAACTACCCCTCCCACTTCTTCTCCTCCATCTATCATAAATCATCACGCCGTCATTTTTTTGTTTTGTTTTGTTTTTCGTTGAACATACATTTTTATTTCTCGTTGGATTTATGTTACATGTACTGTGTGACATAATACTGAACTGTTAATCTAATGTTTTAAGATACCAACCAAGATGCCGCTGTTCTTTAGGAAGAAGAAACCCAGCGAGGAAGCCAAAAAGAGGTTGGAGTATCTGCTCTGTCGGGTGAGGAAAAACGTATAGGAAATGCATAAAACAAATAAAATGCATTCAAATATAACCTTTTTATTACCATTATAACCATTTTATTTTTATTTGTTCCTTTTCAGTCCAAGGAGGCAGGTGCTGATGACATTTTAGACATATCTTCTTGTGAGCTTTCAGAGGTTGGTAATTAATTTAAAACCTAATTTGTTTTTTATGTGTAATAATAGTTTAACATTAGTATTGAATGGGTCAAAGTCCAGTCTCACTCTGGATTTCATTTCTCATCCTAATCCATCTTACTTTAAGGGATAAAAGTATAATTCAGTAGTGTAGTGAGTAAAGTAGTGAACGTCTGAAAGAAAGTCTATTTTAAAAATAGGTATTGCTTTTTCAACAGTTTCTGGACATTCTGTGCACCAGCAGTGTTTTTAGGCTTATTGCTTATTTTTGTTTTGTTTACTTGGGGTTCTTGCAATCATTTTCATTTATTAACTCTACAAACGATTTTGTCACAGATTCCTTCCAGTGTTTTTTCAAATTGTAAGCACTTTCAGAAAAAGGTATGCTGTAACATTGCATATTTAATAAAAATAAAAATGGATGAATACTGGTTTCTGAAGTGTTCTATTGTTTTGCTATAGGTCTTGATAGTTCACAGCAATGAAATAAAGTCTTTGGTTCCGAAAGGTTGTGAACTCACTAATTTAGTCACTCTTAAGGTAAAGCTTTCGATATTGTTCAAATGACTGTATATTGTTTAGTTTGTTTTTCATCTTACTTCCATATGTGTAATGTTTCCTTTAAGGTATTAGACCTGCATGAAAATAGACTTACATCCCTCCCTGATGATATTGGAAAATTAACATCTTTGCAGGTAAACTTTCACTTTGTATGTGTCCTATGGGTTGTGCCCAGCTTTCAGACTGTGCCTTTGCTTTTAGATCCTAAATCTGGAAAAGAACCTTTTAAAGATGCTGCCAGACTCAATTGGGGAGCTACGGTTCCTGCAGACACTAAATTTGAAGGGTAAAAGTTTCAACTTCAGACAAACAAAGCCATATAGCAGGAGTTAACAATGTGCATTTTGAACAGGTAATGAGCTCAGTGAACTACCCTCCTCAATGGGCTCTCTGAGCAGCCTCCGCACTTTGGATGTGAGCGACAATCACATCGCCCAACTGCCCAAAACTCTAGCCCTTATACGAACTTTAGAGGTTAGAATTTCACAAATCCTGACATTTATTTTATTTTTTTACTATGGCCTTATTTAGTATTTTTTGGCAGAGCTTTACTCTTGATGCTGCTAAGATGATTTACCCGCCTGACACTGTGTGCACAGAGGGAACAGAGTGCATTCAGCGCTTCCTCTGCTCTGGTAAGGTTTGACTATGGTTTCTATATCCATTATAATTAAAATTTATTATGCTCAACTTTGTTTTTTTCTACCAGAGCTGGGAGTGGAGTACTGCCCCCCTTCACAGTACCTCCTGCCGGTGCTGGAGAATGACTCTGTCAGAGACAATACAGACTGTTTGGATGGCCAAGAGGAGGCCTGGCAGGTGTGTTATTTTAAAATAAATCTGACCGAACCTATTGGTGATGGGACATGTCTGAAATGTTATGTTCTCTTTGTTTTTAACGCAGACCAAATTTAGCGACTATGAGAAGAGAAAGGCAAGTAAATCCATGAAAATGCTGTGTGATCTGAAGCTTTTGTTTGTTGTGGCTCCATGAGACATTAACTGATTACTGTCCTAACCAGGAGCAGAAGCACCAGGAGAGGCTGGCCTTTGAGCAGCATTTGGAAGAAAAACACAGGGAGCACACTCAGCTTTTATTACTGAACAATTCTCTCAAAGAAAACATTCTCAACTCTGTACGGCAGGTACATGAATAGAGTGCAAAATGAAGTATTTGTATGATAAACTGATAAATCTAGCTAATGACTGTTCTGTGTTATTTAGGAGCAAGAGAAAATCGATGAAGGCCTCACTCAGCAGCAGAGGGCTCAGGAGGCAGAGCGGCTCCTGGTGCTGGAGAAGGTACGGCAAGTGGAGGATGACATCACCAGCCGCATTGACAGTATGCTCATGGACAACAATCGGTGAGATTTTTTCAGTTGTTTTTGGACAGTGGGTTTTTAAGGTTCTTTACATTTTGTCTGTATGTGTGTAGACAAAAGAAGAGCGCAGAGTTTCTCCAAGCCTTAGAAGAGGATCGGTGAGTGAAGGGGTTATTTCTATAAACCCAAGTCGTTTAGCCCATAATAATGATGTAGGAGAGCACTTTCCATTTCATATATCCATTACTGTGGGTGACTATTTGTGAAGTGCCTTCTAGTGGAAAGCGAAAGGCTTATGCACTGTTGTATTGACTGTATTTACTAGATGTTAAGAAAATTGCAAGCCACGTTTCCTCTGTTTTGTCAATTAGTGTGTTCTTTGCCAGGGATTTGAGGTGTCATGGTTGATTTTGCTGCTGCACGTTTCTGAATATTTATGGAAAATGGACTCCTGTCTGGCTGTAATACAGGCCTTCTCATCAACACATCATTGAGGAAGTTTTCTATGGACCCCTCAATATATATAAAAAACCTTGGAAATTGTTTTTATTGTTAATAGATTGGATATCTGGGAACACAGGCCGTTTATGTTTTTAAAGTAGTGAATTTATTCCTACATTCACTACTTTAATTTGACAATGATGGTGAAGAGGTGGTGTTAACATTTGTAACCTTTTTTTTTTTTTTTTTTTTCAGGATTCGAATGGAGCATCTTACTGCTATCACACAGGAGGAAGCCAATTCATTGAGGAAGAGGGAGGTGGCAGGTTAGCTTTGAACTATCATTTTAACAACACTTTTATTTTTGGTACTTAAAAAATAATCCTATTACAAACTTTTTATAAGAATCATGTACATTATTATTAGTTTGTTATTATAGCTGTATAAAGTCTGTCTAATAAGCTGACTTTTGTGTGAGTGTCTTAGCGGCTATGCAGAAGATGCTTTCAGACAGCTGTGCTGTGCGCCTCCTGCAGAAAGAAAGTGACTATCGAAGGCAGAATCTTGTCTCTGAGGCTTATAGGAGGTAAAATATGCTCTACAGAAAGAGACTTAAGAAAACATGACAACAAAATTAATGACAGCTTACATAAACTGTTTTTCTTAGTATGGAAACAATGGACCGAAGGTTTGACAAAATGTTGTCCCTGCAAGTTTTGGACAAATCTAAAGCCATCGCACAAATATTGCAAGAGGTACAGGCTAATTCTTGTTATAAGTCAGAAATGTTCCATTGGTTTTAATGAACATTTATCGATTTGTTCAAATATATCAGCAATCTTGTAAATTGTTTCCACAGGAAGAGATGCAAAAAGCTGCATTTCAAGCCTTACAGTTGCAAAAAGACAGCGTACATGGCTACATACGTAACCAGGTTAGTGACGTTAGATTGTCACTGTAATCCATCACTCATCCAGGAGTGATCCATAAACTGACCGCTCTAATGTCATGTTTTTAGACAGCCATTTTTGTTTTGTTGATGTGATTTTTTTTTTTTTTTTTTTTGCCTTTGCTAATTATCATTAACATTTTGCCATGGCCTACCTGTCAACCACTTCCCTGCTATTTGCCCGCCTCATAATGGCTGTATCTCCACTGTCCCCAGATCACACTCATCGAGGCAGAGTTAATGCAGCTGACAAAACTGGAGGTTAAAAGACGTAATCTGGATGCTGAAAATTTACAGGTTGGTGTCATCTCCCTTTTCTTTGCCTTCACTCAATTTTTGCATTTATTTTATTTCCATACCATTGCTTTTAATCAAAATGTAAAAGAATGAATAACTCAGGCCCTTTCCAAAACCCAGTTCAGGAAATTAAATGTAAATTTTTCAAATTTATTTCCATATTATGACTAACATGACTAAAGCAAGTAATGGGTGTTTAACTTCAATCAGTAAAATGTGATATAATACTGCGTATTATATTATCTTGCAAGAAAGGTATTTAGAGACTCACTAATAAACAAGACGCAGAACACAAAATTAAGACCAGCCAAGAGTTTTGGAAAAGGCAACACTCAAGAAGATGGGAGAAAGGATTGTACTTGAGCCTAGTAAAGACGTGTGCTATGCCTTGTATAACCTTTACATTGCTGTGGTTTGTGCAGGTTGTCTTGGTGCAGCAGCGTGAAGCTCTTGGCGACTTACTACAGCAACTTCTTAAACAAAGAGATCAAAGAGAGCAGGAACTACGCCAGATTCTGGTAAGAATACACTCGTCTAATGTTTATTAGTCACAACTTTATTTATAGATCAACCCTTCAAGTTTACATCACTGGAATTGATTTGTTGTGAATTTTAGATGGAGCTTGAGCAGAAGTGTGAGTCCAGTCAGCAGAACTATTGGATGATTCAGTATCAGCGACTTCTAGATGCCAAACCTATATCTCTTCGGATGCAGGTACAGAGTTTTCTAGTTTTGTTTATTTTACTTTATTTATTGTCACGCACCACAATATTATTTTTATATAACACAGTAATATTTTCATACAATTGTTTTGTTTTTTTTGTTTTTTTTTATTACAGGAAGCTGGCGTGGAGATAGAGCTAGTGAATCTCTTATGCAGACTGTCAGTTCAACATTATCTGCCGATTCTGGCTCATCATAAGATAACTACTAAGGCCCTTCGACAAATGACTCCTGCTGACCTCAAGAAGGTGTTTTTTTGTTTGTTTGTTTGTTGTTGTTTTTTTACCTCCACTGCATACATTTACCAAAAACTATACCAGTTTAAACTTTTCTTTTTTCTGTTTTAGCTTGGAATTAATGAAGTGGGTATTCAGAAAGCACTTTTAAAATGGGCTCAAGAAGATGGGTCTCAAGGTATATGACACAACAAACTAATTTGCACTTTTGAACAACAATATACTTAAAAAATGTAATGTGTTAGCAAAAAACAACAAGACAGATTACTTGACATAAAGTATTAAAACCTCTACCTAAGAAGTAATTAATTTATGTGTTACGTGTTTTCATCTCACTCTCTCTCAGGGGCCTGTAAAGCAGAAGAGGATGAAGCAGGACCATCCTCTGGTCGTTCTGTACCCTCCCCTGTCCTCTCAAATATATCTCCCATTCATTATCCCAGTCCACCTCTCACCCCGGGCACCCCTGTCACGCCCTCTGCCCCAAGTCCTGTGGATGGGCCAGGGAGCTCCGAGTGTGTTGTCTGCATGGAAACTGGGGTAAGCTTTTATTACAATCTCACCATTTCTCTCTATAATTGTAATACTCTTGAAGTGGTGTGGTAACATACAGTATGTAGTATGAAAATGGCAAGTTTTTTAGCATAAATGAAAAAAATATATTTTTCCCCCAGTCTCAGGTCATCTTCCTGCCTTGTGGACATGTGTGCTGCTGTCAGGTGTGCAGTGATGCTCTGCAGAACTGCCCCATGTGTCGCGCCACTATTTCTCAGAGGATTCGTCTTTTCCACAGTTAAAACAGACTCCACTCCTCTACTCCTGTTTAGCTGGTGACTGCTGTTCTGAGCTAAAATGGCATGAAGTTCTACTTCAATATCACTGTCATCTATTTTTATTTTTATTTGTAAGATATTTTAGAGCCTCTTTTAAATGAGTCTGTTTTACAAAATTCCTTCAGTGAGTGCCTTTTCTTAAAGTCAGTTTTACTAGTGCTCACCAAAGTGCAGTCGTAACACCGCTGTCATAACATTCTATGATATTGTACCTTTTTGTTTTAAGCTTGCTGTTCTCAGACTGCCATTGGTATAATATGGCTAATGTACATAATATATAACTAAACTCAGATAAATGTGCAATCATATACTGTGATTATATAAAATCATTTGCATTTCATATCCTTTATTGTATATTGTATTCAGATTCAGACATTATTAATTCCACCAGGGGCATATAGTTTGAGCAGTAAGATATCATCATAAATGTTCACTTACATTTACATGTGTAGGAGTTACAGCCATAAGAGAGAAATGTATGAATAAGATATAAACTCACTAGTATCTTATTAGTATTTTACAGTATTTATCTTTCATATTTTCTGCTTCTGTATTTTCTGTCATTTAACTGCATGTTTCAGTCTGTGTCTGTATGTCAACTAACACAAGTTGGAATGCAAAAGTGCTCTTAAATTTAACTATAATATGCATAGAATTATGACTGTACATGAGCCTCTTCAGTGTCATTAAAACATTATTAAATTCGCACATGCACTGATAGTTTTGTGAAGTTGTGGTCTTTTCTGAATTTTTTTTGTGTGTCTTGAATGCAGCACCACCGCATGAGCCAATCACTGGCCGCCGATATGAGTTGCCGTAAAGTGTGGCGGTGAAGGCCCGTGGATGATGTGGTCCTGTCATGTCCTCGCATCTCTACAGAAGTTACCCAAACACGAGTTAAACCCTTAACGTAGGCGCTTTGTGAGATTATTCTTTACATGTGAAACTGTCGAAGAAAGCCTGGGTAAGTTATATTACATTTAGATTGTTTACATATGTTTACGGAGGAGAGGCAGCCATGGTCATATAGTAGATCCGTGGATGCAATAAGTCCATGGATGTAATACAGACTTCTGTCCATCCATCCATTTTCTTCGGCTTATCCGGGGCCGGGTCGTGGGGGCAGCAGTCTAAGCAGGGACTCCCAGACTTCCTTCACCCCAGACACGTCCTCCAGCTCCTCCGGGGGGACTTCTGTCCACTTGTTAAAAATCAAATGCGTAATTTCCCCCCAATTTAGCCTTAGCCATAAGACAAATTTCTATTACGAAACCTAATTCTAACTCTAACCTGATTGAGGAATAATATCGTCTAAAATGAGCATCAATGTTAAGTGGCTGTTGAGCGGCATTAACTGAGGGGAAAATGCGCATGTCATAATAACACTCCTAACCTTAACCTTTAACTTAAGTTAATTTATTAAATCAGTGTAAACACTCGCCTATTTCTACATGGACCAGTGTAGGTATGCAATGGAGGAAATGTGAGTTAAGTGTTTTGCCCAAAGGCACAGGCTGCACTTGTGAAGGGGGGGTTGAACCGCAGACCTTTGCTTGGACAAAAACTCCAACTATGAGCTACTGCTGTCTGAGTAAAATTTAAACTACTCTATCCTCCTCCATCCTGTGATATTGTTCCAGTTAGAACATGTCAGACCAATCTTTGCTGATACTGTATGGGAGTCAGACTGGAACAGCCCAGGACACAGCCCAAAGGATTGCCCGACAGGCTAAAAGAAGACGACTGCAGGTCCAGACCTTGTCTCTTGATAGCTACAATATTGTAAGTGCATTTAATTTACTTAGGTTTTATATTGGTTTGTTTTGCAGCCGAATGTTTTTTCCTTTTCTTTTAAAACATACATTTTAATTCTGCTTTCTCTATATTCAATAACCAGGCCACATTGATCTCAGAGTCCACTGTTGTCTTTGTGTGTGCCACCACTGGCCAGGGAGACCCACCAGACAATATGAGGGTAGGGCTAGAACCTAGAGCAAGGGTCTCCAACCTTTTTCCTCTGGTGAGCTACCTTTACAAAACAAAAATGCCAAAGAACTACTTATTTTAACAGTTGCAAGAAATTGAGAATTATAAGAGCCACAGCCTTAGATTGGGGACAGTTAGATGCCTATAAACTATAAACCATTATTCATTTATTACTGCACAAAACTGGACATTAAAATTATAGATTTACAATGGTAATTCATCAAATTATACTTATTCAACACAACACATATAATTCAGAAATACCTTGGTGAGGTACTTGGAATGGGGTGGAGAGCTACTGGTTGCTCCCGAGCTACAGGTTGGAGACTCCTGGCCTAGAGTCTTAAAAAAATGTTTTATTTTGTATGGTTATCACATTTAGGCCAAAATTCTAACCTTTGTTTCAGAATTTCTGGAAATTCATTTTTAGAAAGTCTTTGCCTGCTGGTTCTCTGTGTCAGCTGGACTGTGCTGTCCTGGGCCTGGGAGATTCCTCATATCCAAAGTAAGTTCAGACATAGCTTTGTAATAAAATGCCTTCACTTTAAATGAGAGTAGATTGTTTATACACAGTACATGCCAATTACAGGTTTAATTTTGTGGCTAAAAAGCTCCATAAACGTCTTCAGCAGCTAGGAGCCTCTATGCTGCTCCCTGTTGGGCTGGCGGATGATCAACATGAGCTTGGGTAGGAGTATGTTACAGAACATCCTGAAGCTATGGTATAATGCTCATATTTACATCCCTTGTACACTTTGTTTTACAGGTCAGATGCAGTGATAGACCCTTGGCTGTTTTCATTCTGGCAAAGGTTTTATACTCTGCATCCTTCTTTGAAAGCTTTACCCTCATTAAAAGAAGATGAAGCGTTAGTATTGATTTAGTCTAATAAATTGATGGATCCTTTTCAGAATAAGCGCCATAATTCTTAATTCTAATTCTAATTCTAATTCTTACTCACTACAGGCTTCCTCCGACATTTACTTTAAACTTTTTGGAAGGTGACACTGATGTGACCTTACTAGCAAGCTCTACAGAGCAGACCATGCCCTCTTCTTGTCCTTTTCCTGCTAAATTTTTGTCCAATACAAGAGTGACTGATGTGTCACACTTTCAGGATGTGAGACTGTTTGAATTTGATATCACTGGATCCAAAATAGAGTGAGTGTACCCATTTGAAGTTTTATGGATTTGCATTATATTGCCATTGCTCTTGGATAATTTGTAGGTTTTCTGCTGGTGATGTGGTTATGATACGCCCTTGTAATGCAGCAGAGGATGTGCAACAGTTTTGCCAGCTTCTGAAATTAGATCTAGAGTCCAGATTTACTCTCAGCCCGACAGAAAACACACCAGGTATAATTATGTATAATATAATTCTGAAGAAGGCACTCATCCAAGCGGCTTCTTCAGTTCAAGTCAGATTGCTGGTGGGACACACACAGAGATAACTCATATGCAAATAGATGTGACCTCGCCCATTAGGGGGCTAAATGATTATGCTAAATATGACTCAGGCAGGCAGTTCAATAGACCCAGCTAATAAACAGAAACTGTAAACAAATATGTGTTTTAGCTTCATTGCAGTTAGCTTCTCCCTTCAAGTAGCTATGAGGCAGTTTCCAACCAGTAATCTGACCAGAACTGAAAATGCAGCTTGGATGAGCTGCAAAATGTTTTCAACCTGAATAAACATTTGTCCAGTTGACAAATTGAATTTCTCCTTTGCCTTTTCTTTTTTTAGTTCCAGCCAGACTTCCTCAGCCCTGCTCTGTGCGCCAACTGGTGGAAACATACCTTGACATCGCTGCAGTGCCTCGCCGATCCTTCTTTGAGTTGCTTTTGACCTTTGCCACCAATGAACTTGAACGGGAAAAACTAGTAGAATTTAGCTCCACAGCAGGACAGGACGACCTGCATGCTTACTGCAGCCGACCACGACGCACCGCACTGGAGGTGATTACGCTCCGAAAACAAACACATGACACACACTTATAAAGTGTTTCTCATCAATAAGAGAGACTATGGTGCCCCCCACAAATTTCTAAATTTCTCCCGTAGTCTAAAATTAACTTGAAATATACATCATCACAAAATCACATTTTGAAGCCCATTGTATTATCATAAACAATAAAAAGTAACTTTAATGGAAAAAAATTGTGTCTTAAATATTACATATAGACAATGACGGTTTCACATACATTCCAAATTATGAGATTAAATTATTCAAATGAAAATTATTTGGGATTGTAAATGCAATGTTTGTTGCTTGTTTGCAGGTTCTGTCTGATTTTCCACATACTACAGCAGAAATCAAAGTGGATTATCTTCTGGATTTGTTTCCTGAGATCCAGCCTCGCTCATTCTCTATTGCATCCTCCTTAAAGGTTAATGAATAATGAATCCACTACTGCTACAATTTTAGACTGTAATGTCATGTGAAAAGAGATTTGTATCCCTCTGTCGATACAGGCTCATCCAAACAAACTCCAGATACTTGTTGCTGTAGTTCGTTATAAGACAAAGTTGTATAAACCCAGAAGAGGGCTGTGCTCAAATTGGTTAGCTTCACTTGATCCTGAAAAAGGTACAGTATTCTGGTAAGCCTTTCGTTATGATTGTATTGCAGTTTTCTTCATATCAAATCAAATCAAATCAAACTTTATTTATAAAGCACTTTTCATACAAAATGCAACACAAAGTGCTTTACAGTGATTAAAAACAGTCCCGCATTTCCAACCACCCAACCACCCACCCACCAACCCAACCCCCACACCCCCAACCCCACACAGTCAAACAACCCAAACACGCACACTCACATACACACAAACATGCACACACAAACATGCACACACACACACACAGACACACACTCACACACACACTAACATGCTAAAATACATAACCGGACACAATAAAATGTGAGGCTGAATACAGGCGAACCAGTTGAGAAAGCACCATCAGAGGAGCCGTCTGCACCGGGAGCAGAGAGATGTCCACCACCACTAGGAACCACCACAGGGGCCAGGGGAGAGATCAAGCCCATATGTATTTTTTTCATTTAATATTTTCTATTTTTCAAATTTAAATTTCCAGAAGAGCTGTATGTACCGCTGTGGGTGAAAAAAGGCACACTGAAGTTTCCCAAAGACCAGGATACTCCAGTCATAATGGTAGGGCCTGGAACAGGGGTGGCACCATTTAGATCTGCTGTGCAGGAAAGGACAGCTGAAGGAAAAACAGGTGAGGCTTTTTTTACCCTTTCAGTGCAACTGGAGTTCCTGTCATCTCACAGGTTTGCTTTCTTTTGCAGCCAATGTTCTGTTCTTTGGGTGCCGATCCAAATCTAAAGACTTCTATTTCAAAACTGAATGGGAAGAGAAGATACAGGCAGGACATTTGACTCTCTTTACTGCCTTTTCTCGAGACCAGGTGACAAATATAATATTGTCTTATCTCTGTTAAATTGCTAAATCTTAATTTTATTTTCATACAGGAAGACAAAGTCTATGTTCAACATCGAATAAGTGAAAATGCTGAACTTCTGATGCACTTGATAGCCAGTAAAAATGCATGCTTTTATATCGCTGGGTAAGTTGAAATTAAGGATGAATCTTTCATTCTGTCAAACAGGACTTACCCTTATTTGATCTTCCAACTTAATGATTTAACAAAAAGCAAACTTGTTAATTGGAAGTACACTGATGTGAGTGTGATGTGTCAGTATAACATATGACCACTAGAGTTTTAAATTATGTTTTTTTTTTTTGCTCCATTGTAGAAATGCCAAAGAGATGCCCAGTAGTGTGCGTGATGCTCTGAAAGGTGTTTTTCAGCAGCAAGGTGCAGTCTCTGCTGAGGCTGCAGAGCAGATGGTGGTTGCTATGGAGCAGTCAGGTCGACTCCAGAGTGAGACCTGGTCCTGATCACATGACCTTCTACAGTTTCTGCTTTGGAAATATGGTGTTTTCATTATTTGATTCATGGGCTTTCTGGATACTTGACTGCCTTTTAGTATTTTATTTTAACTCCAAACCAGATAAAACTGTCTGGCTTGTGTAGTCTAACATCCATAGAATGCACAATCAAAGAATTCTTTAATATGCACTGTATTTATTGAGGATTATTTATTTATTATCTACATCTAAGATAAATCTCATAATCATGGGTCTTAGCTTACTGATTATACCTGGTATTTTGAATCCTTTTGACAATATCCAGTGTTTTGTTAATTGTAACAGTGCTCATTTTTCATCACCCTGCAATCCACAGATAATATAAAACAAAAAAGAACATTTGTTTTATTAAGTTATAGGCTTTAGTAATTCCACACCTTTTCTGAAAATAAACAATGGTGTACAGTATATTCAAAAGACCATAAAACCGTGATTGGCCGGCTTCATCATCAATATAGTCCTGTATATTAAAACCCAGCTTTAGAAAACAAGCAGCATTTTAATATTTCTAATTAATAATTTTCCACTACACAATGACTGTTTTTGTAGAATTTCTTCATAGGTCAGAGAAAAATATTTTCCTAAACACTTTGTTTTGCCCTTTCAACACAACAGTCAAAGTATATTAAATCCTTTCATCTCAGTGCTAGAGTGTGGACCTGGTAGATCTCTTTTGGGAGGTTCATTTGCTGTTCTTCTTGGACAATTTGTAAACCAGCTCTTCTCACTAGACTACGGACTATGTTAAGATCCCTACAAACACTGCTGTCCACTTCATCAGGAACCACCCCCTCATAAGACACATTGTCCTTAATTACGATCAGCCCGTTGGGCCGCAGTGCTTTCTGACAGCGCTGCAGAAACTCCACCAGATGGTTGTCTGTCAAGTGTCCTGAAAGAGAGTGAAAAACTAAGTGCTTTAGCTATTATTAAAAACTTAAAACAACACAAGTCTTGTCGAAACATGTACTCACCAATTACCCATTGAATCCATATCACATCATATCGCCCACTCTCTGGTACAAAGTCTTGTAAGCCGCTACAGAAAAAGTTCCCCACTCTTTTACTGTCCTCTCCGAGATATGTTTTTGCTTTGTCCAGAAACTCCTGTGTCACATCCACCAAGTCCACAGTTTTAAAAAGAGGCAATAAGAGGCGCTTGGTGATTCTTCCGATACCCGCTCCACAGTCAAGGGCACAACCTGCAGTGGTCTTACCCTCTCCTTCCTTTGATCAATACACAAAAAAAAGAGCTTTAGGATTTGAAGCAGGATTTTATGTTCTAAACTCGGAGTAAAATATAAATTGAAGGCTCCTTCAGATGTAACTAGTAAAATAAAATGTTTGTAGTAGGAAAATGTTATTTATTAAGAATATAATTTTCATAATATAGAGACCGTCATTTCTTACACCAAGATATTTCTGTAGGAAAGCTTTAGATCCATTGATATCAATGCTGGAGATGCTGCCATAGCCACCAAGCATCCCATCCACTGTAGGGGGCACATCCTTCCAGTAACCTTCAGCGTTGGAGTAGAAACTTGTCTCATTCTTTGCTATATCATCCATCCTGAAACAAAATACACAGAAATAATCTGATTACTGTGAAATGTTAGTATTTTATAAACATTTGGTAAAACTGGGTTATGGTAGGCCAATACAAAGACATACACATTTAATCCATGAGACCATGAATAACCCATTTCTTCATTCGACAACACTGAGACTAAACTTGTAGTGCTCATTATCTCCCAACAGGCAGGAGCCAAATGCCCTGTCCAGGTGGCTCAGCTGTCAACACTCGTCGTCTGACCGAAACATCAAGATTCTTGCAATTCCAGTGACATGGACACAAAGATATAGCCTCGGTAACGGTTTATGAGCCTCTCTTAGTTAAAACACGTGGATACTTTATGGTCAAAAATAAGAGCAACTGCGACAAAACGTGGGAAGTTTGACATAAATTGTTTCTTGCTGATGTTATTAGGGTGTAAAGTTTGATACGCGTGTGAACCACACCAAACCACTCAACAATGAACTCTCTCTACTGGTCATGATAGCCAACTTTTTGCAACAGTTAGTTTCTATCTAAGCCGATCGATAGGCTACAAACCTGCAGTTTGTCCCTTAACGTGCTCCTCACCCCCAGCTCGGCCTACACGGGTCTGTCTCCTGTCTCCTGGGTCCTGGGTCCTGGGTCCTGGCATAGGGTGCTTTTTTCTATTTGAGACCTGGAACTGTGGCACATGGACCACGTCATTTCCTTATTTGGTTCCTGGCCCCGAGGAGAGTCAATGTCGCCCTCTGCTGATCACTGAACACCACTCAAAGAGTTTCTATTTATTAACTTTTTGCCTAGATTTCATAAATAGTTACTTCAATTCTGATTAAAGATGCACTATGTAACTTTTCTGGTAGGAAGTCCGCCACCAGCTTTGCTTGAAATCTGGCATTAAAGTTCCATCTATAACCAAATCAAGTAGGTGACGCCACAAGGCCATGTTACAGGTCAGATCTGTGGAGAAGTGATCCTGCTCACCCCAGTAAAACAAGAGTAGGCTATTTCATTAATATGTTCATAACATTAAGCAGCATGTTAAAGTTTGATATTAATGTCCATCCTAACGTCTCTTCTTTAAATATGAAAATCATACACAGTTTAATATTATTAGGCTTATACAACAAATGGGCTATTAATTTTGTGGATAGGCTTCATCATTCAATTTAAACAATATAATAAAAACAAATGTTTTTGTTCAGTGTGTGTGTAAATATGAGACGTTAATTTTAGTTTGTTATTTATCTAAAATAGGTTATTTAGGCCTGTGTAAACTAATTAATGAGCCATTTCGACACATTATCTAGAAGAAAAACATGCATTTTTCAGATATAATATTTGTTCAGTCAACAATATACTGGCTTTAAACACAATTAACATTTGTGCACTATATTGTGCACTATTGTGCCCTATATTTTATTACCACGAGATGGCAATGTGGCTGTAGCTAAGTGTAATACGCATTTAATTTTTATTTATTTTATTTTATTTTTTATTTTTTTTTAGCAGATTTTGCTTTCTTAAGTTTTCCAGTGAGCTGGGGTATAACATGAACAACGGAAACAGTTTTGTAACTTTATGTCAGTCTAGTCAAGTTACTATTCACATAAACCATAAAAGAGACAAAGCTCCTGCCCCATGTTCTGCACCCTCTCAGACCTGCCTGCAATGACCAGTAAGAGGCGCTCTAACGCTTAAGAATAGCCTTATTCTTTAGTTGCTTCATCTGACTTCATCTCAAATCATCAGAGTGAACTTGTTTTAATAGACTTATAATACAAGCACATTGGATGTTAGGATATAGACCTAAGTCTACATACTTAGCCCCCCAAAGCCTAGAAATTGTCAATTTGGACAGTCTTTTTTAGTGTAGTGTACAGTTTTATTTCCTTCAACCAAAGGTAAAATGTGGTTGGCACAGAACTTGTTGTTTGGTTTAATCCCATCTCACTCCTGCAATGGGCAGAGAGTGTTTGGGACACCTCTGGTGCAGGGGTGCTGGACTAAGGGGTAAAAGAGACACTTTTACCCAGGGCCCAGTGCAGGGAGGGCTTCTCACAAAGTCTACAATATGCATTTTACATAAAGAAAACATGTGCATGGCCCACTAAGATGGTTTGTACCCAGCCGGGACCCAGAATATTGTTCTACAGCCCTGCTCTGATGAACATGTTTGCATGTGCAAAACCCACAGCAGCAAAATGTTGAGTAGCCATAGCAACAACACTAATGTTCTTGTGCTTCGTGTCTGTAGTGATCTGCTGCTAAGCATGGTTCAAATGTTAAAGAATCACTTTAACTTACCACAAATCATATACCGTAGTTTAGTTGAGGTTTAGATATACATGAAACAATGTTGTTATTAAAGCATATAGGCCCAATGAAATAATTGAAACTGCAGCTAATGTCATCAACATTTCCTGGGGGGTTCTGTCTGAAGCTCAGATACTTAGACTTGAATCAGAGCTTCATTCACACACCATGACCATGACCATAAAGAACTGACTTAGCGGAAAGTACAACAGGTGAGCTGATTTAATACTGTTAAACAAATCCCTCTCTCAGATAACATTAGTCACTAGTTTTTCAATTAACTTTAGTCATTTTCATCTTTTTGTTGAAAATCAAACAACTAAACAGGACCGTGAACAATTGTTTTGATCACAGACTCCTGAAATGTATTTTTTCTTGAGTTCTCAGAAAGGTTTTGTCAGCATTTACATACGTGCACGCATACGCATTTACGAGTGCATTGTGTCACCATGGTAACTGCTCACTGTAAAGTATCAATATAAAGCTCCACAGTGGCCTAAATAATAGGCCTATAGATTTACCACAAAAGGTTGTGTTGTTCAGCGCCATTTTTGGAAAATGAAAGTTATTTTGAGCCATGGCACTGTGTCATGTAGGCCTATAAGTTGAATTGTGACTCACTTGTGTGATTTTTATAGGGCTAATCGTGTCATGGAGAAGAGGACCACCCCATTGCTGTTCAATAGTTTGGGCATGCAAGGGCACAGTAAAATAATGCCCTGTGTCACATTGTATTACAAATGTCCCCCATAGTTCCGAACTTATAAAGGATAATAAATTAGGACTCTAATATTGTATTTTTTCTGAGTCATAATCAACATGTAAATACTAGGTCTAAATCTAATTGTAATCATGTCTTCCCCAAAAAAAAGGTGCTGACAACATGGGACTAAAACACAAACACGAAAGGCCGACAGAGATGCAGCACTATTCAAACTTTGGAGTTCTATCCCAGCTTATTGGAAAACCGTCCACAATGAGCTCTGAACTGAAATTAGATATTGATCCTTGGCCCTCCCTCCCCTCTCTACTCCCGCTTTGGGACAGTGCGCACTCCGTCCTGGTGATTTCTCCTCTTTTATATAGTCTTTCTTTCTGTCTTTACATCTTCTTCTGTCACTCTTTCTATTTAGGTTTTCGCTTTTAGCCTTCTTTCTCAAAATATATGTTCAAAAGGACAAATTTGTTCTGAAGCGTGTTGTCATAGTTCTGATGAGTCAGATGCATGCAGATGTGACACAGCGTATCCACTACCACTTTTTCTTTTTTCTATAAACTCAGTTTTGCTTGTATGAAAACTGCACAGGGTCATTAATGTGTGAGAGGGATACTGGCTGCTTTTTGTTTTTTAATTGCAATAGTGATAGCGAGAACAGCAGAGACAGCATGCAACATGGTAACCCAGTGCTAACTAAAGACTAAAAGCTCATGACAGAAGTATACGCCAATGAAAAGAACACATGATTTTGTCCTTTCTATGAGAAGCATTTGAATCTCACTATAATTCACTCACTATTATACATTACATTTACTTATTTGTTTGAACATTATGCTACTGACCTACAACATCCATCATAGCAGAATTAGCACATGTAGAAAAAATGCACCTTTCTGTGGATATGCATTTGAAGTATTTGATTAATATAAAACTTTTATTGAACTGCCTGGTACAATCTACTAAAGCTTGATGAGGAGGAAAAAATATGTGCTTCACTCCCCCATCTCTTCTCCGCTTCCCCAGGGCTCACCTTCACTCATCACCTCATCTATTTTTCCCCCTCTGTTGCCAGGCAACAGACAGGAAAAGCTTCACAGCATCACTTGAAGCAGTGCAACCCAGAAGAACTTTGAGGAGGACTCACAGAGCCAATAAGATAGGAGGTGTACAAATATTATAAAAAAATATAAAATATTATAATTAGTCCTTAAACAAAATAATCTTTCAAAATAACAATAACAACCATCTGTTTGTATTAACCTCTGTCTAAGTTAAAGCACACAGTGTTTAGTTTAACGCAAAGGTTTATTTTTGATAATTGAAACATAAGTTATTAATTTGTGATCTGCCTGTTATGTTTCCAGAAACATTTGACATTTGAGACAACAAAATCTTGCATCATTATTTTTTTAAAATCATGATAATGTCTGAAAATATAAGCCACTGTGTCTCATCTCTGATGACTCATGAAGAACAGTTTGGAATAAGTCCTTATGTAAAATATACTCAATAGGTGAAGTTGCTAACACCAAAGTCATGTTTAACCATTTTACCTACTTTCGTGCAAGTTAAGTCAATCTAAAAATGTTGATGGTGAAGCCTCAAATGCATGTAAGATAATGACGAGGGAACACCATTAGCATTATAATCTCCTATAATGCCCACTTGAGTTAAATCACAATTTCATACTATTGTTGTTAATCATTAATAGTTTGGTTCACATGACATACACAACACAACATCCTAGAAAATGAGGAGGAGGTAAGAATTTTTTCTGTTTACATGACAAAATGCCAACATTTTCTCCTATTTCATTGTTAATATCTAATTATTACTCAATTGAAACAAAACTGCATAAAGCTTAGGTTTGAGAACTGGGATGAATAACTTTTTCTATTTCTATTCCGAAGCAAGACCTAATCACTTAATGCCATGAGATTCACATACAAAGTATGTAGACGCAAGCCCAGTCACATCAAACTGTTCAACATGTTGTGTATGCCTACAGGTGAAAGCAATTTTTTAGGAATAGTTTCAAAAAGTGGTGGCATTAATTAATTAATTCTTGTTAACTTTAAACCATATGTATATATTATAAATATATTACATTATATATTATAAATATGACAAGTTTGTTGACCTCTTGGCTCTCTTGAGCTGGAATGCCTATAAAATGCTCTATTAGAATTTCCCTAATGATTGTCTGAATGCAGATGTTTTGGTTTATATTAATATCACATAAATTACATGGTTTATAAATGAAAGAAGTTGGCTTCACTTTCAATAAAAAAAAAATCCTTTTTTGTCCACAGGAGTTAAAAAGAGGTGCAATATTGGTGATAGTAATCAGTTGAAACAAATGTAAGGATTACTAGTACATGGCAAATGTATGGACCCAACCACAGGCAAAAATTTGTTTAAATATGAAATTACAATTTCCAGTTCTATAAAATTGTGAATGTAATAAATTTTTTGTGAACTTCCAGAACATGTAAAAATCTTTTATATAGCACAAAGAAAAAGTTTTGCAAGAACATTGACAGTACATATAGAGCTCAGAGTCTAGCTGAGCCATCACAATGAAGATTTAACTCAAATACTCTCCATTTCAGATACTTAGCCAACTGGTATCTTGGTTATGGCATTTTAGACTGGCACTTAAAAACATAACATAACACA